GACTCTTAAGTTTGAGTATTTGACTGGTGGAGACTCCTTGTTTGAGGGACCCTATTTCAGGGCTTGAAGGGAAAAGGAAAAACACCTTTTTCGGGGTCGTTTTTTTTTTTTTTTTTTTTTTTTTTTAAAATCACATGTAACCATCCAACATCCACGTCTCAGTTGCCCCCACCCAAAGAAATCACGATCAAAAAGCTCATCGGAAGGTTCGTCGACTTGCACCGGCATTTGGAAGCCATCCAAGATGAGTTGGTCATGAGCCGTTCGCTACATCCGGGTTCTCGCGCTGCTTTCATGTACTTGAGTCTTGTCAGGAAAACAAACTGCTACGCATTTTTTCTTGACAAGAGAGTTACCAAACATTGATTGAGCTTAGATGGGAGCACCCTTGAACATGATTGGAGACATGGATCCCCATAGGAATTTGTCGACCAAACAGTCCTAATCCTATCCATGTCAAGGCTCGAACTCAAACTTGTTGGCCAGTCAGCTCGGTGCCTTTGCACTGCGGAAGTTTTAGCAGCCCAAGTACTGCTGGGTCTAATGTTCCCAGACCTGCAATGCTTGCTTATTTTTTGTTTGGAGTTGCACTTGTTTTGCGCTCAACTCCAGAGTTCAGCCGCGACTCTTGCAGCTCCCATTCTTGTTGTTTGCGACAAAAAGGTTGTGCCTGCTTGGAAACCTTTGAGAACCAGGTTGGTCAGACATACACACACACACAAAAAAATAAATTTAAAAAAAAAAAAAAAAAAAAAAAACACAACACACGCGCACAACACATGCCTGTTGTTTCGTTTTACGCATCTTGCAGCAGACAGGACTTGGTGTATTGCGTTGATGCGTTAGGAGGCTGCACGGCCGAGGCTTCGTTAGAAAAAGGGGTTCTCCGCTGGGGCGCGACGGTCAGTTGTTGAAGCAGAGAGAAAACTTTCTCCACGATCTCACAGACTTCTTCTCTAGATTTGCCTTTCCCCAATGTCCTCCCAGCATGGGGGCCAATTCTTTCACGCCCTGGCGTCTCCCATCAACGATGACAAAGGTGGTGATGATGACGATGATGATGTCAACGATGGTGATGATGACGATGACGATGACGACGACGATGACGATGACGATGATGAAGATGACCATGACCATGACGATGATGACGAAGACGATGACCATGACGATGACGATGATGAGGATGAGGAGGATGAGGATGAGGATGAGGATGAGGATGATGATGATGATGATGATGATGATGATGATGAGGATGATGATGAGGATGATGACGATGACGATGACGATGACGATGACGGTGACGGTGATGATGATGATCATGATAATGACAAAGATGATGATGATGATGATGATGATGATGATGATGATGATGATGATGATGATGATGATGATGATGATGATGATGGTGATGATGGTGATGGTGCTGCTGATGCTCATGCTGATGCTGATGATGATGACGACGATGACAATATAGATCAGCCATGACGCATGTCGAATGATCCCAAGCAAGATGAACGCAAAACGCATATACGTGTATCATAATGTATCATAATGCATCCTACATATTTAATACATTATAATATATATATATATATATATTACATGTATGACTGTCAGGTCTTTAGTACTTGAGATCAACTCTGGTCCTCGGAGTCAAGTCGGCTTAAAGTCACATCATGTAAGTCACACCAACTCTAACCACGATGCTGCTCCCCTCCCGGTTGGCATGTCACTTCCAATAGGTCCATCGACTGGATAGTTTCATCCACCACCCACGAAGAATGTGTCTAGCGCAATGTGTCCAAAAGAACATCAACCAGCGTTGATAAATTTTTGTTGATATAGAAAACTCAACCAAGACAGTGTTGAAACCAGTTGAAACATGTTGAGTTGCTGCCCTCGGATCTGCCAATGTCGCCGCCAGTCACCAGGAATCACTGGGATACAGATCGATGATGCAGTCAATCTGCTGAGCATGAGAATGTCAGGATCGCAAAGTCATCGCAAGATCAGAACACTGGCTACAGATGGTGGTACATGGGACTGGCATGCCAGCAATTCCAGGTTTCGGTGATGTTTGATATGTATGTATCATGTGCATCCCTTGGTACCCCGAAGATTCACCCTTCAACCATTGACTTTTGGTCGTAGACCTAGTCTAGACGTATTGACGTGGTCCAACACGAAACTTGGAACATTCTAGAAGCTTGCAGCTGAAAGAAGAAATCACAATGTTCAAATAAGCTGACTGGTGTTCACATCCTTGCCATATGGTTCAGACCTTAACTTCGTGGCCCATCAAGTACGACAAGTATAGAATAGTGCGTCCGAACACTCTGACCTCTCCGGGATTGTCCCCGTGCGGGTGCCATGGAGCCGGGTACGAAAAGCTGCAAAGTTGTCCATGTCAACGAGAGGCTGCGAGTTGAAGAAGTCGACAACCTCAAACTTACCGTGTCATTGCCAAGTGGGCGTGCTGAAGCAATTTCGCTGCCGCGTGCTGCCACTGTCGGTGACCTGAAGCTGGCTGCGCAGAAGGCTTTGCAGCGAAGATTCCTGCGGCTGGCTGGTCCTGATGGAGATCTGTTGGATACGAGTACCTCTTTGCAGGAAGCAAAGCTGAAGGACGGTGATAGCATTACAGCAGCTGCTCAGCAAGCTTACCTGACGGCAAGCGGAAATGCCTTTGCTCTCTGGTGCAGTGGAAACACCGCAGTCACCTGGGGTCATCCAGGTTTTGGTGGCAGCTCTGCAGTTCAGGATCAGCTCAGGCAAGTCCAGCAGATTTACGCGACTCAGGGTGCTTTTGCAGCGCTCTTGGCAGATGGACGAGTGGTGACGTGGGGTGATCCAGACTATGGTGGTGAAATTACTGCAGTCCAGGATCAGCTCAGGCAAGTCCAGCAGATTTACTCGACTCACAGTGCTTTTGCAGCGCTCTTGGCAGATGGATGCGTGGTGACGTGGGGTGATCCAGATTATGGCGGTGACAGTACTGCAGTCCAGGATCAGCTCAGGCAAGTCCAGAATATATACTCGAATGCCCATGCTTTTGCAGCGCTCTTGGCAGATGGATGCGTGGTGACGTGGGGTCATCCACATTTTGGTGGTGACAGTACTGCAGTCCAGGATCAGCTCAGGCAAGTCCAGCAGATTTACGCGACTCGGGGTGCTTTTGCAGCGCTCTTGGCAGATGGATGCGTGGTGACGTGGGGTCCTCCAGACTATGGTGGTGAAATTACTGCAGTCCAGGATCAGCTCAGGCAAGTCCAGCAGATTTACTCGACTCACAGTGCTTTTGCAACGCTCTTGGCAGATGGATGCGTGGTGACGTGGGGTCGTCAGGGTGGTGACAGTACTGCAGTCCAGGATCAGCTCAGGCAAGTCCAGCATATTTACTCGAATTCCGATGCTTTTGCAGCGCTCTTGGCAGATGGATGCGTGGTGACGTGGGGTCATCCACATTATGGTGGCGACAGTACTGCAGTCCAGGATCAGCTCAGGCAAGTCCAGCAGATTTACGCGACTCAGGGTGCTTTTGCAGCGCTCTTGGCAGATGGATGCGTGGTGACGTGGGGTTATCCACATTTTGGTGGTGACAGTACTGCAGTCCAGGATCAGCTCAGGCAAGTCCAGCATATTTACTCGAATTCCGATGCTTTTGCAGCGCTCTTGGCAGATGGATGCGTGGTGACGTGGGGTCATCCACATTATGGTGGCGACAGTACTGCAGTCCAGGATCAGCTCAGGCAAGTCCAGCAGATTTACGCGACCAAGGGTGCTTTTGCAGCGCTCTTGGCAGATGGAGGTGTGGTGACGTGGGGTCCTCCAGATTATGGCGGTGACAGTACTGCAGTCCAGGACCGGCTTGAACGCATGTAGTGCTCAACCTTTCCATAGAGGTCCCTCCACCAGGCCCGAAGCCTGTGACAGGAATCACGCGGCACGCAGAGCTTTGGCTTGAGGGTCGCGGTTCTCCGCATTGGGCGCATGTTCAGACTGGGGGTTACATCTAACAAGCAAGCTGCCGGTTCGGGTTCTGCAGGTTGGACATGAGTGGGCTTAGGGGCGTCTATCCAGTGGCCTTTCCATAGGTGTTGCGCAGATAAGATGACCTTTGGGAGAACCGCTTTGCCAGTTCTGCTCTTTGATTTGCCGAAAGCTTGATACTCTCCCGAGTTGGACCTTTCGGGAAGACCATGTGGTAAGAAGAATGCCTGTTCGACCAAGCGTGGCATCGTTTCACAGAGCCCAGGCACTGTCCTATCAGGTATATAGGAATCAGCAGGCTATTTTGCAGCCAAGTATCCACCAAATCCCCCGAAGGTTCGCGTATTTCCTGAAGCTTCGGGGTGAACAGCTTGAGAATTTCTGGCCATTTCAGGCCCCTCAAAGCTGCCATGGAACCCACCCTAAGCATCAGCAAGCATTGCAGCGGTTCGGACCTCCGTTGGAAGGATTTGGACCTCCAAACAGACCGTTTTGAGGGCCCAGGATGCTTTGGCCAGGAAGAATCCAGTAATCATGCACAGCAAGGGGAATGACTACTGGGGGGGGGGGGGGTATATACATACTTGAGGTGTAGCTGAAATCGTCGGCTGAGCTTTGGTGGGAGCAACCATGGTGTCATCCTGTGATACGGCTGAAGGTATATGAGTACCGGGATATACCGCCTGTCAACTGACGCGGGTCCATCCACAAGCAGCCAGGGCCAGAGAGTGGGACGTGAGATGCTGCCTCGTTCCCGCAGCCATTCGCCCAAACGCTCTGGCATGAGTCCGTCTTGTTTGGGTGGTCAAAGTTGGCATTGGACCCCTCGAAGAAGAGTTTTGCCACGTGACTTTTCCGTTGGGAGTAACACAATTCATGTACTCAAACTGTTTGGCTTGCTCGACATATACCAGTTTTAAAAGGGTGGGTGTTGTGAGTAGGGCTCTTCCACCCCATGACTGCTCAAGGACAGCTTGCGAACCAAATCCCCGAAATCCCCTGCAAAACCTGGGGATTTTGGACCAAAAAGCGGCCGAACCACGAACTTTGCCGCTGGATGGTGGAGGGCCGTCCTGCGCTGGAGCCTTTGGTGGCGCAGCTGCCGGAGCTTCTGCCCAGCTTCGGCCTGCCAGGCGCGCGAGCGCCTCCAGTCCCAGAGCTCTCGGTTTCGCAGGTCATGGTTGTTCAGGGCTCCTTAAAAGATACATATGTTGCCCATGTGAAACGTGGCTTTTTCCACCAAAATAAAGGGGAAACAAGGCAATGTTCAGGTGTATAATGTAAGGATCCCTGTTTTAAAGTGTGGTTCCTGGGTTCCCGGGTTTCCCCTTGGTTTCCCTTGGTTTCCCTTGGTTCCCTTGGTTAGCTATGGCGCAGTGATCTGCATGTCTTCATGGTGCAGAGTGACTGGTTATACAGAAACAGAGAGAGAATGTTACCCCACTATAGTTGGTAACCCTTTGCCATCCTTTGCCATTTGTCTCTTGGTGTTTAAAGGATTTCAATCTGTTGGGTACAATTGCTGGCCTGACTGGGATTGAATAGGTGGTTCTGATGTGCAGGGCTATTCTGGTCAGCAGACAAAAATCGAGGTGCGAAACAAAAAGATGGACAATGCTTGGCTTTTCAAGATGCAAGCTACAGGAAACGTAGGACATCCTTGTTTTTTTGTGGGCACTTGGCAAATTTATTGTAGGAATTCCTATAACTGGTTTCTACAAGACTTGCATAAAAAGGTTTGCTCAATATGGTTGCCACAATCAAACATATGTTCCAATCGTGGAGGCAAAAGCTGATATGTCCCAGTGACCCTTGTTTTGGGGAGAAGGGCCCCTTCAGAAGCGAGCTTATGTTACCTCCTCTCATGGGTGAAAACTGAGTTCTGAAGACCCAGACCTTCCTGCAAGGGCGTTTTTGCAGCTTTTTTGGACCGTGGCTCGCACAATCAACTTCCGAGAAAAGGCGCTGTCGTTCTTGCATGGAACTGGATGTTGCTGAGGGTTTGCTGCATTTGGTCGAGGATGGAAGCTATGGGTTGGTAGACTTGGAAATACTATGACTGAAGCCACCAACTCATTTGGCTCACTCCCTGAGTTCCGTTTCGGACTTCATGCTTTTTGGGAACCACGAAAAGTGGCACAAAGCTTAAAGCGGTAATGAACAGCTCGTTCGGAAGTGAGTAGGTAAAGAAATCTATAGACCCTTCTCAAACACTCCCGGCTTTGGCTTGCCATGGAATCTCCAGATCCGTCTCGAAGCCTGGCTGTTTGAGGGCCATAGATCGGGAGCATTTGGGTGGGCAAATTAAATCCTACCCTGCTACAGATTATACCCAAAAACGCAACTCTTACAGGAAACTCCTTTTGGGGGACCCCCTTTTTGGTTCCATGTTAAGTGTAGGGAGCACTCTCACAAAGGGAGTTTGGCATGCGACCGGAGGTCAGGTTGGTGAAGTATTGCCTTTGACCCCTTGCCAAACCTACTCCCAAAATTGCGGGTATTTGGAGTAGGGGGTATGGTAAACCTGTTGTTTTTTTTTCCTGAAATATAGCTTCATCCCAGTGCGTATTTGGAGGTTAGGAGTTGTCAGGCACGGACTTCACCTGGAAGGAGCTGCCCTCATTTGCGACTCTAGCTGCACCCCAGACATTGGGATTCTCGGAGTTCCCTTTTCAAGGGTCCAAGAGGGACCAACCCTACAAACCCTGAGGCAGGTGTTTGATCAAAGTGTTGGAGACAGGTAATACAAAGGGCTAAAGATTTGAGTTTTACTCCTTTGGCGAGCACATGTGAGTTCAGGGTACCCCGCACCCCCGTTCGAATTATGTAGGCTCTTACAGAACCCCCAGATAAATAAAGAATGAGGAGAAAAAAGAAAAGAAGAGAAAACACACATCCATCCAAGTGAAGTCCCCGCTTTTCGGGTTCCATGCTAATTTATTTGCAGGAGAGTCACGTCCGATCCCTTTGACCGAACACCCTCCAAACACTCAAGGAAAACAGCTGGTACTTGACATGAACGCTGGTAGAGAATGGAAACAGGACGGACACATCTTCCGCATACCAGGCGGCAGAAGGCGGCACCAAGCTCGAAGATGTTCGATCATTACATCCCGAAAACGCGCCTTTGTAATTAATCGGTGGTATTTATTTAACCTACTTTCGGAGAAGCCGCCTGTGCCTTTGTTACTTGTAATACTGAAGGAAACAACGGAAGCGGGCTTTTCACTGGATTGGCGATGGCCACGAAAATCTGTTTCGGGCATACGGGAATCTCCTTGAAGGCCCCGAAAGAACCGACACAGGGTTCCTGGACAACCAGTTCCTTGTCCCTCTTCGGGAGCGTTCCCTTTCGCACCAAAAAAACATGCCCCTTTGATGGGCAAGTCCCAAGCACTTTGGGGTACACATGAGATCAACCCCAAAGCCTTTGGCATTGCGGAAACCCTTCTTCACAATAGACCCCCGAAGCAGAATGGAAAATCCAACGAGCCCCTTTTCGGGGCTCCGTTTTGGGGCCTGCCACGTGAGGATGATCGCAATCTCCTGGTGAGCGTGGAGGTGGGTTGGGCGAGGGCCAGGATCTCCTTGGCTCTCATGGCCCCTTGGGTTTCTAGATTTCTCCAGTCCTAGAGGCTCCCGATTCGTTTGGGGCCCTCAAACAGCCAGGTTTTGAGACCCCCAATCCAAAGGGGTCGGGTCTTCCATTGAAAGCCCCAGGAGCCTCTGGGGTGCGAAGATTTTTGTAGAAGCTTTTAGTTCCTAGGGCTCAGCTTGTTGTTTGTGTGTTTGTATTTGAGTTGTTGTCGTTCTCTTTTTCCTGTTTTTGTTTGGGGGGATCTGGTATTTTTCCATGGCTGTCAATAGGAACTCTTATGCCTGACACTTGCAGCCAGTCTTTTTTTGAACTACCTCCCCTTTTGTCAGTTATTGACGTCATACCTTAAGCAAGTAGTTTGTAGAGAAAGGGTTGCCTCCCTCCCACCTGCATGGCACTTCAGCGAGCACTTCAGCGAGCGGTGCTTCCAGGAGGAAAGGGACAGCTTGCTAGGGCTTTTGGCACGCGATTCTTTCCAGTTTGGCCTCCCTCTGCAGCCGCCCCCCCAGACGAAATAACACCAGATGCTCATTGAAAGAGAATGAACGCGCACGGCCAGAACGCCATGACTCGGGTATGGACCCAATAAGCGACCCCTTTGTGAATGAACTGGCTTGTAATTTGTAAATTACCAGGGGATGGGTTGAAAGATTCAGCCAAGTTGAGATGTTCTTACAACATGAGGATGCCAATGTGAACCCCAACTCATCAAACGCCACACTCTTTTCGGGTCTCTTTTTCAAGTGCCGCAACTCATTCTTTCCTCAACTGACCTGGCAAAGTTCATTGGTGTTGGGTTCAACCCTTCTGCCTCAATTACTCTGCCGAATCCAGGGCCGGAAGTATGTCCTCAAGGCGCACAACACTTTGCTGCCTTCCGGGTCGCACGGAAGGCTACAAGCCCAGGACCGCTTGATCCAGCACCTACAAAAGCAGGCGCGGGCGGGAGTTTGTTTTTCTCCCCAAGCCCCCAAACTGAATGGCTGTGCCTCTGTTGGCTTTGGCTTGAAAGAGCACCCAATCGGAAAACATTTTGGATTCAGAAGACTTACCTACTCCCCACACCCTCGTTCAGCGTATGATGTCAACCTCTGTTTGTCTGTGTTTGTTTTTAGAGATTCTGTCGGTGGACAAATTCCGCAGGCACCAGCTGGTAGGTGGGGTAGCACCAGCTCAACAAGGCCCCGCGTACTTCGAGTACCAAGGGAACCCACAGCCGACGTTTTGCCGGGATGGGGCCTTCAAACGGATTCTACAAACACCAGGTGAGGGGGATTCCCACAGTAAGAGCTACTATGGGAAAGAGAGGTGCAAACCCTTTCTTTGCATTGACAGGACCCTCCATATCTCCATTGAAAAGGGTCCATACATCTTCCATTTGCGAGTACCTCCCGCGGAAAAAATGAGAGAATATGTCCAGTGATACATTCCCTCAAAACATTCAACTGGGGAACAAGCTCATATTCTTAAGCAAACGGAAGTAATGGCTATGAGAGGACTAACTAAGTTATCCCACTTATATCCATCGTGGGTCCTCAAGGCATCCGTTGATTTGTGTGTCTTGTTAAGTGGATTGAGTACCCAAGACCAAGATGGACCCAATTGGGTATGGGTCAAAACTAAACCACCAGGGGACCGCAGGTTTTGGTCCATGTTTCCACTTACCAGGGCAACCCATTTTGGGGTTACCCTATTGACCCAGAGCCAATTGAAGCAATTGAAGCTCTGGACAACATCCGGATCTCAGATCTTAGGCCCTGCCGGTGCCGGACGTCCTCGAGAACCTCGGCGCTCCGAGCCACGTCCGGGTGCTGAGCTACCTGGCGCCTTGGCGTTGAGCCCCGAGCCGCTCATGGCTCGCGTAAAAAAAATTCGGCGGTGGGCACCATGCAGCAATTCTCCTTTTTTAAGCAGACGCATCTTCTTTGTTAGACTTGTTTTTGCGTTGGATTGATGCTGTTTTGTGGGTGACTCCCTGCTGTTGGCTGGTGTTTAGATAGGGAAGCAAATGCGAAACTAGGCGGTTTTGAGGGTCCTCTATTTTTAGACACCCACATGGGTGTGTCCTTTTTTAGGGGACCCCCCAAAATGATTGTCCTCCCAGATTCCAATTGAAACCACAAACGCCAAGAAAGGACACAGCTGAATCCCGCTTTTGTTATTTTGGGTTCCCTCAAGCCAACCAAAGACGAAAACAGACACAGCCGAATCCCAGTCCCTCTACGGGATCCACCAGCCAAGGAGGGGGAGGTCCTGAAGCGCCTCAGCGTAGCCGGTGAAGCGACGGCTCCGTTTCGATCTTGGGCCTTGAGCACGGGAAGACCAACCAAGCCAACGTAGGTGTTTTTTGGTGGGAGCCAAACGAAAAAAGGTATTCTGATTCACAAAAAGACTACCTACAATACCAACCATGCCAAGTTGCGTTTGTTTTTAGTTTTCACAGAATAGACCAACTAAAACAAAGGTACGTATTGCGAGCAGGGACCCACCCACTTCTCCCGCAAGGTCTAGGCCCACTTTGAACCGCTCAAAAATGGGAGCAGCATTTTTGGGCAGAGACGGCTTGGGACGTTGATTTGTCAAACTTTGCGGGGTAAAACCTAAAAGCCCCAAAACACTTTTGTTGATGCTACTTTATTTGGGTGGTTTCAAAGGGAAACCAAAAGGATAACCACCATTGGGGGGTCCCCTGTTTTAAGACACCACTCGTAGAACCAAGAGTCAATAGGTCGTTGCTTACTTTTGGAGAAGGCCACCGTTTTCAGAGGCCATCTCAAAGGAAACCTGCGAACTTGATCCTTCCAAGAAGGATAAGACCAGCGGTTTGGGCCTTCCAGTTGGATCCATTGCTTCCTGGATCTTTGTTTTTCTTGAGGATTCATTTCCCAAAACTCCGAAATCGATTCCTCACCGGCACCAGACAGCACCTCGCGAAACAAATGCCCAGGACTGAGGCCCCGAAGAGCCTTCCCTTCCTCCAAAGTGTGGGGAAGTGGGTGGCGAAGGTGGCGACGAGTCTCCAGACTTACGAAGACGAGGCAATGAATTGGACCTGGGACTGGGACATGAAGCTCGGCGATTGACAAGGCTAAGCTTGGGCTGTGCGAGAGATGCACATTTCCCCTGAGAAGTGGAATGACACCGAAACAAAACCACATGCAACTGGTGCTTCCCTTTGAGGGGACCATTCCCAAAAGGCCCAAAAACCTGTGCAATTCCCTACTGACCACCAGCAAGTTGTGAACTTATCCTGCCAAATTGGCCGGTTCGCAGGTAGGAAATCTAGGGATGCAAGGCCCCTATGAATTTGGTTACAGATCATTTGCTTGCTTTCAGAGGCAACTGTACCGCATGGACCGCATGGAACTAGGTCCTAGAGTTTTGGGAATGAACCAATGGAAAACATTGTGTGCGTCCCGACAGACAGACAGAAGGCAGACAGACAGACAGCCAAACAAATAGACAGTCTGACACAAACAAACAAAAGAGCGAGCAAGCACGCAAGCAAACAAACGAAAGAGCTATGTGGCTATTGCCCCCGACACAAGAGTTTGGCTTTCTGATGGCTAGTATTTTTTTGTTGTTTGTTTGTTTGTGCTTCACCTTTGTGGCCCTCAACATGGGCCGTTTTCAAGGTCCCCTGGGCGTCAGGGTTCTGCATTGGTCTGCATTGGAGGGGTCATGACCCTTAGGGTGGGTCAAATATGATTTTAGATTCTCAGGTTGTTGTTTTTGACGGTGCCCCGTTTTGGGGTTGGTGCAATATAAAGCCACGAGAGCACCACCCACAATGGGGGTGGGGTGACCCTTGAGGCACATACCCAAGCAAAGCTTTCTGAACACGTGTTTCAATATAGCTCACCCAGCCAGTGGACACACTTGTCACTTTTTTCCTTGGTGGCTCTCCCTTTATTTTAGTGGTGGCCCAAAAAGTGTGCACTTTTTTTAGGCTGGTCACTGGCCAAGTGAGATGGGGAACCTCGACCACGGGTGTCAGAAGTGGGATTCGATCCGACGCGGGCCTTCTTCAAGTAAGGAAGCGCTTGCCCGAGGTCGTGAGGACGGACTTCCCGCACGGGTGCAGTCTGTCCATTTGGGGTTCGGCGACGAGTTCTTTGGTTCTTCCACATTCAGGGGACTCACTAGGCTTTGTTTTTCCATTCACCCATTCTGTTCAGGAACCTGTTCCCATTGTCGTGTTTTGCATCTTTCCAGAAAACAGGGCAACCTGGATGCAATGAGGAAGGTACGGATAGAACCAATATGAGCCAATTCTATCCCCGATCTCATGTCCTCCACCAGGTGTGGGCATTCACTCATCTGCGTGCGATCAACAGCCCATGATATCAAAATTGTGTTGTTGCAGACTCCTTCATAGCTTCACAACAGGATGGAAGTCCACTTGGCACTGGTGTTTGTTTGTCAAAACCGAACTTCATCGAGTTTCATCCATCCCATTTGGCGCGGTGGATTTTGACCGCAGGTTTCAAACCCAGGGTGGGCGTCATGGGCTCGCCTAGCAACACTAACATCGAACCAATACGAAACAAGGACCTCACTTCCTGAGATCCTGCACAGACCATGGTTCTTCAAACCACAAGTGGCTACTTGTTCTGGCAGATCCACTCGGGAAGTGAGGTACTCAACCAATACATGCTCACTCCATACCAAAGAGTAAAGCTGACTGTTGCCGGCCCAGCCAATTTCTGAATGGGATCCTTTACTGTTTCACAAATGGGTTTGTGAAGTTAAGAACCCCCCACAATAAGCCTAGGTTGTTTTGGTTTCCCCTTAGGTTCTTTTTGGTTTCCCCTTAATTTCTGCCACAAAGGTTGTTGCCCCACTTGGCGTCCATCCACGGCACCTGAGACTTTGTGTTTGTGGAAGACCGTTTTTTTCCGGCCAATCTGTGCCCTTCCAACCTCTCTACAGGACCTAGGTTATGTATTCATCGAATGCGGGCCATGAGTAATGCGGGGGGTTGTAGCATTGGGGCTGGCCTTGATGGGCTTCTTTATGATGTCAAACCTTGATTTTTCAAGCGACTTGTCATAAGAAGTTCGCATGTTCTGGCCGGCGTTTTTGTTCGAGATCGGGAATGGCAACTCTTGACTCCAGGAAAGGAAGTAGTACAGGCGTGCATTGGCGAAACCTGAAGCTGCTTTTTCGTTTCGAAATCTTTCGATGCAGAAAGGGAGCAGCCTTCTGGGAAACCCGTCGTCGCGTGGCCCGAGTGATCGAAATCCCTGGCCAGGACCAAGCTGAGCTTTATGAGCGATCAGCGTCGTTTGCTGGCCGCCCGCCTCTGCGAGGAATACGCAGCGCATCTGACGCCGGAGGTTGTAGCGCAGCTGCCGCATTCGGTGCTGCACGCAGACCTCAATGACGCTGGCAGCAACCGGCTCTGCTCCCCCAACGGATTTGTTCTGTCAAAACACTTTCCGGAGGTGGCCCCAAGGAAGGTGACTTAAGATTTCACAGCTGGGGGGGGGTGCTGGTAAGCGTTTTGTTTGTTTGTTTGTTCTTTTTGGGGGGGTGCTGGAACTGGCATTGCTGTGCTTGCCGAGGACACAAACCTTCTCTTTGCGGGGGAGGAAATTGCTGCCCGCCTGTCAGAGCCTGGAAGTTTCTTTTCGAAAGGGGGGGTGGTACTTGGAGAGTAGGTCATGACCTTGCTTATAATACTGTGGATGAACGAAATCCGTTCGCACCACTTGACAACCATGCATATGGTTGAAACCATAACGTTTGTTGGTATTTACAGGGGAATCATCACTCCAAGCTTTCTTAGGTGGTGCAGGATTGCGTCCATCCACAGTACCCCTTTCTTGCAAACATAGTTGCCCAATGTTGCCAAGATGGAACTTATTACAAGGAGACTAGCACGTGCTCAAGTTATATCCATTGTTGCGACATACTTAAGTACTATGTTGGTTGCTCATCCAAGTAACCCAACCACATACCGTCCCTCCGGCAAACATCGCACCTGCAACCGTATTGCTCGAGGAACGAAACACATCCTCAGTGCTATGTTGGTGAGCAGGAAGGTAATTACTGCGCTGCAAGCTCTCTCGGGTGTTGAGTTCCATTCCGCAAATCAACATAGAACCCAAACAAAGGCTTCCCCAAAGGGACACCCGCTACAAATGATGGGCTCCATGATGCATAAAGTAAGTGTTGCATTCGTTTGACGGTAGATGGGTATTATGTCACACACGCACACTCACTATGGTAATGACGAGTAAGGGTACCGCATGTTTTTCCCCTGTCAGACGGGGTTGCGAAAATGGGCGCGAAAGTCAGGGCGCAGCTGGAAAGACTCGGGATGTGTCGGTTGTAACCTCAAGTTGGAGGAACGTTCAAGTTTTGCAAGTACGATGCCCGTGAGTTGTCGAAATGTTTGGCCTTTGGGTCCAAAGGTATCTTGTTACGAACCACCCTCCAAAGGCTTGCCCGAACCGGAGCTGAGTTTTAACCTTGAGCCCAGCAAATGTGGGTCCCCCAGACCCGGGTCCTTCAACCAGTCCCTGACACAAGTGGTTCATGTGAATCGGACATCTTGCTTGCCAAGGTTGGCATCATAGACTTCGGGGATTCCATCTACAGCTGCCGCATCTTTGAGCCGGCCATTACAGCAGGACGTTCATTTGGTTCTGTCCAGTTGCTGAAAGGGTGTGGGGGTACATAAAGAGTCCTGCGCCAGTTGGGAAGGCTGAAGCTTCCATTGAATACTTGGAAAAACTGGCCAACTGACAGGATTTTGTCCGTGAGTAGGGCTTGCCAGGGGGAACCCAGAAACCCCTTCGTTTTGTAGTTTCTTCCGTACTTCAAGCTGTGTTCTGGGAGGGGTTGCCCCGAATATGGGGGTGAATCTTACTTGTGAACACTCTGGTGAACATCATCTAGAGTGTCCACCAACCAAGTTCGGAAAGAACCAAATCACTAAACATCATTGCCTTATTTCCAGAAGACTTGTTTTCCTCACACGAGACCAGGCTTTGGTCAAGTATGGAGCACCTGAGGTTCAGACCCCGAGAGGCTTTCGGGATTGGTTGCATCGATAGGTGCACCTCCTTGCTTAAGATCGCAGGGCAGTCTTTTCCATTGGATGGAGAGATATGCCTTCGCATCTACTTTGTTGGTATACATGCAAAACGTTGTTTCTCTTGGCAAATACATCTTTTGTTTGTCAGAAATTGACAGCATACCCTTCAAAAGGTGGGCATTTGGAGTAGGGGCTGGAGAATATAGAGGTTCGAAAGCTGCCCGCAAACGTCAAGGGCACTTTCTGGTATGCATCCTAGAGGTTTATACCATCTTACGAGCCTTATATTGAACGGAATTCTCCATATCTCCAAAGCTTGTCCCTGAAAATGCCCTGTGCAGGAGGGTGAGCCAAGAGCTGGGGAAGGCTAAAGCCGTGTCTTTTGGGCAACGCCCCTGACCAATCCCAAACCAGCCCAAAACTCACATACTGTAAGTCACATACCTACACCCTGCAGCAACCCTAAGCCACTGCAAAGCCAGCTGCAACCCTAGCGCATATCAGCCCAAGGCCAACCAACTTAAACCCACCCAACAGCATCTTGGATATCAGCCCTTTGCCGAGCCCAAAGAACCTCATGAGAGCCCCGATTCTCAGGCAGCCTAAAACCCAACCGAGCGAGTCTCACCTGCCCTCAATTGCAGAGTTCTTGCCTACCAGCCGCGATCCCGAACCCTAGGTGACCAGGGAAATCCGTGTTAATGCCCTACTATCCAAAGTGGATCCGCTGGGTTTCAGGCGACTTTTGAAATGTGCACGCAGGCGTCCTTTGGGTTTCCTTTGGAATCTCAATTGCTGATTCGGATTAGTCGTTTGGAGGTCAGGGGGTGGTCTTCCATTGCCCCTCCAAAAGAACAAGCTGTTTAAATCCTCGAATCACCAATCCAATCCAACTAAGGGGAATCTCAAACAATCTCAAGTAACCCTCGCCCTGGTTGTTAATGTTTGCTTTCTGCCCTTGGTGTTTCCTTCTCCAAGGGCTATATTTCTTTCGCTGCTCGCCTCTTGGCCGCTTTTCAAGCGAATTTCCCTAGGAGAGAACCACCTCGGGACATCACAGGAACACGACCAACAGCTTTAAAAGGGAGCCCTGCCCCTGATTTGCGCAGGATACTTCTCCCTGGGCCAGGCAGGAAGCCCATCAGGAAAAGTTGAGGCTGACGTCCATCAGAATCAAACTTGGGTCTTCAGAGCACGACCCGTAGGGTACAATACCCACCGTTGTAAGCTTTAGCGGACTCACCCTAGTTACACCAGTTCGAAAACATAATTATAACTTACTTAAGCAGCTTGAGCACCCAAGAATATTCTCGGGTTTCAAATAGCACAAAGGGCTCAAATACTTCAAACGTGGGTTGTGGGGTACAGGTCCTGGTTTCGGAAGACAATGTGAGCAATGTGTATTGCATTGCAAATTGGATTAGTGAGTTAGAGATGATCGCGGTTTGTTTTTGACCTTGATAATGACAAGCACCAGCACTCCCGAAGATGCTTCTCGGCACCATGCTGCAAAATCAGACCCCACTTGGATGTTCGGCCCACTTGGGTTATAGACCGTGGCTACAAGGGAAGTAACCCTAGATACCCTGTTACCCTCTCCGTCAGGTTTCCATGCTTGTTTTTGGGAGGGCAATTATAACCTCCTTTCCGGGTTATGGCTTTTTGAATGGAGCCCAAGGCCCTGCAATGAAGAACCTCAAGGGCCCTCAAAAACAATCCCCATTTTCAGGGCCCAGAAACAATGGAATCGTACCTACCCTTAGGGCCATTGGAACCCATGGTTTGGACACAGCTGCCACCCAATGTGAAGCGCAGAGAAAACTCGACCGGTCGGCAGTTCTGTGGATTCCAGCAGAACCGGACGTTTTTAGTGGGGTACCCTAGAATATAGAAAGTCGACAAAGGCAAGAGGCGGTTCATCGCTTGGTTCCTTTGCTCCTTGCTTTTGATTTTGTGGCGGCTCTCAAAATAAAGAGCCAACCTCCACAAAGGTGTGTGTGTGTGTGTTGTGCGTGTTTGGGCTTTTTTACACGTTCCAAAGGCTCACGACGGCTGCCCGGGTCTTCAAAAGGAGCTATTCGAGTGCATTTCCTGGGTGTCCCCTTTGAGAGGGGTTGACCCCAAACATTTGGGCTCTTTTTTTTCCAACATTAGCAGGGTCATGTCCCATGCAGACTGCATGCGTGCGGAGGGGGGGGTGTTGTTCCAGGCCAATCCCTTGCAAGTGCTGCGGGAGGTCCTGCGAGGAGGGAACGCGGGTGACAAGTTGCCCTCCCCAAACAAGCCACCCAAAAAGCTGTGCTTTGTTCAACAAGAAACACAGCTTGAACCAATACCTCTCTCGAAGAATCAACATTTGCTTGTAGACAGAGATTGACGAACCAGGTCTTCCGTGGTAAATACATGCTTGTTCAGGCAGGGGAAGACATTATTTGACATCATACCTTTCATATTCTTGGTAGTGGTAAAGGGGGTATTTCATGGCGAGTGCAACCATTCAGGGGCCAAACGAGCTCACCATGCTGCATGTCCTTTACTTGAGCTTCCCCACAAAGAGTCGTTGCCGATAAGTGCCCTACCTTTTGAGTTTTTGTCCGCATCCCTCGTCAGTTGTTCTAGCCAGTTACCGTAGCAGGTCAGATTTAGCCCGAGCTTGATTCAGCGCCCGCCTTTGTCAGGTAGCAAGTAACCAATCTGGGTGCAAATCTAAGGCCAAAATTATACACCCTGATTCAGAAGGTCTAGGCGACCCCAACTCTCCCAACTCTTGAAACCAAGCGGTTTTCAATGGCGCCACAAAAATTATGAAGGGAAGTGCCCGAGCTTGTGGCTTCCCCATTACTTTGTACTGAGTCCAAATCGCCAGATTGTGCTTTCCGCAAATTCACCAAACCGAAGACTGGTCCCCCACATGTGTGTTTTTCGCCGAAAGCAACGGCCTTTTGGATCAGAGGTCCAAAATGAGTTGTCTCTCCAACATTCACCTTGGTTCCCAGCCATCTCCGTAGCTTTTCAGATCTTTTCAGCCTTTTCGGGTGGGGGGTTTCCATTCAATCCACAGCCAAAGAAACATCGCAGGGGATCTGTGGGCCACAGCATTTCGGGTTCCATGTGAGCCTTCCGGCGCAGGATACCTGCAGCAGGTCCCATGGGACCTCAGCAACGAGGAAGTGATGGCGTGCCCAGAGGGGCTAGGAATGTCGTGTTTAGGACACCTGGGAAAACTGTGAGTTTTCCTTTTGGTTCCTCCCCCCCCCAAAAAAAAGCTGGCGCCTCAACGAGCGAGACACACCTGGACGTGTTCGAGCTGTTTGCTTGCGACCGACTTGGGCCATGCAGGTGTCTCTTTAAAATATCCTTATTTGGATCAGTCGTGTCAAACCTCCCCCCAAAACAAACTCAGGTGATATCCCCAACACCATGCGGTGCTCTTTGAAGTGCTCGCACCACCCCGCAGCCCTCGCAGAACCTCGTGGAACCCTGGTGGAACCCGCGTGGAGCCCTCGTGGAACCTTACCTCAGGCCCGCCCCGGACCACCCCGGAGCCTATCTGGGCTGAGACCCCAAAGCTTTCAACTGTTGGGGAAAAATAAAAAGCAAATGGGGTGTCCCTTTGGTTCCCCTTAACAAGCCCATTTCGGGGTTGATGAAGTATACTTCACCCCGAAACATAGTCCGGGGGAGCCCACACCTTGCTTTTATGTTGCAAGCTGGGCACTATCACGACCCATGATGCAAGTCCTCTTGCGGATGTTTTTCTGCAGGCTTTGGAATTTCAGGTTTTGCAGATGAATGCTTCAGGCATACATGTGAATCTGGACAGTTTGTGTGTATCCTTAGGCGTGACCCTATCTGTGAAGCCAAGGGGCTTCCACCCTTGTACCCATGCTTGTTTGGGCCCACAGCTGGCAAACCCCGAAACGAATCCGCCTTGAGTCCCAGAAAAGTTCCGTTGAGCGTGCGAGAGGTGATTTCTTTGTTGAACGGGGTGGGGCGAAGATCAGCAACGGACAAGTCCCCTATGGGCTAGCAAGTTGAGGGATATCGGTTTTAGGGAAGTCCTACCAATGTGTGGCTGTGATGCTGGCACATATTCACTGTTAAAATGAGCATGTTACAATATACTACAATAAAACGTGTGGTATTATGGTGTATTGTGGTATGGTATGCTATGGTTGGTTATATCATATCATATCACATCACATACTATATCATATTGCATCATGTTGCTGATATTATATATTATATATATATACACAGTGAATATCTCATAACATTTGTTATAGACTATATAGTACATTAAAACATATTATATTATATCATGTTGTACTTCATTATAGTATAGCACTTTGTTTTATTGTATCAGATCTGAATCATTTATGCCAATGTTGCATTTTGTCATATCATACTGTGGATGGACCTAAGAAGCCATGGAAACCATTGTTTGTGGGTATTTACAGGGTAATCATCATTCCAGGCTTTCTTTGGTGCAGGATTTCGTCCATCCACAGCATTATCTCATATATGTTAATTACAATAAACATATATTTATGCAGAATGTCATGTTACATTATTAGTTACCTCAAAACAGATCCCGTCTGAGGACCTGCTTGATGCGTTTGGGCACCCTCCTCTCTGCAGCGATTGATCGCTATGTCAGGTACTTCCACGCAGCGCGCGGGCGCGTGTTGTTGTCGGTAGCCTTCGCAGCTGAGAACAGCTTCCTCGAGATACTCAGCCTGGGTTTAGCTTTTGGATGTGTCCCACTACCCCCAACCACTAGCCTAAGGGTCATCACCCCTATGCAGACGCCCCATATGGGGGCCACCACTCCCCAACCACACCCCAGGGGTTAATGGAATATGCAACCACCACAACGCTACTACATGTATATATACATATGTATGTTGTGTATGGGTCTTCCCCCTGGAGGTAGTGGCATGAGCATATAGTATGATATGGTATTAACAGAATCGGTATGCTACAATACAATAATAATATATTGCAGATACACACCAATTCATGGCACCATATGACATACTATAACAACTTGTGATATGATATAATGCAGCAACATAGTATCATACAATTGTAGTATAGCATTGTATAGTAAAATGCAGCGTATGATAATGTATTATAACATTACATATTAAAATATAATCATAGTACAATATAATATAATACAAAATCCTGTAAGATTACATACTACAATGCAACATAAGGGACCCAGAGGGAGAACAAGGAAGCTCCCTCAAAACAGAGTCAGCGGCTTATCCCTTTAAGGGGAATATACGGACTGACTTGAACCCCTTTTCGCAATTGGTGCTTAATCTCCACATCTCCAAACAACCCACCTGGACACACTTGATTTATCGGCGGCCCTTGGTAATGCAAACAAACATGTGGCAGAGATGTTTTTCGAAACGGTTTTCCAACATCCCCTGGGATGGGAAGCGACGTAGAAATTCCTTGGGGTCCCAAACTTGCCTGGTCCTTGGCATCGGATTCCGTTAGCCGATCTTTTTTTTTCTTTTTTCTTTTTTAACATAGTAATAAACTTATCAAGTCTTGGGACATGCAAGATCTCGCTCGAGTTCCTGGACTTTCATTGGGGGCATGACCATTTTATGAACTGTTTGCCAATTTTAGGAAAAAGTCCGAAGAGGTGAAAACAAAGTTCCCGGTGAATTTCAAGTTCGGACTTTGTGTTGCCCAATCCGCTCGTTCGGAAGCGAGAGATCGCTTTAGTGGGCACAAGTTTCAATGCTTTTCAGACAGTTTCGCGGAACCCCAAGCTGGTCTGTCCAGGCCTCTACCATTGCTCGTTTAGTCAAGGGGCACAGCTTTGCCCCCCAAAGCTTGCCGCCTTGGGGATGGCGTCCTATTCTTTCCGGGGATCCTTCTTGCCAGAAAACCACCTAAAGCCTTCAACAGCGGCCCGAAAACAACGGCTTGAAAGCAACCCAAAAGAATCCTTTCACAACGGTTTGTGGAAAGAACGATGGTTGAACAGAATGGAAAGCAGAATCAACCCTTAAAACAAAACATGCGGCGCAAAGCCTTGTTTTCAGCAGGGAGTTCCATCCTTTGGAATCAGTGATCTAGAAAAGGCTCGCGAAATCCCATAGGGGCCCAACTTCTTTTGATGCACGGCCACTTCCCGCCCCTGCTGAGACATGCGTGATGTCTGGTGTATTTTGGGAACACCAAGGTTCCTTTGTTCATACGTTTGCCGAGTCAGGGGTCGGCGTCATACCCCAAAAGGGTTGCAACTTTGCCGCAGGGAGTTACATGGGTCTTGGTGGTAACAATTCTGGCATTTTCGCTTTACCACTGGCGTGTGGGACTTCCATTATCGTTGGAAAAGCTGACTTCCCCAGTTTCGAGACCTACTTGTTGAAAAGAGATGTACCTTGATCCTTGTTTTCCAACACAGGGTTTAGAGTTCCCTTGACTAAGGATACGTGTTGAGCTCTCCTTAGTGGCAACCAAAGAATTTAGGGGGCATTGGCGCCAAGCCGAAGGCCAGACAACGAGTATTTGGCGCACACGGCCGAGCCAGGCAATCGTTCTTGGTGTTTGTTTGATGGTTGGTTTGTTGGTTGGTTCGTCCGTCCGTTTGTCCGTTTGCGTGTGTGTGTGTGTGTTGTTGAGTTTGTGTTTGTGAGTATGTGTGTGTGTGTGTCTTGTTGTGTTTGCGTGTTTGTGCTCGTGTTTGTTTGTCTGTTTGTCTGCTCGTTTGTGTGTTTGGTTGCTACTGTTTGTTTCTTTGTTTCTTGGCGTGTGTTTGTTTGTTTGTTTGTTTGTTTGTTTGTTTGCTTGCTTGCTTGCTTGCTTGCTTGTTTGTTTGTTTGTTTGTTTGTTTGTTTGTTTGTTTGTTTGTTTGTTTGTGTGTGTGTGCGTGCGTGTGTATGCCGTGTGTGTCTTTCTCCACGGGCAAGGGAGCGGGGATGGGTGTCTTTGAAGTTTTCGAGAGCCCCGATTTAACACCCATGTCGCAGGCCGGTAAGTGATGCCGCCTCTTCTTAAGACCGGTTACACAGGGACGAGGCTGGCAATGCTGATGTAGACGCCCGCCACATGTGCAGAATTGGCTCCTCTTCTGGTGATTCGTAAGCCTCCCTTGATATGGGTTCGAAGCGCAAGCAAACGCAAACCACATTTTGTTCAACGGTTGCCCATTTTGAGACATGCCCAAATTTGCTATGCTGAAGGCTTTGGACCTGCAAATGTGGGTTTGTCTCCAATAGGGGTGTTTTGCGTGCCTTTGGCTTTCCTATGAGCAAGTTCACAGGTTGCCCTAGTTGCAACTTGAAGTGAGGTTCAAGTTGGGGCGTCTATGTTGGTTTGTCCCAAAAATAGGGACCCAGAGTGTCGGGCTTCCGTTTGCTCTTCAAACACCCCAAAAAAGCCCTCACCACCTTTTTAGGAGGTTTGGGGGCAATTTTAGTATATGTTTTGGCAGCGCCAGCAAGTTGATTATAGAACGGGACTTTTGGCTGATCCTCCATTTGCAGCCAAAAATATCGTAGCACTCGCCGCGCGAAGGCTGGCGAGTCCTCGAAGCTTTGGAGGACACGGAGAAGGCGTCGGAGGCTTAGGTCGTCCAAACCTCGTGGACGTTTCACGTGACGTTTCATGCTTTGGGGGGTCGAATCAAGTGGTAACTGCTGGTGTCTCATTTTGGCCAGGTTTGCTCCGAGTTGTGATCGGTGCCCCAAGCATTTTCCTCAAACAGGGTACTCAAGCCGCCTGACTCGCTGGCTGGCTGGCTGGCTGGCTGGCTGACTGCGCGGGCGTTGAGTTGGGTTGTCATCCGCGAAATGCACATACGTTCAGGGGGGGCTTTAGAATCGACAGAAATCTCAGGCGTGTACTGTGGAAATATGTACAGCTTGTCTACTCAGCTTGTGCGGAATGCAACTGTCATTGAAACATGGCTTCGACTCTCCTTGGGTTGTACACCGAATCGACATGCACAGTCCCACCAATTGACAAGCGGGTCTTGAGATGACCTTGCAAGGTGCAACACGCGCAGGCCCAGAAACCGAATCTTGATGCTGGACCTCAGGGCTCAGTTTTCTTTCGCATCTGACAAGCTCCCCTCAGCCCTCAGCCCGGCAACTTTAGGGGGTTCTACTGCTTGGTTTAACGGGGGCGTGAACAGTGCCCATGGAAAGCGTTGTAACCTTGGCAGAACCAATTGTCAATGGTTTGGCGCTGAATAGCCCATAGCAGCTCAATTTTCCTAAAGGGAACCCACTCAACACCCGGCCGAGTTTTGAACGCCCTTTATTTCTCTCACTCCGAGTTTGAGGCTGCCAGAACTACTAGATGTGGCATCTGCGGTTCGGAGTGAAAGGTGAAACACCTGCGATTCGGAGTCCGAGTCGCCGAGTCAGCCACCAAAAACCCAAAGTTCGGCTTCAAACCCCCTCCCTGAGTTAGGGCGTTCTGGGTGCGTGCAACAACAGGGGCTCCCGCCAAGAAAAAACAATCATGCGCTTTTTTCCTCCAGTGGCTTCGCTTGAAACCCGTCCCAAAAAAGGTACCCTCCACAAAAGTACTGCCCCGTTATACCTGCCGGTTTGGGGCATTTGACTGGCAAGGAAAAGGTTCGGTTTGTGGAGCCACATACGTGAGACGAGTTGAAAGACTCTTCCTTCCGTTCTGTTCGTTGAGGAGCTAAAGGCTTCCGGTGTTCACAGCTGGGGCCATTCAACCTGGTGCCAGTTGAATTGAGGCTGTTCAAAGGTCCTCAATCCTCACCTAGGGGTCTCCTTCATAGTGGTTTTCCAGCAGTGGATTAGAATTGGCCGACACTCCATTTTGAACAGTTTAGTTAAAACCACTGTTGCTTCTTGCAGCCTCTTGGTTTCAATTAGACACCTGCCTCTGGTTGCATGCCCAACTCAAGCCTGAAGGCGTTTCTTGAAAAATCGTCAACCCCTGCATTCGCCCCCAGTTACTACTTTCTCGAGGCGTGTTGACAACTGACTGGAAAAATAGGCATTTGGCGCCCTCCAACTTGATGAATCATCGTCTTTTGAGCAATACCTCTCAGGGCGATGACTTGAGCGGGTTGTGGGGCATTCCAAAAACTAAGACACGTGCTCAAAAGACAATCCGCATGACCCTTGGAGCCGGCTGCGACCGGGAAGTCACAAGCCACTGCGGTGCCCCCCCCCGGCACCAAAGACCTGCCAAATCTAGCCTTTGACTACAAAAGGAGGTGAAACCTGGTGTATCAAAAGTTACCCCAAGCAAAGGTAAGTATTGTGAAAGGGGTAGAAGACACACTTCGGCCATGTTGGTTTCATAATCCTCCCTTCCCGACGGGGAACAGTGGCATATACTCTGGTCTGGTTTGTTCGCTCATCAACTCCCTCAATGGGCCATAGTGATAGTGATTTTTTTGGGTGCAATAACTCCCCTTACTATGGCTCTGAATCAGTATAATAAATTGGGGGGTTCATGATGTCAGTTTGATGTCGGCGCCTGCCAAAAAAAGGGAGGCATCTACCAGTACTACCAGGCTGTTCCAAATATACCAGGGGTAGGGGGTCATGTCAGGGATTCTTTCTGGGTTGATACATGCAGCCAGAGGACAGAGGAGGAGGTGGAGGTGCTTTCGGTCCGTTTGGTTTCTTTTTTAGAACTTGTTCCCCGGATGTGAAGGTTTTGGGACGCTCCCACCAGCCTGTTGCACCTTCCGGACCCAAAAACCTATGCGCCATGGACCTCAAGACGAAAACCCTGGACTTAGCTTGATACAGAAAGGCTTCCCTGGACTGCTACATGCTGATCCATCTTTTTCTGCGCTCGTGACACGGAGAACCCTGGCCTCACTTAGGTTGAGGCCCAAAAGACTAAACTGGAGCCCTCCAATGAGGTGATGTTTCCTAACGGGTGAACTATGCCTTGAAGCCTTGGCTCAATGCAGATCCAAGCGGGGCTCAGAATCCATACGCTTGTTGTTTGCGGAAATCCGCCAAAGCCGACAATGTGTGTGCATCTGGGTTCGGCATCGAGAAGTGACCAAATCGCCAGCATCGACTCAAACGAGTCCACTTAAGATGCGGGTTTTGTTAGGTCATTGCGTTGAACCGGGATGATTTCAGACAACATGTGGACCAGACCTAAAGACGGTGTTTGGGAAAGCTGAGGAATGAAGTCTGACAAACCTGCACAAACAAAAGCAAGCAAGCAACATATTTTTCTCCTAGCTTGCCGCCTTCCGCATGCCGGCCGGAATGGTCAGGGGTCCCAAGCTGTCCTTAGCGAGCCCTAGCATCACTTGGCTTTAAGAGGAAACCACCGGCAAAGTGGTTGGTGGACATGAAATCCGCACCTAAATGATGTGCACAGGGTCCTTACTTCATAACCCACTTGGAATCAGAAGTGAGTTCCGGGTGATGTCAAAGGAGAAATCGAGAGCCCTGCCATCACTTAGATGAATGGCTATCCAGTTCCATTGTAAGAATTACTTGCGTCGCATGTATTGCTCCTGTTTTTGTGGTCATCTTGGCTGCCATTATGTTGTTGAATCTTGTTATGTTTGTTTAATATGATGATCATGTGTATTTTCATATTTTGTATGATTGGTTATTTAGTTCTCTTATATGTTATATGTTTCTAGTTTGCTCGCTTTGTTTGTTCTGTGTGTTTTTTTAGTGTCTAATTGGTATAGGTATTGCTTTTCTTATTGATGTAGTTTAACTTGTTTCTTAGTGCTTATTATCTCACTTGCCAGAACGAACCGAGCTGAAGATGTTCATTGTCCGTCCATTGCAGACGCCTAGCACAATCGACCTGCAAAATGGGATCAAGAGACAGGAGGCGAACAAATGATCGCAAGCATTTTTGTTCAGTGCGGGCCGACCGCAAAGAGATTGATCTCCCATGAAACAGGACAAATTTGCTTGTCTTCTCGAGGAGTTTCCGCAAGGAGTGCTGCAAACAGAGATGCTGCTTAAACCGGCCCCCGCTTCCTTTACAGGATGTGGAAGAATGACACATGCGCACACCAGTATAAGCAGCTGACAACCTCACTTTGACGTGGTGGGCCCACCCAATTCGTCCTGTCCTTTTGGGGAATTCACGGGGCTCATAGAGGAGGGCAGCTGCAGTGATGGCATCGCCTGTGCAGCACCTTTCTTGCTCGAGCCAAACCCTGCCTCGAGCGACCGAACCGAATGGCGCTGAAAACGCTCTTCCTATGCGTCGCTGCATGTCACGCGTTGCCCAACGGAAGGTGGCAACTGGAAATGCAACGACTCATGGCCGACACTTTGGGCACGCGTCAAAAAGAGGGAGTTTGGAATTCAGGGTTTCCCTTTTCGATTCCCTGAGAAGGGTGCCCTCAAACAAGCCAATGAGGTCAATTTGGGATTCGCAGGACCCTAGTCAGAGGAGCTCCCTAAGTTAGATCATTTTCTTAAAGGGGAAGGTCCGAAGTTGACCGGAATATCTGGGTATGTGTCAAGATACGGTCGAACAATGTTGGTTTTCCCATGATTTTCAAAAAAGGGCAATGGTTGCCCTTTGTTGACATGATGGTGTACGGATGTTAAACCAAAGCAATGGGTTTCCGCGGGTGCTAGAAGCTTTGGCGTTGAGCAGTTACAAAAAATGGACGCCTTGTTTGGAGGTGACTTTGCATTGGTGAATCCGCCAAACAAAGAGCACCTTCGGGGCTGAACAGTACTGTCATTTGAAAGCCGTCATTCGGGGGCGGTAGGTTTCGCGTGGAAAATACGGTTCAACGTATCCCCCCAAAAGTGATTAGCCATACGCGGGGCTGTGTTGTTTGATGGTTTGGTTTCAGGTTTTCTCCTTGTATAATTAGCGATTTGGGGATTGGAACACCTGGTTCTTGCAGAGGGCATATGGGAAGCCACCCCGTAACCTTTACCAATCCAATGAGGGGGGCTTAAAAGAGGCATTTTGCCAAATTTGCAAGAGTTCAACCGTGCATGATTTCATAATAAGCATTTTTCCTTTCCCCGGTTGGCTTGACCGGGAATCTACGGCTCCCGACGGCTCACGACGAAGGCCCGGCCAGTCGACTTGTAAGACAGAGACCGCGGACTAGACAAACCTCCCAAGATGGCAACACTTTTCTTTTTGTTCCGGGTTTCCCTTGATATCCTACCAAAAAGTTGTGTTTTTTCCTCGACATAGTGGTTTTCCTCCCGGTTTGCATTGAACACCCAGAACAAAGAAAAAACGCGGGGTGCCGAGCCTCCAAGACTGAGATACTCTGGCACCCGAGGATTGTGGAACCACTTGTCGCCCCCGCAGATCGATGTGCAAGACCCCTCGACCATCCGCAAGTTCTGCGGCCAGAAGCTGGACCACTTTGACCCCGAGGATACAAGGACGGATGGATCCATAGTGTGGATGGACGCAATCCATTGCGCACCGCTTGGAAACCATGGTTGAAACCAGAACGTGTGTTGCTATTTACAGGCGAGTTCCAGGGTTTCTTGGGTGGTGCAGGATTTCGTCCATCCACAGTAGATCTCTGATTGGCTGGGTTCTATCTAGATGGGTATGGGTCCAAATTTAACCACCAGACCGCAGGTTTTACTCCATGTTTCCACTTACCAGCGTTCCATTTTTGGGTACCTATTTTTTGACCCACAGCCAGATGCTCAAATAACCCGGGTATAAATTGCTCACCTGGGCCATTGATGCTGCTCATAGAAATTTATGCAGGGGTTGACATGGGAAAAAATACAATCATGGTTTGCCTTGAACCCCCCAAAAGGGTACGTTGGTTGGACATGATCAAACAGGAACTCCTCTAAACAAAAAGGAAAGGGCTGGAAGTCTGGGCCTGATTTGTCTGATCGGCCGCCCAAGAAGGTTACGTGTCAAAATAGGGCGACCCCGAATGTGGTAGCTGTCTTTCTGGCTGCCCCTCAAAACCAACCTGAACAGGAGACCCAAAAGATTTTGTCTAGGGTATGATGTCAACCCAGGACAAAAAATGACTATGGAAAACCTGGTTTTTCAGAATCTACTCTGGGACCAGTGCGTATTGATACGGTCAGACCCAAACAAGTTGGGATTTCGCACGAGATGATCCCCCGATGCGGTTTTTCACGAGATCAGAATGGGAAAGTGTTGTAGAAACCGTGGGAAACAATCTAAGATAAAACGAGTTCCGGAAAAACACACACACACACACCCAATTTCCACACATGGCTAGGAAAATGGTCCAAGCCACCCCCACTCAGGTATGAGTGTTAGTTGATGGTAGGCAGGATATCCCGAAATGTTTTTTTGAAGGTTGGGTTGAGCTCTGATGTCCAAAGCGAATCAACCTTTTGACCTTTCGATTTTCCCGTGTTAGTTGGATTGTAGTCAAGGTTCCAAAGGGTAAAGTCTGTCATTCCTTGGGCAAGGCAGCGATGTTCTATGGGATTTCTTTGGAAATGATTCTATAAATCACTGGACCCGGTCCATTCGAACATCGTTATGACCATCCATGTGACATGTGTGCCGTTGTCCTGGACCCTGGGCTCTGAATGAGGGATTTAGACAGCCATGATTGTAAGAGTGCTTTAAACGGATAGTTCCCCTGGTGCGCTTGAGGTGAGTTATATATGTTGTTGTTTTGGGTTTGTTGTATGTGGTTTTGCTTTGGAGGGATTTCATGCGTTTCCTTGTTGGCAATTGAAGAGACATGGTCAATTGAAGGGACATGATCACGACGCGTACACGTCGTGGAATCCTTTGCGGTGGCAAAACGCAAATTGACTGCCAAAACGGAAGCCCTTACATAACAGGTATGTGCCCTGATTCAGTTGATTGAATCATTTAACTTGCCCACAAACATGTTTGTTGGTGGCCAACTATAGGACCTGGTGTCAGCGCTACGTGGTGAACCGGACGCACTACGAGGAGGGAGGCCCTGTCTTCATCTGCATTGACGGTGAAGACACCCCCTGGGGACAAAAGCGTCGGCCCTACACGCTGGCGTGCAACAACATGGCGCCTAAGTCGCACGCATTGTGGCGGATACCAGATGCTTAGAGATTGGAACTTGGAGGGATTTAGGCTCACTGCCGGAGTTCCTGGATTTTACACTTTTTGGGAAGACTGTCGCAGTGGTAAATACAAAGGTGGCCTTTTTGGTCAATCCACTTGCTCGGAGGCGAGTTAGGATATAGCTGGGTTGTATCAAAAGCTCCTTGCAGGTTGCGAAGCCGACGTTTCCTGGGAACCGGAATCTTGATCTGCCACATTGGCCGCCACATACCCCGTAGCCCGCTAGAAGCTGAATACTTTTGGCAAGGGATCGAAGCTCCGCAGGTCTCAGGTCTCAGGAGGGTACCCACATCTAGGGTCTCTTGAGGAGACAGATTTGTCTCTCAGGGCAAAAAGGAAGATTCCAAGATAGGTGGTTCCACTACCTGGTATAGGGGTAGTAAAGCCTATACCGGAGGGTTCGAAAAAGAATGGCCTTGGGAACTTTAAACAATGGTAGTTCGTATGTAAAACTCCCGAGTGTTTAACCTGGTGTAAATTTCCGGGTGACTGGGGCCCTATGTCTAAATGTGACCATGTCGGTATGGATTTAGCCTGAAGGCCTGGAGAAAGCCATGTGAAGGAATCGATCTGTGACTCATTGTCCATTTGCTTTCTTTACCCGAGTCATGACCCCTCCAGAGAACCCGGGCCCACTGCAACATCCCCGACCCTTCAAACAAGCCTTTTTGGAGGACCCAACAGCAATCGAGAGCCTTCGGGTAAGCAACTAAACCAAAAAGGGCTTCGAACTTAAGTTTGAGAACCTGAACTGGATCCTGTTTCTTTTCTACTGCCATGTTCCCATTGGTTTTTGATTGCCTGCACCCAGGGTTCCTCCCTTGAAACAATGTGGGTGACATAACCAGCATTGTTTACCATTCAGGACTTCTCATCTCAATTGGGGCCCCTTGGGTCAACCATTCTTTTTACTGGGAATCCGTTGAACCCTGGGGTGCGCAACATGAAAGTCCCCGGTGCCATGTTCCTAGCCGATCGGTTCCCACCAAGCGGGCGAATCCTCAGGTGGAGCTGGCCGCAAGCTTCAAGGCCGCGATCGTGGCCCTGGAGCATCGCTACTACTCGGGGGACGCCTTCGACGGCGTCAAGGAGCGCACGGGGATGGGGATGGGGCACGGCAGGACTCGCTTGAGTTCATGGGCTTTTGTCACTTTTGGGGGAGTTTGGACCATGTTGGCATGCAAAAAGTTTGGACTTGTTTGCAAGCCACCGGGAACAATGGATGTGGTCTGGTAAACCTGCAGTTCTGCGGGGTGTTGAGACATTTCGACTTGGAGGTTCAACCAACTTAGCAGGACATATAATTATGAGAGAGCTGGGGGGCCCTTTTTCTGGCTCTGACAGATTGAGGTTCCACAAAAGTCAGGTAACCCTCAGTTGGCGGCTTGGATTGGCGGGATTTGAAGCCCTTCTTGTAGAGGGTGAATGCGAAACTGACCTAGCCGCCAAACCACTGGCTCCAAATCACCAACCAGCGAGTCGACAAAAGCTGTATACACCAACCCAAACAGGTGAGATGGCACTATTCGCAAGGCAGCCTCCACCCGAACCACTTGTTACCAATACGCACACCCCAGAACCTCCAGAATCTCCCAGCCAAAATTGCCAATTCGCCGTGCGGCTTGTTTTGGGGCCGCTCGATGCCTTTGAGGGGCACAAACCGTTTTTTGATAGGGATTTTGAAAGGTACGAACCAGCAAAGGATCTTGAAACCCTGGCAAAGGTCCAAACAGGCATTCTGCCCTAATGCTCCTACTCCAAATACCCGCCTTTTTGCAGGAGATAGTAGAAAATGTGTTTTTTTCACGGCAAAGCCCTGCTTTTCGCATGTCAGGGGTTGACCTGATGCCGGGCTTTTCGTCTCATCTTTTTCGGCACTCGACGTTGAGGACTTCAGCACAAAGAACCTGAAGTACCACTCCAGCCGCCAGGACAGCCGTTGGGGGAGTTTGGACCCGGTGAACGCAGAAAAGTTGGGGGGAGGGGTGTGCTGGTAGCTTTCCGCTGGTCCACTTTTGATAAAGTGGCTCAAATGGTTAGCCTTTGATTTCCGGCTCCTTTGGGCGGGTGAGCAGTTGGGGTTTTGGACATGGGGGAGTTCTGGCAGCAGGTATTGGGTTGGTGGTGGTGGAAGTTTGGGGCTGGCTCAGTCCGCACTTGAAAAGCTTCCGAGGATTTTGTCATTTGGGGAGTATCTTTCCAAACTGTCTTAGATTTTAGAATAGACCTGAATTGGTAGCCTGGGTTGGGTTGTAGAGGGTAATTGCAACACCACCTGCAACCACCAAACCACCAGGCTGCAAACCACCAAAAAGAGGGAGGCTGAGCAACCCTGGTTATAACCCACGCAAAGAGGACTTACAACGACTTTGGCGCAACCTAACCGCGGGGTACTGATCCTCCCGGAGCATCCAAGGGCCTTCAAAGGAGGCTGCATGTCATGGTCTTCAACTTCCATTTGCTTTTCAGAATATGCCTGTAATTTCCCCTTTTTGGTTTTAAAGGGAATCTAGCACTGGAAACACAGAGCCTTTCTCCATTGGCCGAAATTTCACAGGGAAGTCAAAGTAAGCGCCGCGTCTTCTCCCTCGCTCCATGCCTCGAACCGCGTCGGCGCGCTGTGGCGAGGCGCTGGCGGACCTCAGCCGCTTCCACGACTACGCGAACAAGAAATATCGCACGGCAGGCGCGAATCGACGAATTCGGCCGACTTGGACTTCGGCGGAATGGGTGGATTCGGTCGGTCGCAGCGAATCAATCAGCCGATGGGATCAACTCGGTGGATTTGGAGAAAAGAACAGCCGATGTTAGTTGGAAGAAACCGAGGTTTGTGGTGTTTTTTCCCACTCTTTACTGAGGGTAGCCATTTTGTGGGTTGGTTTTGAAGGGGAAGCGAAAGGAAAAACCATGGCCAGTTTGGGGAGCCCTCATTTTGGGGACATACCCATTTGGTGATTTGGAGTGGTTGGATGTTGTGGAGTGGTGAGGTTGGAGGGTGAGAGGTACTGGCAGTTCAGTTGAATGGCCTCACCCGTCACTTGGGGAGTTCCCCCCTTTTTGGATTGACAAATTCCACCTTGGTAGGTGGTCAATCCCAAAAAGATGTTTTTGTTCCAGTCACTGAACTGGCTAAAGATTCAGCACCGGACCGACCAAAAATCCCCGCTTGGACCGATGGAGCTTAAGGTTTCACCCTTCAGACCCCATGAGGATTTGGCCCAGCACCCGAATCGAATCCGGCCGGGAAGGGGTACTTGCTAAATGGGATCAGTTCCCGTACCCCCATGGTTATCCCTTAGACCTTTTGGACATAAAAATCCGTTTCAGCTACTCTGGGGGAAGAGCAACCCAAGTTACTAAGTGGGTTGCAATTCCAGGCATTCTCCTAGTTGTTTTTTCTTTTTTCTCCGGGAGGCACCCGTTTCGCCTTTCAAAGGGAAGCCACAAGGAAAATCACCACCCTAAGGATCTCGACTGCTTTTGAGGGGAGTTCTGGGGTCCATTCGTGGCTTCAAAAGGTGGGAGGTGGGAAGGGGCTTTGGCTGGCGATATGCCTTGGGCTTGGCGAAAGGTTGACACGACATTTATTTGGGACACAGCGACCAGAACAGCGACCCAATGCCGACCCATCAGTATTTGGCCTTTTTGCTACCAGCACAGAACAAGTTTGCATTCTTGAGGACCCCGAAGAGCAGTCGGATCGGACCCTCATACCTTCAGGGTTTGAGACAGAATTGTGTGTCAGATGAGCCTTGACCATCCCTTTCATCCACCTCCTTTCTGACAAACCTATGCTCATCTATGCTCACTCGCTTTAACTCAAAAAGAGTTCCGACTCTCCAACTCCAAACCACGCTAGCAACAAATGGCAAGCCGCACCCTTGCGTGGATGCGTACTTCTGGCTATGTAATAATTTAATGCGGAACCACCTCAAAAGATTGATGGACATGAATCCCCACCTAAATTGATGAAGGGACCAATTCCCCCCCCCTTTGGGCAAGTCAAATTCGCAGGGGCATTGCGACCTTACAGTTGCCTCGAGCCCACGTGGAGCGCTAACTTTTTCCATAAGTCTGATTAAGATTTGAGGGTCCCAGGGTTGATTCCAGTTCCATTGTCTTCACCCATGTCACACAAACCGCCTATGTTCCCTGGCTCGGGGCCATTTTAACAGGAGAATGCTCGAAGAGAATGGAGATGGAAGGTCCGGCTAGGAAGGATTCCCTCTCGAGGCGTCCGTTCCATGTCGGGAACCCGCAAAAAGCTGCTTTGGGTCTTGGTGAGTTGGTGTCCTTTTTGGAGTTGGTGGAAAGCCATTATGGGGGTTTCTTCTACGTAGCTTCACGCCTGCCCATTCTGGTGCCTTTTGTCAGGGCAGATGCCCTATCCATTTTTGTGACCCCATTTTTTCCCAACGAGGCTGTAGCCGTTTCTTTATTTTTCCGGCTGACGTCCGCTGTTCGAATTCTTGGGCAAGCAATTGTTTCAATCAATCCCAATGCAAACCCACGGTAGCATATTTCCCAAAGCATCATTGGACTCTCCTATACGTAAGAAGTGGTTGAACACCCAAGTTGGGTTTGCAACTATCTTGTATTTACTCTGTAGGTCCTCAAAAGGGCATCCATTTTGAGAACCAACACCAACACTTTAATTGAGGTCCTAAAGTCCCTTCAATGGGACTGATCCCTGTTACCCTCAGTTCTATTCATAGGCTATATACTTACCCGTTGAACATCCACTGCCTGGTTCAGGCGCTCCCTGGGTTACCTTTGGGGGATCCTACCCGGGCACTTTGTCCGCTTGGGCGAGGACGGGGTACGGAAACCCAAAGCGCTGGCCCCGGCCCCGGGGAAAATGGATCTGTCTATTTGCTTGAGGCTACCTTTTTTTAGTTTTGGAGGGAACACACAAGGACACCGCCACACTGCGGGGGTCGTCCAGAAAAAGACAGCCAAATCGGCGGTTTTGTGGAAACCCAAACTCACTTGCTCAGAGCGAATTGATCTTTGTAACCTTTTGGTATTCCCTTGGTCCATGAAATCGCCCAAATGTGAATCTTTTGTTTCTCATTCCTTTGTGCAAGTAAAATCCCCGGTAGAATGGGGTGTTTCTCAAAGTGGAACTTGGAAGCCCGGCTACAGGTCCAGTTTCCAAAACACAGGCCCCTGAAGCTGCAAGAAGGGTTCTGGGTTCATTGTGGACAATTGGGGGACGTTTCCGTTGCAAGGGACTCTCCGTGATCAACCCCTTTGGTATCCTCAACTTTCTAACTTTCCATGTGCAGCTCCAAAGCCTGCGGCGTTTTCCATCCTAGAATTTTCTGCACAAATCAGGTCACGAATTGGATGAACAACTTCAGCCTCGGCAACAGTAGTCGCAGAATGGCCACCATTGCCACCATCTCACTCCCGCAATCTTCAAGTTGAAAACGTGAGCCTTTGCCAACTTTCTAGAAAGTGTTTGGGCCAGCTTGCTTGGAGTTCTTGGACGAGCATGAAAAGAGTATGGAAAGCAGACCCGGGTCTTCATGTAAAGGGTCCCGAACCCTCTGGTGGACCCTATTTATAGGTGGGGATTCATGTGGAACCACTTTTGAGGCCCACTCTTGCAATTAATTGAAAGTGTGGTGAGCGTGCGGGTGTGTCATTTTTGCGGTTTTCTTCTTCTGGTTTCCTTTAAAACCACCAACAACAACTTGTACCAACTCCAAAAAAGGACGAGCCACCCATGTGGTCATGGATCCAGGATGCTGTATCCGAACAAGTTCGTGGCTTCAGTGGCGTCCTCGGCCCCCCTCACGGCAGAGGCGGTGGACGTGGCCGACTTTCGCGGTTCGGTCGACTTCAGGAATCCAACAAGGCTTGTCTTAAAGTGGGAAACACACCCCAACAATTTGTGGTGTTGCTGTTGGTTTCCGTTCAACCCTGGCTTGGACGCTTTTACCATCAACTGGACAAAAGAACGGTTGTTGTTGTTGTTGTTGTTGTTGTTGTTGTTGTTGTTGTTGTTGTTGTTGTTGTTGTTGTTGTTGTTGTTGTTGTTGTTGTTGTTGTTGTTGTTGTTGTTGTTGTTGTTGTTGTTGTTGTTGTTGTTGTTGTTGTTGTTGTTGTTGTTGTTGTTGTTGTTGTTGTTGTTGTTGTTGTTGTTGTTGTTGTTGTTGTTGTTGTTGTTGTTGTTGTTGTTGTTGTTGTTGTTGTTGTTGTTGTTGTTGTTGTTGTTGTTGTTGTTGTTGTTGTTGTTGTTGTTGTTGTTGTTGTTGTTGTTGTTGTTGTTGTTGTTGTTGTTGTTGTTGTTGTTGTTGTTGTTGTTGTTGTTGTTGTTGTTGTTGTTGTTGTTGTTGTTGTTGTTGTTGTTGTTGTTGTTGTTGTTGTTGTTGTTGTTGTTGTTGTTGTTGTTGTTGTTGTTGTTGTTGTTGTTGTTGTTGTTGTTGTTGTTGTTGTTGTTGTTGTTGTTGTTGTTGTTGTTGTTGTTGTTGTTGTTGTTGTTGTTGTTGTTGTTGTTGTTGTTGTTGTTGTTGTTGTTGTTGTTGTTGTTGTTGTTGTTGTTGTTGTTGTTGTTGTTGTTGTTGTTGTTGTTGTTGTTGTTGTTGTTGTTGTTGTTGTTGTTGTTGTTGTTGTTGTTGTTGTTGTTGTTGTTGTTGTTGTTGTTGTTGTTGTTGTTGTTGTTGTTGTTGTTGTTGTTGTTGTTGTTGTTGTTGTTGTTGTTGTTGTTGTTGTTGTTGTTGTTGTTGTTGTTGTTGTTGTTGTTGTTGTTGTTGTTGTTGTTGTTGTTGTTGTTGTTGTTGTTGTTGTTGTTGTTGTTGTTGTTGTTGTTGTTGTTGTTGTTGTTGTTGTTGTTGTTGTTGTTGTTGTTGTTGTTGTTGTTGTCCCCCCCCCCCCCCCGGGAAACCCGCCAAAGAGGAACCAACTTAGGCTTGGCACGGAGAACAAGGAAACCCTATGTTTTACTGTAATTTACCATGGGTTGCGCCGAGTAGTGTTGGTGTACTTGCAACACATGTCCTAACAAGTGACGTGCTCAAAGCTTGTTTATGCACGGTGCTTAGGGACACCATCCCTAGAACAAGGGTTGCTTGGATTGTAGGTCAACTACATCGGGTACCTGGACGTGGTGTCCTCCGCGCTGACGGCCCCGTCCGTGGGAGGAACACCGGAGTGCCTGGCAACCATCACCGAAGGCCACGAGCAGGCCATCGAGCCGATGGTGACCTTCCGAAGGTTCCCGTCGCAAGGTTCCCCTTTCGGTCTGTAAAGTGTGTGCCCAGTGTTATGGCGATTCGGGTCATAATTTCAAAAAAGTGTGGTTCAAGTTGGTCTAACTTGCTCTCCTGGCTTTCCTTTACAACTCACTAAAACATTTGGAGTTTTGAGCATTCGAGCAAACAACAAGTTGGCTTGTTTTGACCAATCCGCTCCATCGAAAGTGAGTTGTGGCTTCGCCAACCAAAAGAGGGTCGGCCATTTTGGGAACTCCCATATACCGGTATCCCAAAACCGTCTGAATATATTTTCCGGAAAGGCCACCTGTGAGCGGGTCTTCGGGAACCTTTAGGGACATTGAATGGGAATCAGCCACTTTGAGTGGTGTCCAGGAACTTGAAGTTGATCCTTTCGCCGTCCGCACAGCCTGCTCGCATTGTTGTCACAAGGTAATCTTCACCCCGGAGTAAAAGCACCGCCCGATCATTAGGGGGGTGTTCGCTCCAAAAGTGATGAATGTAGCGGGCCCTCCAAATGGATTGTTTTTGAGGGCCCCCCTCAAAGGTTCTTCATTTGGAAGGCCCCTCATGGCATTATGAGATCTGGATTGGAGGGGTCGTGAACCTTGACTCCCAGCGCTGGTAGCTCCTGCGACGGCTTTTTGGACAGTTTGGGACATGGTGGAAAGAAGGTGCTGGGAGGGAAGGCATCGATTTGGAAACTAAAGGGTTACTGACATAGTTCACCTTACCTGTTTGGTTTGGTGGGGTGGACGTCAATTACGGGGATACTTTCCTAATTGGGCATCAATCCAAATCAAAAAGCGGGGTGCCTAAAATGTGGTACCCGTCATTCTCCCGAAAGCATCGCGAAGGGTTCTTCCGTGCGGAGCCCTTGGACAAGTTACATAGAGCCAAGTTGCACAGAGCCAACTTACATAGAGCCAAGTTGCACAGAGCCAAGTTGCACAGAGCCAAGTTGCACAGAGCCCAGTTGCACAGAGCCAAGTTGCACAGAGCCAAGCTACATAGAGCCAAGTTGCACAGAGCCAAGTTGCACAGAGCCAAGTTGCACAGAGCCCAGTTGCACAGAGCCAAGTTGCACAGAGCCAAGTGGCACAGAGCCAAGTGGCACAGAGCCAAGTTGCACAGAGCCAAGTGGCACAGAGCCAAGTGGCACAGAGCCAAGTGGCACAGAGCCAAGTCGTAGAGCTTCGGCGTAAGCAGCTATGTAAGTTACTTTAGCCGGGGTGGGAGTTTGATCATCGCTCGGGATTGCGACCCTCTGCGGAGATTCGCGTGGTCGAGGTTAAGCAACTGAGGACGTTTTACGGTTTCTGATCTGCCCGCGATTCTTGCGGTGCGCGCGCGACCCTCTGCGGAGATCGTGCGTGTCGCCGTGCGAATTCGCCTTAGTCTCGGCGAACCCTCTGCGGAGATCGTGCGTGTCGAAGCGCTCTCGCTGTGTCGATTTTCTTGCTCGCGAAATGGCCTTTGGAAGCTGTCTCATGGCTTGCGCGCCTGCTTTCGCAATCCCGCGGTCGCGGGTTCGATTCCCCCCGCTGGTCCGCGGCAGCTCCAGCTCGAAAATCGCAGCTTTTAAGTATGAAAGTAGTAGGCGAAGTACACTTTCGCAGCTCCGACTTGAAAATCGTAACTTTTAAGTACGAAAGTAGTGCGCAAAGTGCACTTTCGCAGCTCCGGCGGAACTTTTGAGCGCGAAGTACACTTTCGCAGCTCCGGCGGGATTTTTTATCGCAACTTTTAAGTACGAAAGTTGTACGCGAAGCGCACTTCCGCACCCATCTTCTAGTTGGTTTTGCTTCCCACGCGCGCTCAGCTTGCTCCATTCAATCCTTCAGGCTTGTATGGATAGAACTAAACCACCATGCCCGCTTGGTTGACGTGGGTTATACTTGAAAACGCTAATTAAGATGTTCCACCATGCCGGTTTTTTTGGAAGCCCGATTTGAACCCAGTTGATCTAGGGAAGGGGACTATGTAGGAGGGTGTTGGGTCCTATGATGTGACTTGTTTCGATTTGTTGGATGTCCTGCACCAGAACAGCTCCCCGTTTTGTGGGTTCCACCCTTTTTGCCCTGTTTCTATGGCGCGTTTACGACCACATGATCAACCACTGCGGCTCCCCGGCGCCGCCCGTGCTGTGCAGGTGGGGCAAATGCTTGAGACAGAGAGCGGGAAGCTGCTCGGCCCTTTGCGTGGAGCGTTTGCGCGATGACAATCCGCGTGTTAGGTGAGCATCACCTTTTGGGTCATTGGCGTGTGGCTGACTTTTTGGGGGGACACCCCCAAAAAAAGACACCCATGTTTGAAACGAGTTTGCTTTGGGAGGGGATGTTTTTTAGAGCGACATGTAGAGAACCCTGCTTGCCGCGATGCAACCAGGAGGGGTTTGTTCCCACTTCTGTAAATCCAGGAAACCTTCCCTTAACTTTCTACTGGGCTGGCTTATGCCTTTGTGTGAGATTTCAAATTCAATAATTCGATATTCAATGGCAAAGCCCTCCCAGCAGTATCACAGTGGGCAACTCCAGCAAGGGTGTTCACCTCTTTGTTTGATCCCGTCATCCTTGGCAAGCTGTCAACCTCCGAAGTGCTTGGCAAGCTGTCCAACATGTTCGCCTGGATTTCTTCAGACTCTGTCGGGATCTGTTGGGCCCCCTGAACAGCCACGGGGCAAGCCACCAGGGTACGCCTAGAGCCTTGGCCTCGGAGCTCGGGAGTCCGGGAGTCCTAGGCGAGAGCTGGAGAAGAAGTTCAACCTCTGCGGGGAGAAGCCGTTGGACTCGACGGACAACATTGCGCCAAGACCATACTTGAAGCTTTTTCTAGGCCTGCCTCCCCCATTCTTTCCAGGGATCCTGTCTAGACAACCTCCAAAACCCCGCCAAAAAGATTTTCGACAAGAAGCATGGTTGAAAAGAATGGGGAGCCAACCCTGCCTCCATGTCCCGACGGCTTGTTTCGGGGTCCTCCAAATGAGTCTCCAAAATGAGTCCCGAAAGAGGAATCGGTCGCAATTCGGGGTCTTCATCGGGCCAGAAAGTGGGGTCTGCATTGATTCCCGGTCATGGCCCTTCGTGAAAAGCCTGGCACCAGCGTTTTGACGCTGTGTATGAGTTTCCTTTTGCGAGTCAGGTGTTAGAGCTAATTCCTTTCGCGCCTGCTTTTTGGACTCTTGCTAGGGGTTGGGGACAGGAGCGTGCTGGCACAATGTTGCCCTTGTGGCCTTGTGGGGTTCCTTGATTTCCCCTGCCAGCAAACAGTTGTCACTAGAGCGCGAACACCCGGTGGTGCACTGGGTTTTCTGTTTTTGGAGTGTTTTTTAGCTAAAATCAACCAGCAAGGCAGTGTGGTTCACATCCTGGCTCAGGCATTTTGGGCAGGCAACGGTGTCATCAGCACCGTGCCTCAGTACAACTCCGCGACCTGCGAGCACACAAGTTGCAATGTGAAGTGGCCTGCCGGCATGTGAAGTGACCAAAACCCCTCACTCGCTTTGTTCAGGTTGTGTCCCAGCATCCAACATGAACGGGAAGTAAGCTGCTCCCCATGCAAGATATTAATCGTGCTCAACCCAACAAGAAGCCCATGCCAATGCCGCATGTCCAGAGTCAAAACCCTCTGTGGTAGGGGTGGGTAGGACGGAGGCGGTTCTAGTGGAACTCGTCCAACCCGTTGGATTTTGTGGATTTAGGGAGACCCCATATGTTACAAGAGTGGCTTGGAGTTCGCATGGTTGCACGGATTCCTTTCACATTGTGCCGCACTGGTATGCCCATATAGCAAGTTTGCATTTGTACGGACTCCTTTTTAAAGAGAACCTTACTACGTGGGTGATACTTCGAGATCGACTAAACATGTCAGCGAATCTGAAGATTCGCACATACGCTTGAGATCCCGGGACTCACTCTTACAGACTTATGACACGCAAGCGCGCTTCAAAAAGGTTACCCAGACCTGCAGTGAACTGTTGCTTGTGGGTAGAGGAGTTTCTTTACAGGGTTTCGCAAACCCTTCCAAACAAAAGGGTACCGTGCGCATCGGCGACCATGGGCTTTTGTTGCAGGTCAATGACATGGTGAATTCAACAAACAGACTCCAGTCAAATGGGTTGAGCGAATGTGGGGCTGGTTGAACCTCGGTTTGCTCTTACCCCAAGCATCTTTGGTTTGGCCAAACCTCAGCATGCTCCAACACAAAATGTGGAAGTCGGTGATAACCTGGGTTCAAGCGACGAAACCTAAAGTTGGTTGAACATCCAAGCAGGGGTTTCTACAGCTGGGTGAAAGTTTGTTTCTAGGCTTTCCAAAGCCGAGGCTCTTGTGCGGGAACTTGTCGTCGATGCGCTCCAGCAGCGACAGTGCGATGGACGCCCTGGAGATGATGCAGAAGTTTCAGCAGGACGTCCAACTGGGCCATGACAGACACAATCCATCCCGATCGACACCAGTTGGGATGTTGGGATGGGTGGCTTATGTTAGATCCAACTGCTGCGGAGCAGGTTCAAGGTGAACTCCCCGAAGCCCCGAAGCATCAGCAAGGACCCTCCATTTCAGGGTCCTCCCTGAAATCTGTCAATTCCTTGTTGACCTCGTTCAGCAGGGTTGGAGTCATTTTAACGGTTCAAGAAACATGGGACATGTGTTTGGTTGGGGCAAAAGCTGAAAATGAGAATGTCCGACTAGATGTCCCCTTGTAGTTGAAAGCGGGGTTATTCCTTTGGCCTTCGGATGACCAAGCCTCCTTCAAAATTGGAACTGGGTAAACTGCGTCCGTTGGCTTGCCTGTGCCATTTGTCGAAATCCGCGTGCCGGGAATTCGAAGTGATTTTGAGGGCAGAAGACATTGTGCTTTAAACACCTGGGCGAGGTTGATAGATGCGGCCAATCTCCTGGTAAAGAACAATTGCACGGCATTATGAATCACAAACATTTGGAAGAAGGCAGCTGAATATTTACATGAATGTGGGTCTTTTTGTTGAGGGTACCCGTTTTGGGGTGGTTTCAAATAGAAATCCTTTCAACCAACCACCAAAAGGGTACCCTCAAATAACGACGGCCCCACATGTAGATGCGCTACTTGTTTCCGAACAGGCCCAATTTGGGGGCATCGTTTGGAAGGCCCGAACTCGAGATGGGTGGGATGATGCCCTTAACAACTATCCTAGCATGAGTCCAACAGAATGGCAAGTACGCAATTTAGATGATCAAACTCAGGGAAACAACGGTGGCTATGCTAGCCCAACCATTGCAATGGGTTTCCTGCGGCCCATCCTTGATCTTCCACCCGCAGGCCTTGTGGTGCACTTGTGGTCCCCGCAAAATGGCACAGAGTCCATTGGAAGGTTCTTTTGGGATGCTAGAATGCCAGCTTCCTTTTTAGCTGTTGGTATTTCCAAAAGCGAAAGCGCAGCAACGGAGACCTGGAGCCGGGTCCCATCAGAAAAACGGCTTGTCTGATGCATCCCCGGAGGTTGCGAGCAGGGAGTGGGCGGGCCCCTTTAAACTTGGTGGTTCCCAGCCATCCGATTCCTTAGCTTTTTAGCCGTTTAGTTGGTTTAGTGGTAGTTTCCGAATTTGACTCACCAAAAGTTGAAATTTAGCAGGGGATCTGAGGACAGCACTGTAAGCAAAAAGGAAAGGTGCCCTTGTTCCCCATGGAAATCCATGAGTCTGGGAGCCCGTCACTTCGCTTGTGGCACTTGTTCAAGCAACTATCCCTGATGAATGGTTTCGGGAAAGTTGCGCGAAAGATCCCCCATTTGAACCCCCTTCCTCATGGACTACTATGGAGTTGATGTTTCAGGAGCAGTAGTTGTCCGACGCAGCTGGGGTCTCCTCCAAAACTATATTTCTAGTGTTGGGTAGACTCACCATGCACCCCAGATGTGGGCCAAAACAGGGTCGTATTCACTTCTGTGCTTCCAGGCCCTCCGTTGAAGGGGAGTTTGGGACCGCCATCCTCTATTGGAAGGTTTTGGTTGCCTCAAAACGGATGCCGTTTTAAGAGGATCCGTTTGAGGCTTAGACCTCCCCGCTTTTTGAGGCCACCCCAAAAAGCGGGGAGGCGTTGGGCCAAGTTTCGGGATTACGTTCAGGAGGAAGATATCGCACGGGGCGGAACAGCCAAGAAATGTCACGACGTGTCCTACGAGAAGTACGTGAAGGAGACTCACAGCACCCTGCACATGGAGCCGGAATCGTCACACAAAGGTCAATCAAAGCATTTGATAGCCGCCTCGGGCTACCACGGTGCTGGGATACCCACTTCTTGTTTATTGTCAAACGAGTCGGCAGACAACGAAAGCAGGTATTAACCCCGTAAGCATCAGAACCCTAAAGATGGCTTTTGACCCGTTTGAGGTGGGACCCCCCCCTCGCTTCCTTCACGGTCTCTGGAGTGAGCCTGGGGCAAAAGCAGCTTTGGAATGTTCATATTTGATGAATTTCGGACAGACTTGTACAGTAGAATAGTCCCATTTCTTTTTGAGGCAACATGGTTGTCAAGATGAGTGAAGGCCCTCCCCAATCAGAATCTGGTTGTGAGTAATCCTCGAATATAGCACAAAAACCTCTACGCTCTGCTCCAGACAGCAGCTACCACGGTTTGAAGGGCCATGAGCAATCAACTGGTTGTCCAGAGTTTACCGCCACGTCTAACTCCGGGGGTGGCATAATACCCTTCAACACGCGGGCATTTTGAGTAGGAGGCTTCTGACGCCTCCAATTGTAGACCCTACAGGCCTCGGTAGAAAACGTATCGCGTTCGAAATCGCTTGCCTGACTGATCAAGCTCCGCCAAACCCAAACAAAACAAGCACAAAAAAGAACAACTTGAGTTGCATGCGCCCAACCACGAGGAGGAAGCTTGCCATTTCACAGGCCCGTCAGCTTGATATCTTTTAGGCGCATCAGTCTATAGGATTGGGCGTCGCTCGAAATGCGGGACCCCCCTGGCTTGAAAGGGCATATTGGTTTCACAACGGAATTGCGACTTGGTGTACCATCGGAACAATAACTCCCTCTTTTTTGAAGGTTCCACTTTCTTTCGGGGGGATTGTGACCCATTTTTCTCAGGTGTTTTGTTGCTACATGTTTTACCCAGTCGGGATAGGAATGACTGTGTAAATGTTTTCGTAGCATCTTAAGTCTTTGCGGTTGAATGTTAAACAAGAGGAGCCTGTTTAAGGGTAATAATATGTTTTTGACTTGGTTCGGCTGCACGTTGTGGGATGCGGAGACCGTGTGGGGTTGGGGGGGGGGGTGAAACACCAAGATGACCGTCACCAAGATGAGCGGCCCCGGAGGGGGGGGGATCCACCTTTTTGACAACAGCTTCTTTTTTTTTGCTCGGAAGGAGTTGAGCATCACGGAGAAGGTGAACGGCTCCTCCCCCGAGACGGAGGGCATGTTCGGGCGGCTCTGGACCTATCAGACCTGCACGGAGTTCGGATGGTACCAGACCTGCGAGGAGGGGACGGTTGATCAGGTAACTCTTACCCTCCCGACTAATATGGAAGTGCTCAACTGTGGAAAGACGACGTGCCTCTTGGAAAGGGGCGTTGTGCTTCCTTGTTAGGTGGGAGCGTAGTTGGTGGTTTGGATTGGTGGTTTGGGATTTGAACCCTTGGTTTGTGTGGAGGGCAAATGGAAAGCCACCCCGAAACCACCAATCCAAACCACCAATTAGAGGGAGGCTGAAGAAGTTGACAAGAGATTGCGATGACTCAGACCTCCCCACATCAAACAATGAGGCATTTGCTTCCCCCAGTTACTCCGAGTTACTCCGAGTTACTCCGAGTTACTCCGAGTTACTTGCCGCCCCCCCTCCTTTTTCTGGGATGGCAATTTGGCCTCAGACTCGTAGGTTCTCAGAACCAAGCCTTTAATTTGGATTGCAACGTTTCCCACACCTAAAGATGGGTTTCATCCCAGTTGTTTCTTCCACTTTGTTGGGTGGGGGCGTTTTGAAGTCAACCGCCGAAAAGCCGGTTTGGGTGGTTCTCAGAAAAGAGTTGTTCAGTGGTTGCTTGCCTTAACAACTGGTTGCTCTCTAAGAAAATTAAAGCATGGTTGATGGGGGTGACTCCCTCCTTCCCTGATAACCAGCAAGGAAAGGATCATTTGTGGATGTTTTTTTGGGGGAGCCTCACATTGGTTGGGTTTGCAGGCAAGCCAAAAGGAACCCACGCATTGTGGGTTCTGATTTTGAGCCAAGACCATGTTGGGTTCGCCGTAAAAGGAACATGTGAGCCTAAAACCCCGGACAGGTGAAGGTTAGTCAGGCACAATGCCAACCAGCATGGATACAGGCGCCAAGATGATTCTTTGCATTTTTGGGTAGACTCCTTTAGCACCAGGTTTTGATTGTGCCTCTTGGTTCTCAGACTTACCTTCCAGGACGCTCAGGTAGTTGTTGAAGTCACTTTAACGGGCCCAGTGCCGGGCCGAAAAATCCCGTTTGCGCCCTCAGCATAGGAGGGCTTGGGACCTGTATTGGAAGCTTTGGGTTCAGCCTATTCCCTCACTCTTTGCTTCCCATGGCAACCACAGCTCGTATTGGAAACCTCAGGTTCTTTAGTTGGAAACCTCGTGTTTGGATGCTGGAGAATGCCCATGTTCCAATGGTCTTTGGGTTCCTTTTGCAGAGTCACCGAGCAACTGGGACACGGAGGCTTTCCGATTTAAGGGGCCGGTTTGTCTGGATATCTGAGGAATTGGGCGTGTGAAAATTCGGAAAGACCCAAACCAATTCGCGGGGTTGGCTGTGAGCTGAAGGCTGAGGACATGAAGTGCTCATGGAAGCTCGTGATTCAGCCTGGGTTAGCAACCAGGTGCCCTATGTAACAGGGAACCTTCATTTTGACAGCTTGCTGGATGAGAGATATTCTCCCCACATCCCGGGCCGAAATTGAAGATATCTCTCTCCAACACCTGGTTTTCCACATGTCAAAAGATCAAGTGAAGTCCAAAAAGTCGTTGGGAAGGGGTGTGGGCAATGCTTATAGAAAAATGCTCCACTTTCTGTGGGTGTACTGTTTGCTGGTAGTGGAACCTCAGAGCGCTCGAGCTGAGGCCTCATGATATGAGCTTCTGTTGTGTTTTGGTGTTGATCTCCCAAAAGGAGTTTTGCTGTCCCTTTGTTTCCAAAAAAACAGCCTCAAACAGCCTGACAGAAGGTTGTTGCAAGACAGGCGAAAGAAGCTTCGGGTCGCCATGCTTGTTCACAAAAAGCAACTGGAAACTACGGTTTTAGGTCGCCACTTTCTGTGAGTGGATGGTTATGGTTAGATGAAAATCTGCACCCAAAGATACTAAGAAAAGGAGTCACTTCCGGGTATAGACAAAATCCAGTAGGACCTTCAATGGCACGTAGCTTGGAGCATATGGTTGAGCTAAACAAGTTTTTGGCTGAGACCGGACATCGCATTTTGCCAAGCATTAAATCCAAGTAGCGTCAGCGTGTCGGATCTCATACCCTGGCCTGGCGACAAAGTCCGCCGTAAGACCATTGCAACTTGTTGGCGCTCCAACCTCCCACCTGCCCCCAAGAAAAAAATCGCAGTTTTAGTTCTACCTGGTTTGATGTGGGGGTTGATTGGGGCCGATATGAGTCTGTTGTGTTTTTGAGAGTACTTGTCTTAACACAGTTTCTGTGCACCCTCTTTGTTATTGGCCGAGTTCTAGCCTTCAAGCGGGGTAACTGGGGTTGGTTCCCCTGCCTTTTCATCCCAAAACCTACTTTCTTGGATGTTTTATACCCATGCAAATCCAAAGCCACCGATGGCATGTTTACCTCGACATCCGACGGCAGGAGGGGTCCAACTGCCCCTTCACCCGGGGCTACAACACCATCGAGTGGGCCCTGGACTTGTGCAGGTGCCTTCTCGTTGGCACAAGACAAAAACTGATCGAGGTGTGAATGACTGAAAGCGTTGATGGTCATCAGCCCTACGGATTGTTGACGTTGTTAAGTTCTTGACGAAATAAATGTATCAAGCTGCATATGGACATGTACATATATTATGCATACACATCGACATATATGCCTAGGTCTTCCCTGCGAACTTATTTTTGTGTAATTCCGTTTCGAGCCAATCATTTTCCGTGAGAAACTGGCCAATTCAAGGTTTCCGCTCATTTCATGTTGTTCCTCTCAAAATCTGTAACGAGCAAACAAAACAGAACCCAAAAAGCGACCTGGAAGACCTAGGCGTACATACATACGGTTGCATAATGTTACATTACATTACAATACGATACATTGCGCTAGATTATGTTACATTCCATTCCCTTACGTTGCATTACATTTCATTACATGTAACATACACGCGTGCATTAGATCTGTATTTTTGAGTGAGTGAGTGAGTGAGTGAGTGAGTGAGTGAGTGAGTGAGTGTGGTGAGTGAGTGAGTGGGTGGGTGGGTGGGTGGGTGGGTGGGTGGGTGGGTGGGTGGTGGGTAGTGTCAGTGAGTGGCGAGTGAGTGAGTGAGTGAGTGAGTGAGTGAGTGAGTGAGTGAGTGAGTGAGTGAGTGAGTGAGTGAGTGAGTGAGTGAGTGAGTGAGTGAGTGAGTGAGTGAGTGAGTGAGTGAGTGAGTGAGTGAGTGAGCGAGTGAGTGAGTGAGTGAGTGAGTGAGTGAGTGAGTGAGGAGTGAGTGAGTGTGAGTGAGTGAGTGAGTGAGTGAGTGAGTGAGTGAGTGAGTGAGTGAGTGAGTGAGTGAGTGAGTGAGTGAGTGAGTGAGTGAGTGAGTGAGTGAGTGAGTGAGTGAGTGAGTGAGTGAGTGAGTGAGTGAGTGAGTGAGTGAGTGAGTGAGTGAGTGAGTGAGTGAGTGAGTGAGTGAGTGAGTGAGTGAGTGAGTGAGTGAGTGAGTGAGTGAGTGAGTGAGGTGAGTGAGTGAGTGAGTGAGTGAGTGAGTGAGTGAGTGAGTGAGTGAGTGAGTGAGTGAGTGAGTGAGTGAGTGAGTGAGTGAGTGAGTGAGTGAGTGAGTGAGTGAGTGAGTGGAGTGAGTGAGTGAGTGAGTGAGTGAGTGAGTGAGTGAGTGAGTGAGTGGTGAGTGAGTGAGTGAGTGAGTGAGTGAGTGAGTGAGTGAGTGAGTGAGTGAGTGAGTGAGTGAGTGAGTGAGTGAGTGAGTTGAGTGAGTGAGTGAGTGAGTGAGTGAGTGAGTGAGTGAGTGAGTGAGTGAGTGAGTGAGTGAGTGAGTGAGTGAGTGAGTGAGTGAGTGAGTGAGTGAGTGAGTGAGTTGAGTGAGTGAGTGAGTGAGTGTGAAAATGAATGAAAGTGAGTGAGTGAGTGAAAGTGAGTGAGTGAGTGAGTGAGTGAGTGAGTGAGTGAGTGAGTGAGTGAGTGAGTGAGTGAGTGAGTGAGTGAGTGAGTGAGTGAGTGAGTGAGTGAGTGAGTGAGTGAGTGAAGTGAGTGAGTGAGTGAGTGAGTGAGTGAGTGGTGAGTGAGTGAGTGAGTGAGTGAGTGAGTGAGTGAGTGAGTGAGTGAGTGCGTGAGTGAGTGAGTGAGTGAGTGAGAGTGAGTGAGTGAGAGTGAGTGAGTGAGTGAGTGAGTGAGTGAGTGAGTGAGTGAGTGAGTGAGTGAGTGAGTGAGTGAGTGAGTGAGTGAGTGAGTGAGTGAGTGAGTGAGTGAGTGAGTGAGTGAGTGAGTGAGTGAGAGTGAGTGAGTGAGTGAGTGAGTGAGTGAGTGAGTGAGTGAGTGAGTGAGTGAGTGAGTGAGTGAGTGAGTGAGTGAGTGAGTGAGTGAGTGAGTGAGTGAGTGAGTGAGTGAGTGAGTGAGTGAGTGAGTGAGTGAGTGAGTGAGTGAGTGAGTGAGTGAGTGAGTGAGTGAGTGAGTGAGTGAGTGAGTGAGTGAGTGAGTGAGTGAGTGAGTGAGAAAGAGAGAGAGACAGAGAGAGAGTGAGAGAGTGAGTGAGAGAAGGAGAGAGAGAGAGAGAGAGAGTGAGAGTGAGAGAGTGATAGAGTGAGAGAGTGAGAGAGTGAGAGAGTGAGAGAGTGAGAGAGTGAGAGAATGAGAGTGAGTGAGAGAGTGAGAGGGTGAGAGGGTGAGAGGGTGAGAGAGAGAGAGAGAGTGAGTGAGTGAGTGAGTGAGTGAGTGAGTGAGTGAGTGAGTGAGTGAGTGAGAGAGTGAGAGGGTGAGAGGGTGAGAGGGTGAGAGAGAGAGAGAGTGAGTGAGTGAGTGAGTGAGTGAGTGAGGGAGGGAGGGAGGGAGGGAGTGAGTGATTGAGTGAGTGAGTGAGTGTCGCTCCGAAGAACACGGGCGCATGACCATCCGCTAAAGAGGCTTGACCACGACTGGACGGTGAATGGTGATGAATTGAAGGCCCGTGCAGTGAAGGGCTCTCATTTTGAGCAAAAGGGGAACAAACCATCGGTCTAAGATGCCTTTTGGAACCCCCAAACCTCTTCCCCCAGTGGTTTCAGGGGATATACAGCCACTAGAGTCACCTTTGGGTGGACATAATCTATTCCGCACCAGTTGGTAGATGGTTTATGGCTATAGTTGAGCAACTGGTGTGAAACGGATTGTGCCCACCTACACGAGTCACAAGCCATCCTTGGCTCCTTTTCGGTGCATCTTTTTTTGGAGTTGATTCCCTTTTTGGGTTGATTTTGCCTGGAAACAGAAGGGAACTGACCATTTGGTACCCCTACTTGACACGCCCTTTGGCTCTGCTTCAGGCTCCTCTTTGATATTTCCCCAGAAGAAGTCCGCGAGAACATTGAAAGCACGAACAGCTTCTATGGCGGTGCCGACATCGATGCACCTTGGATCGATTGGAACGCTGTGAAGGCCAAGATTCCTCCCTTTCCTTTTGGGTCTGTCTTCTTGTGAGGGTACCCCTGTCCTTGCCAGTCGAAATGGCAAACTCAAAGCTTCTTGTTGGCAGGTGTCTTCATCATTGTGGTCAAGAACAGCGAAGTTCGAACTTGTTGGCCCGCAAACTCACTTGTTTCCCTCAGTAAAGACATGAAGCTTGGTCACAGCATCCACCACCCCCGACTCTAAATACCCGCTTGTTTACGAGTATTCTGTCAAGCCCTGACAAAACATGAACGGAAAAGAAACGGGCTTTTTCAGATGTTGCCTAAACATATGAAACCACCCCCAATTGATTTGGGCTTGGGGTCGGTTATGGACCCCGTGAAATTAGGCAGCCATAAGGGCTCTCGAGGGAACCATGCCCACTTTCCGCTGTCGGCAGGAACCTCTTTTCAGGCTTAAACCTCGCCATTTGGTCGGGACGACATTTCATTTTTCGGTGCTGAATCCGAATTAACCTACACATCCCCCCCTTTTCGAACCACATAAGCTGGTGTTAAAATAGTGGCATCCAAACAGTGCGGTGTTCCTTTCAAAATGTTGGCTTCCCTTTTTGAACATACTTCAAAAAACCCGATACTTTCCCTCCGGTTTCCCTTTTTGAACCAAACCGAAAGCCGGCGCGCGCCCCGCATCCAACACACGGGGGGCCTCTGCCCGCGTGAGGCGACCCGCGTGGTGTTCCCCAACGGGGAGGTGGACCCCTGGCACTGGGAGGGCTGCTTGGTGAGCCCCCGGCCCTCGGTGGACACCATCTTCGTAAAAGGCGGCAGCCCGAAATGCTGGGGCTGTTTTTTTTTTGGGGGGGGTGTGTGTTTTGTGTGTGTTTTCCTTGTTTTCTTCTTCTTGGTTTTCCTTTCTTTCTTGTTTTTGTTTTCCCTTGTTGTTCTTTTCTTTCGAGGGGACCGCTTTTAACGGTTCGCTTAAAGGAACAAGGATACTTAGCAAACCATTTGATAAATCCAACATTCAGTGTGCGTGTGTGCTTTGTCCATGGTGTGTTCAAAGGGCGGAGATTCTGTTTGAAAGAGCTATTCACCAACCAAAGAATTTATCAGGTCGTTCTGGTGATTTGCCAACGAAATGGGCGTTGAACCAGTCCAGCACCCGCTTTCTGTGCTAGGGGCCTCGCATTGCGAGTGGATGCATGCAGAGAAGCCGGGGATGCCGGAGCAGCTGATCCTGGCCAAGAGCCTTGCAAGGAAGTATTTTTTTCTCAACTGGGTGCTAAATTCGCTACACAGCCCGCATGGACCATGGTCACAAGACCGTGGTAGCAAGGATCCTCAATAGCAAATATAATAATTATTTTATGGGAACCCATAGGCCACATAAGGAGTTTTGACCAGCCCTGGCTAGAGTACCAGCCGGCAGGGCTGTGCCGGACAATCTCGAGCGGTTGCCATGGCTACAGCTATGTCATGGAGATGGTCATTGTGGTGCTCATCAGGTGGGTACAGGAGGTGGATGGCGGCTTTGAGCAGAGGAGGCATTGGTTGGATGGTGCATTGTGGAAATGATTGAGCGGAAGCTGCCTTTAGTGGATATTCTGCATTTGCCTCTGTCGCCGTCCATTGTTCATGGAAACATCTGTGAACCCTCAGTGCCAGCAGATATGGTCAACTTGGCCTTTGGTGCAGGACCTTTATGTGCAAGGGTGTCGTGTCAGCCGTACTCACGCCTGGAAGATCAGAACCGCAAGATGGACGACAGGACCAGCACATGCTCAGTCTTGGGTTTGCCCAAGTGAACCTCGTGGTTCTCGCATGTGTACCGCAGATACAAGGCAGGCAATGGGCGCAGGAGCCTATTTCCGAGTATGCTCAGCAGCGAGGCCATGGTGCATTGCAAACGAAGTTGCGCCTACAGCGTGCCTGGTGGAGTGAATGGGGCCGCTTGTCAGGCGCAATTGAGCAGAGCGTTGCAAAGCAAGGTAATGGCATTGATGCTGCACCTCGTGCCGCTCCTGTTATTTTTGCATCCGGCCTCTGGTTTGCTGGCATGCTGGTCAGCGGTTGTTCAGATGTATGTGCCGGGAGCTTGCGATTCTTATTCGTAAGACATGCGTTGTATAGTTTCACCAAGCCAGTTTTGTCTTTGTCCGGAACAAGTACCATTGAATTTGGTGGATGCCGCGCCCTGGCATGGTGTTGTGTGTGAGTGGCTCTTCGCTGTGATGGACGGGTGCTGCATCTCACCTTTTGTTGGATGTCTCCTGTAGTCGGGCCAGCCGTTGCCGTACAACGCCGGCTACACTGACTTGTGGGGCTCAGCCACGCGGTTGTTCCCGCAGAGGACGCCGACCAGCCGCCGGTAACTCGGAAGCCCAACAAAAAGGAGGACATTGAGTCTTGACCACGGCATATGCGTTTTTGTTGCTTTAAGCAAGGAATGATTGCCAAACACAATCTTTGCCAAAAGGAACGCCAAAAGTGCATGTGTTGTTTGCTCCAAAACCCACTTTGCCACTATGTTACAACCAGTCAAGCACATCCTGGTAGAAGGGCGATTTGGGGCTGAGACAAAACTGGGATGTTTGGTAATTTTATGTGTGGTCCAATAAATATGAGCCAGGGTCAAGCATACTATGCGTTTTTGTTGGGGCATTTCGACCTGCTTACCAGCCCAACCAATGAAGGCTAGTAACAAGCCCGACTCTTGCCTGCAACGAACTCTGGAGACATAGGCTTACGACCAGAGAATCCAGAAATCCCACAGTCGCACACTTGCCTGTCAAAAAGGCTGACTCAAACATCACTTGTCGGCCAAATTTGGATCGAGCTTGAGGGACATGCCCCTTCCCCCACCGATTGCCAGTTGGAGTTTGCGAGCAGCTGCGTGTTAAATTGGTGCATATCGGTGCCCTTTTTGGGGTTTGTGTAAAATCAAACCAAAGGGACACCACCATTTTAGGTCCCCAATGTCAAGACTTGTGATTGCGCAGGTAAGATATTGTTTCGAGTCCCCAGATTTTCAATTTGGTTTGAGAGCATCACCCGTTGGGCCGCCGAACGGTAAGTTTGCGGGATGATGTTGACGGGCAATACTTCTGACGCGCGTTCAGGAAAGCCATCCAGAACAAGATCACCTCCTATCTAACAGAGCATCACGGAAGGGGAGCGCATCATGCACATGAGGCTTGGCTGATGTTCAGAGCTGAGGATTTTAGCAAGGCCAGCCCAGTTGTTTTGAAGCACCCTTTTTCCCTTTTTGCTTGCAGCTTTCCGAAAAGCAACAATTCTGTACTGCTCGTTGACAGCTTGTCCCGCTGGGTGATTCATTCTGCAAGTGTGCCGACTATGATTCGTTGAGCGGCAAAAGGCGGACATTGACTCAGTTGCCCAGCGACCCTGGTAGAAACAGGGAACCAACTTGAGTGTTGACCATGTTGAGTTGAGTGAGGAACCCACCACAATCCAGTTTGGTAAGCGCTTGGAAATAATCCAAAGTCTGGCACGCTCATCCATATCAATTCCATCGTCAGTTCAAGAAGATATGAAAAACTGGCAAACAATGAAGCACGACAAATACAATGGACGGGGGAATGAATGACCGCAACGCAACTGCGCGTGCCCGATGTTGGTTTTGTTTGGCTCCTTTCCGTGGGTTCCACGACTCAAAAATCGGGGGACTGCCCGCCGTTGCCATGGACGGATGCCCTTTCGAGGTACCTTTGTTGCATTGGTGTTAAAGAGACACTAAAGCAAGACCACTGCTGGGGTCCCCGGTTTTACCACCCAAGTTGTATGTGTGAGTGTGTGGTTTTGAAGGTCTGCTGGTTGGGAGGGCGCCTGATTGCTGAAGGGGCTAAGCCAATTGTCTGCCTTTGGGCTTGGTTATCCATTAACTAGAGGCGCGTGGAGAACAAGGGCCTACAGAATTAGAATGGCATTGCGGGGGCTTAAGAGTGAAATGATGTTGTTTCAGAGGCTAGTGTGTGTCATTGTTTAACCCCTTGTGTCAATTCGGTGCAAACCCACTGGAGACGGCGTGTGTCCCGCAAGTGTGTTGAATAGAGGACTCAAGCCACACCCCGGTGGAAGCAATATTCTCGGGAGTGGAGACCCAAAGAAGTTCCACCAACGTCAGGTCAGCAGGTTGCTGTAGAAATTGGGGGTAGCCCCCTCTGGCATCTCCTCCGGAACTCTTTGGGTCAAGTTGCAAACATCGATAGCAGTGGGGAACTGCCCCCTTATAGGCTTGGTTAGACCCGGCTTACGAATTGGTTCGAAGGCCCACGCACCGCATCCGAAGCCACCTTGAAGTGGCGGGGTAGGAAGGTTAAGTTGGGCTTCATGATTCCTCACTGACAAGCAAGTCGCCTTTGGATCTTTCGGTCTTCCTATCTTGCCAGTGTTGCCAACGTTCCAAAGGCGCATTTTGTCTGGCAGAAACGAAGTTCCTGACATAGCGATGCAAGTCAACCTTGTGACTTTGACCCTGATTTGGTTCATATATTAAGACAAGGTGTCCAAAGGTTAATCTCTTGAAGTCCTGTTGGTTGTGGGTGAGTGAAGTTCGTTAGTGAAAACAAAGCTCCTTTGACTCTTGGGCTGCCGCCCAAAGCACCGAAATGATTGTTGGCAAAGTATCCCCCTTTTAGAAACCCCCCGGACGCACAAACACACAAACACACAAACACACAAACACACAAACACACAAACACACACACGCAAGCACAAGCACAAGCACAAGCACAAGCACAAGCACAAGCACAAGCACACACACACACACCCACACGCACACGCGCACACGCACACGCTCACGCACACGCACACGCAGAGAGAGAGAGAGACACACACACACACACACACACACACACACACACACACACACACACACACACACACACACACACACACACGCAAACACACAAACACAAACACAAACATATACATGAACACATACACGAACACATACATGAACGCATACACGAACGCAAACACAAGCACAAGCACAAGCACAAGCAGCTTCAACTCCACGAACACCAAGACAAACACATACGAAAACACAAACACAAGCACAAACACATACACGAACACCAACACAAACACATACACGAACACAAGCACAAACACAAGCACGAACAAAAGCACAAATACGCAAACACGAACACAGCACACATACACGAACACGCACACACATATATACACACACACACACACGCACCTCTGTAGCTTGCTATTCCTTCAATTGGTGCCACATTCTGGCTCCGTCGCCACCAATTTTGCAACGGGGGGCTCCGAAATCCGTATTGAGAAACTCTAGGGTTTGATATCGGATGCGAATAAGCTGAGGTTTCTTTCATGGGGGCTCCCGAAAGTTGGATTCGATTTGTTCGCGTACATCGTTTTCATGATTTTCTTCGAGAACTGTTGTTGTTTTTGTTGAATTTACACCAGCCGTGATTATTTTGAGTTATATTGAAATTCCTTATGTTGGATTCTCATTTTGTTTTTTCACCGACAAAGCGAGTAAGCAAGTGAGTGAGCGACTGGTGATTCCAAAGAGAAAAACACCTCGATCCCCTTTTTTGTCACGCCTGGGGAGGTCCTGTTCTTTCTTGCAAACCCACCGGCTCCAGTCCAATTTCTTTTTGGAACCACATATTTTGAAATTACGCCTGGGGGGTCCCGGTGTTTTGTTTGTTGAAATCACGCCCGGAGGGTCTCTTTTTTTCTGTGGAAATCACGCCTGGGGGGTCCTAGTGTTTTCTTTTTGTGCATCACGTCTGGCGGAATTCAAAAAAGAAGAAGAAAAAGAAGAAGAAAAAACGGAGCCCCCAAGCGTGAGAAAAGACACCAGGACCCAGAGCGTAAATTCAAAAGCAAGCCCCAGGGCGTGAATTCAATAGCAAAAGCACCCCGCCCCACAGGCATGAGTGCAACAAACATCACCGGGACCCCCCCCGGCGTGAATTCAAAATGTATTCAAAAACAAACACAACACCGGAGCCGCACCCGAAGAAGCGGATCGGGGAAGCCAAGACCCATCCGCGCCTTTCCACAGTTTGGGTCTCCCTCTTGGACACGAAGCTCGCGTAAGCTCGCAAGAACCCCCGGGATTCCCCACGCGTAGCTTCAGGCGAAGCGGAAGTTCCTGTCATCTCGGGCGAGTGATGTGGACGTGGTGTCGCACCTTCAGCTGGAGCTCTGAGCTTTCGAGTCGGGTGCGCCAACGTGTAAGAATTGTCCAAGTTTGGAGCTAAGCAATTCACTTACAAGCTGATTGATCGGCTGAAAGGCGCGTTTGGACAGGGGGATGCGAATCCGTGGCTTGCTGGATGCTACTTCCTAGGTTTAGTAGTCATCCCCACATAGGGTCACCAGACTCAACCAGAGCCTGAGATAGCTGGTACCACCCCAGTTGTTCGATATGTTCCATGTATGGGTTAGGGGTGCTTGCTTTTGTCCCTTTTCTGGCTCCTTCCTAGATGATGTTGAACGCCGACAAGGAGGCAATGGGGTGTTTGTGGAAATTCGGCGTCCGTACTTTGTGTGGCTGATTCCTTACGAGAAAGACCCCTATGGGCATCGGTCAAAATTGGGAGGGTCCAACACTGATGGTTGAAAAGAGCAGCGTGATAAAGTCGCACAGCAATAGTCCAATAGTCCAACGACAAGCTCTTGACCGTTCGCTCCAAAGAGAGCTGACTGGCGATCGCAGACAGCGGACATCTCTAAAACGAGATCTCTGGACGTTTACACTTGTCGAGGTGCGTGGAGAAATTGAGCGCAAGGTTCAAGGGATGTACGGCCTATCGCAAAAACACGTGTCTTTTCATATTCAGGGTCGGTTTCGACGAACCAAAAAATCCTGGGTTAATATCTGGCGTGGTAGTCACGGTTTGACATACCCGGACAAAAAGGCTTTCTTCTTGTTTGTCCATGGCTCCGAGCCCGAAGAGTCGCAGGCTTTAGCGTGAATCAACTTGATGCTTTGGGTTAGTGGTTGGTGGGGGGTCTAACAGAGCCAGGGGTTCACATCCCCAAGCCGCAAATTCAGCGCTAGCGGTCCATTGGGAGAGTGTGGCTTTTCCATTCGGTTGGGACCTCGATGGCTTCCGCCTTTCAGTCTGGAGGTGTGAACCCTGCGTCCCTGATTCTAGTCGGTTTGAGTGTTCTTCCTTTGTTGTTTTATTTTGTGTTATGTTTTGTTTTCTATTATTATTTTTTTGGCGGGGTGGGCAAGGGGAGCTGCAAAAACAATTCGGTCCCTAATTATGGAGAGGTGATGCAGCCCAGCTACTGGGCAATCGTTTTGGGGTGCCCTCGGACTTTTTCGGCCGGAGGGTAATCATCAGCTGCTTTTGTCAGAATTTCTCAGAACAGTGGACCCCCTGTTGGTTGGTTTGTTAGAAGCGCTCGGGGGTCCCCTATGTGGACACTATGTTTGTTTGTCTTTTCTGATTCTTGACCCTTACTGTTTCAGGGCCACCTTTTAAGACCTCGAGTTGTCAGACGTGTTTGTTTTTTCTTTGTGGTTGGCTTCCCTTGCAATAAAATCAGCACAGTTAACTAAATAGCTTAATGGCTTTCAGACTTGAAACCTGACTTTGGCCCTTAACCCGGGGTGTAGCAAAACCTGAACAATTACACACATGATTCTCTAATCACTCGACTTGGTCTTAAAGTGCCTCGCAAACTGGTTACTTCGGCCCTATCCTTCGCCCTTTTGAATGACCACCCATGCATTTAGGAAGAAACACGGCCCAAACAAACGGGGAAAAGCGGGAAGAACTTGAAAATTCGGGCAGGCCTCCCAGGGAACCCCGGGCGGACTTTCCGCTTAATCTCGAGGCCATGACGGACTTCAAGTTCCGTGAGGCCGTGGATATTGGCCGAGTTCGTAGTTCCCTTCCAGCTGGTGTGGGTCTCTAATTTTGTCGCCAGGTGTTCGTCCTTGTTTCCATCTTGTTTCCATGTACCAGGGTTCAATTTTGGGGGTTGCCGTACTTTTGTGACTCAGACCCTTGTGAATAGCTCCCCAAAAAGATATGCTAGCATTACAACATTGGATTAATAAAGCCATTTGAATTGGGTCACGGCCATTCTTTCAATTGGGGTGAGCCCTAGGGGTACAGAAATTATAGCACTCCCCAAATGGACGGTCCACCAAAGGAGTTTGCCCTACAAAGAAGGTTGCTTGCAAGGGCGATGAGGACCTTCTCACTTGTCCAAAGCAAATCGACCGTTTGGACCATTTGGTTTCCTTAAGCTGGTCTATTTTTTGTCAAGGTTCCAAAAGGTTAGCCTGTGTACGTATATTTGTGCATGAGAAAGAAGCCCCAAATCAAGAAGGGGGCAACGTGCGGGGCGGTGACGCTTCACTTCGCGTAACTTCGGCCGAAATAGGGCCAACATAATGCTTAATAAGGCCTTATTTCAGCCATATGTCTACCTCATGTCTACCAGATTCATATTTGTTGTTATATACCTTAGTTCAGCCGTATGTTGGCCAGCTTGTTTCGACCTTATTTGAATGACCTCCAGTTCGAAATCAAAACACCTATTCTTGCCTTATTGTTTGGATGCAAATAAGCCTACCCTCCCCCTCACACCACCCCCTAATTCCCATGATATATCTGATTTAAGCCAATGGGTTTACACAACCATTGCATCAAAATTGGGTCCCTTTGAGCATGGGTTGAAATTGAGGGGATTGCCCATGTACACTCGCGGGATATTGTATTGCTTGTTCTGCCCACAGACAGGACCCCTCTATTCAAGGAGGTGTTGGGGACCTCCAGTGGAGAGTTTTTGGGAACCCTCCCGTCGGATGTCACAAACAAGGGCCCATTTGATGCTTGGGGTAGGGGTTGTCAAAGTCAGACGCTGGGGTTGTTTCTCTTTAACTCATCACTTCGGAGCAGGGGCAAATGTTTGACGCTCACCGATGAGTCAACCGAGCTGAAGGATCCTGTCTTGGGGATTCCTGAGAAAATGCCTTGCCCAAAGCGACTCGACCTTTGGACCTTTTGGTTTCCCTAATTTGGCTCTCATATTTACCGGGATTTCCAGGTCCTCTGAGGAAGTGAGACTACTCCAAGTGGGGTGTCTGTCTTTGAGGGAACCCATCTTAGGGTGGTGTTAAAGGCAAAGCAACAGGATACCAACCACTTTGGGTTTCCGCCATTCTGAGCCATTTGTTTAGGCCATGATGCCAACCCTTCACTCAGAAGTTCGGTATTTGCTTTGGAAAGCCAGGTTTTTCAACTCTCCCAATAAACAGATGGTATTTGGAGTAGGGGTAATTCCGGCCCTTGTTGGATCTCCCAGAGAAAGGGGGAGATGTTGGGAACTCCCTAACACTATCATCCCAGTTTCCACGGGGGCGTGGCCAGGGTTTCAGATCACAAGTTACCCAAGAGGTGATTCCAACCGATTCCCATAAACGGAATGGCAACCAAGGGATCCATTGGTACTTGGCTGTTCCCAGCCGTCTCCTGAGGTTGTTTGGTTTGTAGGGTTGAGTGGCGGTTTCCATTCAACCCACTAAATGTGTTTTTTTGGTAGGGGATTTGAGGACAGCCCAGGGTAAAACTAGTGGTGGTACTTTGCCCTGATGGCATGCTTGGGTTGAACACCTTCAAATTGAGACGCTGAAAGCAGCATGTGCCAGGCGATGCTGAGCTGCTTTGAGCTGATGGCCACACACGAGGCCAACCAGGACAGAGCCCAATTCGAACGAAACGCCTCCAAACTACCTGGCAGGATGTGGCAGGACTTTAGTCCCTGTTTTGGAAGAGCATTTTCGGTCGCTGATTTGGGGTTGGTTTGTAAGGAAACCACACGGATGAAGACCGATTCCTGACCGATTTCGGATATGCCAGTTTAGCAGGAATGAATGATTGGGAAGCAGCAGATGATGAAGCAGATGAGGATGTAGGGGAAAACTCTGGACATCTCCACCCACTTGCACTTGGAATGTAAGTTTTGTCTTGAGTAATGTTTGAAGGGGTCCGGGGCGGAAGGTTCAAGGGAACAACTTATAACTTGGAATTTTGGGAGCCGCTTTTCCTTTTGAGGCAGAAACGCCACCTCTGAAGCACAAAGCTCACGAGGGGCTGAGGGTCAAGAGTCTGGGAACGACATCAAATAGCAACCTTGCAAGTTGGACACTGGGTTTGCCACCGATTTCACTGCAAGTTCCGCGTTATTTTGGGCTGGACATGTTTGAGGCAACATTTGTTGAAACAACCCGACTTACTTGCCCCAAAAGGTTGATACCCTCAGTTTTTCTGGCTCTCCAGCACCTATATAGTTATGGCCCTGTGTCCCAGTCTGGTCTCTGCTCGAAGGGAAAATCCAAAAATCGTTGGGCTCGAAATCGTCAAGTTAGAGAAGGCACGAACTTCCCTGACACGTTAAGCTCCCTGAACCCTACCGGACCACCCCTAAATATGAACCCAAAATTCAGAGACCCTGAAATACAAGTAACGGGTCTCCTCAACAGCAAGTGCTCGCGGCTGTCAGTACCTCAGGAGGGTGTTGCCTTGCTCTTCCTTCTGGGGGTGCTGATGACGGCAAGGGGCTTCGCAGCAGCTCGGTGTAATGCCATCACTCCCGTTCCTGGTCCCTCTTGAAAGGATGGTTATGCCTAAAGCCCTATGGAAGTTGGGATGTCCTAGAAACCTAGTGGTTGTTCTGACTCTTTCAACCCCCCATGAAACAAAGAATGGCCACAGCGCGATCCAAATTCAGATGATGAACCAGTGGTCAATGAGCAAGCGATCACCAGGTCATGAAGACTCTCTTCGTGTCTTCCTTTAGCCTGACTTTGACCATCCGCTTATGCCGGAAGCTCAGAACGGGCGACAGGTCCCCGGCATGGGCTTCGGTGTCAACTCAAAACAACACCAACAACAAGCATACTCAGCCCTCAAAATCTCAGTTGGCGTTGGGTCCGGGAAATTGGCGGATGCATGGATGGCTTGTTACTTTCCGAAGGTTCCCAAAAGGGCTCCGAAAACGCCCATTCAAGGGGTTGGTCTTTTCCACAGGGTTCAACCGATTCCCATTACAAGAATGTCAACCAAGGGGGCCCAATTTAACAATCGTGGTTATGTGTGGGTGTGTCTTGCTTTTAAGCATCCCTGTTTTGGGTTGGTGAGGGAAACCCAATAGAAAATCAGTTGTTTCGAGAGTCCCCTGTGAGAGACTCATAGTTTTGATGGCCAGATCCCAAGTCCCTGGCCCCTCGAAGACCCAGTGCTCCATGCCCGCTGGCTGAAATGGGACGGACGTTTTGTCACTTGGGGTACCGTGGACGCTTTTTGCGCCGAGCCGGTTGCCGTGTTCGGGGGGATGAAACCTGTGAGGTGCCTGTTACCAGTTGCCCTGTGGACTTGTAGGTTTTACACCTCAAGTTCACATGCTATCCTCTGGTTACCTGCAGTACCTTGCCAACATGGACTCGCAGTCTTGGTCCCTTAAGAGGAGTATGGTCGCGCACTCAGTTTCGTGCACGTGCTGAGCCCATGGGAATGCTCATAACATGGCTGGCCTTCCGGCTTCGCCCTTTTAGACCTTGTCGAAACGTCTCCGTTTAACCTGCAAAAGGTTAGACCTGTTGCTCTGGGGGGAAGAGCCGCCGAGACAAGTGGTACTACAAGCGTGGCATTGGCTTGCGTAAGCTTGTATGAGACGTATATATTTACAACCTCCAAATCTCCAGAACCTATACGGGTGTGTCTGTTTTGGGCGAACCACTTGTTTGAGTTGAAGGGACACCAAAAGGAAACTGTTGTTTTGAGGGTCCATTTCCGAATTGGGGATACGTCCATTGAACACGCCCAGTTGCCACTATAGGTAACCTGCCAGTTTCCTTTAGTCATAGGCACCCCAACACCCATTTGTTGTAGATTCCATTGTTCGCCCAGAGGTTCAACTGAACCGAAAACAGTCGGGTGGATTCCCACAGGTGGTTTTTAAAGGGTTCCCTTGGTTGCCTGTACAGGTATAGATATGTGTGTGTGTGTGGGATTGTGTGATCCCCCAGAATGGCTTGGGCACCAAAAACAGTTGCCAACTCCAGCTGCGTTTGTTCGCTTTTCCGCGGCCTTTCCCCGAGGCGTAGTGGCAAGCCAGGCGGGCGGGCCAAATCTGACAGGCTCCCGATTAGATTTGGGTCCTGGGACTGCCCTAGTCATTGGATGGGGTCCAGACCTATGGAAGGTTTTGCTTGCCTCAAAGCTGAGGGCCCGTTTGATGCCTAGAGTGTTTTGTGTCGGGCCCGAAGGAATCGCGATTCAGGTCGAGCGGGGTATGAAAATGACAATGTGAACCTTGAACGAATCTGCAATCCGAAGGTTCTCAACTTGAGGATGCTCGGCTGATTGTATGTATAGACACATATGATCAAAATGAATTATATACATACATTATATATCTATATATGTATATATTGTGCATATACCTGTATATCATAATTTGTATATTATATATATACACACATACATATATATATATATGAGCTATATATATATATATATATTGATTTGTATACATATATGGTCAACCCATGGGAATCCCTGCCTGCTGAACATGCCTGGTGTAGGCCAGTGGGCCAGGAATCCCAATTCTCTTTTGCAAGCGCCGTTGGCGCCCTTTCCCGAATTACCAGGACTGCGAGTCCGGCCCCAAAGAGGGTCTGCTCACGAACTGAAAGGTTCCTCCCCTAATTAGTAGAAGGAAACTCAAGGTGTCCAGGGAATGGGAGTCTATCTTAAGCTGAGAGCTCTTGAAATGGGCACCTTTGACACCCAATGAGCTCGCTGATTCGAACACGAGCTTTGGTGAGGTGCTGGGGAATTCCCTTGTTTCCAGTTGGTAAATATAATTAAAAGCATGGGTGGAAATAAGACTATCATTGTACATTGTTCACGGGGTTCATTATCTAAATTGGGACAAGAGGCTTCCCCACAAGGAAAGTCGTCTGCCAACACCCTACTCATTAAAGGGGAAGGACAGTCATTGAAAGGAGTTGATTGCCTCAAAACAGATTCCTTTTTGAGGCCCAGTCGAGTAAGGTGAACTTCGGATTTATCCGGACCCCACTTGTCGCAGCAACCACCAACTAGCAGGTGACATGTTCTTTAGTCCGCCAAGCCACTCGTTGAAATCCGAAGATTGATGGAAGCGTCGCAGGAAGCCTGGACCCTGGTGGGCCTGCTGTGTGCCTTGATGGTGCTGCCTTGCGCGGCCCTTTGGCAAGCAATCTCCAGTTAGCTGGAAATCCTTTGGGTGCCTTCTGGAGCCTCAGGGTGGTTTCCTCGGTTTAGGTTGAGCATCTTGGTTGCGAAAAAGGCGAACTTCCATTTTGAGGTGTTGACCTTCCAAATGGAGGCCAGGACACTAGATGATGAAGCTCCTGAACGGTAAACAATGGCGGTTTTATTACCCCCCAACCATTGTTTTAGTGGTCTTCACTCACGGAGCTGGCGTTTGGTCCAGAATCAGCTCCTGGTTTTAGGTAACCTTTTAGTAACCCAACCATTTGTTTTATAAACCCCAGGCTTGGGTTGACCCAACCGATTTGTGTTAAAGCCCATTCAGGTCATTGTGGCTGACCGCCTCTACCCCGTCTTCGCCTTCGCCCTTGGCTGCTGCTTCGGCGCCGGCGCCGTGGTTGTCCTCAGAGTTCCCCTCGGCCGCTCCGGCGAATTCAACGGGGTGCCTTGGGATTTGCGTCGGCTCTTGTTTGTCTTGGTGGTTCCCTGGCATCCGGTTCCTTAGATGTTTTTTTTGTTTGGTGGTAGTTTCCACTTGACCCGCCAAAAGTTAGACGGATCTGAGGACAGCCCAGTTGTGGCTGTTGGTTGTTCTGAAGAACCTTAAACAGGGGCGGCTTGAGGAGCCTTTCCCCCTTTTATGCGGGTCGCGTCTGACGCCTGGTTTGAACACCCATAATTGGGAATCTCTGGCTCGGTTCCGTTCCACGTTTGGTCGGTCGTGAGGCTTTGAGCTTTCAAAAAAATGGAGGGTTGAGAGATGACCCCCTCAATCCCGGATCAAATCCCGGAGGGCGGCCAATTGCCCAACAAAGCCCCCAATTCCAAAAGAGCCGAAAAAGGGCCAAGTAGGGCCTATTGTCGGACCCCTTAGACCCTTCACGTCGGACCGGTGCGAAGCGAAAAACAGGTTCGGATTGGAGCATTGAAAACTCATGTCGGACCTCGTCTCAAGTGCATTGTCAGATGGCCAAAAATCAACATGAGAAGCGTTCCGGTTTTGGTCCGGCACGGCAATTCTATATAGTGAAGCCACCATAGCTATCCAGTTTCCCAAAGAGATGCCGATTCGGACATAGACACGATGGGTGCCTTGCCGTTTGGAGAAACTTTACGAGCGTTTTTTTGGGCGGTATCCGGCCTACAACCGCACCAAGGGGTAGGTTTCTTCAAAAAAAGTCAAGGTCAACTCAGGCTGGGGTGCCTTGGGAAGAACTAGGCAACCTGTCGATCTCACCGAGGCTTGGCTTCTGAGCAGATCTTTCTAGGCTTCCAGATCGCTTTGGGCATTTGCTCAGGTGCTTTCGGGGGGATGGGGGGGGGCTTCCTTTGGGATCTCTGGGAGGTTCTCGAATTTAGGGAATCTGGCGATGGTTGTTTTTGCTGGTGTCCCTTGAAAACCATCCAAAAAGGGATCCCTATTTGGCGAATCACCCATACTGTAGATGGACGAAATCGATTTCGCACCACCGAAGAAACCCTGGAATGATGTAAATCGCCTGTAAGTACCAACAAAGGCGATGGTTTCCCATGGTTTCAAAGTAGGGCGAAATGGATTTCACACCATGTGAAGTATGATTCAGGTTTGCTTCTTGGTGCTAAGGACCCAGCCCCTCACAGAGCGCTCCCCCGGTAAATGTAGGTTGCTCACTTAAGGATCTCTCAGGTTTGGAATTGGAAAGTTGGCAAATGATTGGACTCTTTTCTGGTCGAAACCATGGACACTTGTTTCCTTTCAGTATGTAGGGCAAATCTGCCCGAAATCCGACCTTCACAAAGCACAATGCGGGTGATTAGGGTGGGGGGGTGCCTCAGGGTTCAGTTGGGAATTCTGCTCGAAGAGGCTTCATGTTTAGTCAAGGTCTGGAAGTTTCTAATCAGGCAACCCTTAGTTGGTGGTTTGGATTGGCGGTTCGGGGATTTGACTGACATCAAAAGGGAAACATCCAAACCACCAAGCCAATGGTCCAATTAGAGGGAAGCTGATCCAAGATTAAGCAACAAACAAACCAGCATCGACACCAAACGGCCATTGCGCACATTCAGCGCGCTTCAACCGGACCACAAATTGCCGCCAACCGGAGACCATGTCTGGGCAGCCAAGCCAAGCTGCCAAGTCAAGGACAATACCCTCGCAGAAATGGGGCGCAAAGAGCGAGGAATATGCAGCACCATACTAGCGCCGAACAAGTTGGGCCGCGTATCACCAAATCTGCCGCGGCAAGTTTCACTGTCACCGTTTGTAACAAACAATTGGAAGACAAATAAAGCATCAGTTTGTCCATCAGAATCCTCGCAACTTCGGTCCCAGACGCTTGACAGCGCGCACAAACCAGCAAGCAACCCGCGCGCGAGACCTTTGTCTCGTGCAGCTCAGAGCGTTGTTCAACAGAACGCACCTACAAGCAGGAAGACAAGAAAGGGGGAGACAAGAGGAGACAAGTATAAGTATGGATAGGCAGGTGGAGACAAGTGGGCAAATGGGGAGACAAGTGGGGAGACAGGAGGGGCAACCATTTTGTGACTGGTTTCCACGCAAATCGCTGAGGCCCTATGACTTGTCGCAAGCTCCAATCGCAACAATACCACTCTTTGTTTGGTGGGTAGAGTTCTTCATCATAGGAAAAGTTTAGAAAGATCTTGTTTTCCCGGGTTTGAAACGGTGCGGTACAACACCTTATGGAGGCAACGCGGCTTGGGGAAACGTGGCGAGACGGGAGAGTTCTGGGGGAGAACCGCGAGGCGCCGCGCTGCTGCAGCTGCGCATGCTGGGCTGGCGCCTCAGCACCCCGCTGCTGGGGGGTCTCCTGGTGGCCGCGAGCCTGCGCTTTGCCGCGAACGCGGCGGCCCGGCACACCGAGCGGTTGAGCGCTTGGGGCGGCCCCGATTTGGGCGTCCATTTGCTTGGGGATTTCCGTTAAAGCCAACAGGGGAAACAGACATGAATATGTCTAGGCAAGATTTGCTTAGAAGCATGTAAATAAATATAATTATATATATATATATGTATATGATTTCCCCTGTTGGTTTTAAAGGGAATCTGTCACTCCTGGATGTGTGTATGATTTCTTCAACAGGACTTGAGCCAATGGAAGGAGTGGTTTGAAGCATCATTAAAAAAGAACAAAAAGGAAAAGCATGTCATTCTCAAGGAGTCGCCAGGTGATGTTTTCCCTCTTGAGTTTTATTGGGCCCTTTGGTGGACATCATGAGTTGGTGCGGGGCTTGGGGATTTGATTCTGCAACCACTCTAGAGGTTCCCTATCAAGATACATTGCCATGTGCTCCTTTTGGTGGTTTGAAACTTTTCGGGTCAATTTGTGACTCGCCTGGGGTGACGTTAAGCAGATGCCCCTTGCCATGTGCGCCACCCGCCTGGCCAAGGATGTTGCTTTCAGGGCCAAGACAGGGCAGCACCTTCCTTTGGGAGGTGACATGGAATGTCCTTGGTGCTTCCAGCCGAAGAAAAACGTACCCAGCCACCAGCTGATTTGGTTTCAGCCGATCCCCGGAGGAAACTTGGAACGCCAAATCTGGTGCCAGGCCAGGCGATGTAATGTGGCTTGAACTGGGGTTTGTAGAAGTCATTCCTGTTTCTAGACCTTCAATAGCCATGGGCCAGCATCACACATATGGCCGTGTCTTAGAAAAAAGGGAATGAAACCAAAAGGTGAGGTTCTTCTGGCGTACTTTTAACACCACTCCAAAGGGGCACTACCAAAAAAAGCACACGCCACCGAAAAGGTGAAATCTACGTCCTCTAAGATTCTGGGGATCTCAAAAAGGCCGAGTTTGATGCAACCGCATGCAGGAACAACCCTTGCTTACACAATGTTGACGGAGTGGGCTCGCGTGGATGAGATAAAACATGAATCTCAGCCCTGGCTGTTTGCGGTTCATCCCTGGCTGTTTGCGGTGGCTTTCTGCGGAAGTCCGCCTAAGGTGCTCAGCCGATTTTGCTTTACAGACTCCCCCGCCTCCATGCAAATTTCGCAGGAAGAAGCCGCTTTAAAGCAGGGACCCTGCACCCCTCCAAAAAGCCTTCTACGAGGGGAGGGGGGTTGGTCTGGTAGAGGGACCCGTCTTCGGGGTGGTTGTCTGACCCATGCTGCATGCCTGAGGTCGGAGCAACGATCTCGCTTGTTTTTGACACCTTCTCAACGTGCACTCTACATGATGAACAACAGTACATCTAAGCTCTTCGCCGGGCTAGGGAAGTCGCAGATAAGGACAACTTCCCAAGGGATCCTTGGGCAGAAGTCAACCGCTAGGCAAAAGGCAGCCCGAAATCGCCAAAAGATCTGTATCACTGAACACTCGACTTGATAGCTGTTTGGGTTCCGGTTCTCAAACATGTGTGTTCTATTACTTGGATAGGTTTGGGGTCAGGGTTGGTTTAGAGTTCATTCAGGGGGGTGCTTCTCAAAATAGGAATCGGTCCTCTACAAAATGTCTGGGTTCTTTGTTTGTTTTCCTTGAACCAACCAATAGGGGTCCGAAATGCCATGGTCGAAACATCCAGTTTGGGGTCGGCAATGTTCATGGACGCAGGGAATTGCCGAGAACCAGGATAAGGAATTTGCACTAGAAGCCCGGCCATGACCCATTTCACGCTGGCATGCCTTGTCGGTTTGAAACAGCTACCGTTTTGAGTGCTTTATATTAAAGGGAAACTTCATTTTGGGAGTTTTCGAATCTGTGGAAGTTGCATCGTGACCTCATGAAAGAGTTTATGATCCTTTCTTGTGGTGCTCTGATATCAGGTCGGTCAACAATCGTACTTCACACAGGAACATAATTAAACGGAAGGTTCTCAAAGCGGTGAACCCTTGGTTTCGCGTTTATTATATACAAATTTGTGGGCACGACAAATGGTTGGATTCCTTCTCCCTTGATACCGTGAAAAAAGTACCCTCAAAATGGCGAAGGATACAATGGCGAAGGATACTCTGTGGTTCTGCAAGACTGGTTTGCCAAGTTGAAACACATGCTTGCACTCCGGGGTCGACATCATAGCCTACAAATGCGGGGGCGCCAGGGTATTTGCCCAAAGCAAACCTGGGTGTCAAAGCCTCGCCACGGGTTTCGCTCAGGCTTTGGGCGACAGCAACTCGCACAGGGAAGGGGGGTTAGCTGTGAGTTTGGCACCCCAGATCTCCAGACTCAAAGATTGGGAACGAGGTCACCATGATGTAAGTCCTTCTTCTTGGAGAGTTCTTATTTCCTTTTTCTGGATTTTGGACATGCAGACTTTGCAGAGTCCCTTCCTTTCCCAAGGGACAATGCCCCTCCAAGATCTGCACAAGAAGAGGCCTGAAGGGTTGTCCCCCCTCAAAAAGGAGAAATGATTGGTGGACACAAGTTCAACCATATTCTTGAATGAACAACCAGCACCCCCCAGCCTTTCTGCTTTTTCAACCCGAAACCCGAGTAACCACTGTCCAAAAAGCATTCGTTGGAACATAGTGGTGAGCTCCTGGCCCCGAAGTAAAGGTGTCCTTGACGGCGCAGGCTCTGTGCTCCGGCGCGGATTTCGGGCACGGGCAAATTCATGAGCTGGGACTGGGGGTGGAAGTGGAAACCTGCAGTAAGTGGAAACCGAAGAAAAACACCAGCGAGTGCTGGAAATAATTTATTTCATGGCTCGGAACTTATTTTTGAAATTTTTATTGTCCGGGACTTTGTGTTGGAGCCCCGAAAAGGGTGTGTCTGCAAAGGTACCAGGGAGTCACGCTCGGATGGCCAACGAGAAAGTGGACATAGTCACAGGGCAAGCACCCCAAGCTTTCAATCCCTTTTGCGAGTCGAATGATGATTTGAACCTTGGGACGACTGACCTGCGGATCTCCACCTTTCCCACTGCCAACATGTTGGCTCAACCCATGTTGGAGGCAAGTTTCCTGTTAAATTCAACTACCATAACCCTGGAGGCGAGCGTACAGTTCGACTCAACAACCAACATTGTGGAGGGGCTCGCTTAAAGCAACTCCGGAACGTTGGAGACGGGTTTTCCGTGAACTTCAATACCAACACTTTGGAGGGTGTGTCTCTTTAAAACAACTGCCAACGCATCAAAGGGGTTCCCTTGAGATTCGACTACGAACGTTTGTTTTTGCTGGGTTTTCCTATAAAGTCGACTACCAACAGCTCGGAGGTGGGTTTCCCGTTAAACTTAGCTACCAACATATTGGAAGGGGGTTCCTTCAAATTTATTGGAGGTGTTTTCCTGTAGGATCAACTGCGAACATTTAGGAGCGGGTTCCCTTTACTTCCATGTGCCCGAAAACATTTTTGTTTTCCGCTATTGGTGGCAAGGACAATCTATCACTACTGGAAATACTTGTCCAACGGACTTGAAACAAATTGAGGTAACAATTCAACCATACCAACATTTTTGGAGCGGGTTCCCTTCAAAGTCAACTACTGAGAATTCGGAGTTGTGTTTGTTTGAGAGCTCAACTCCCAAAACTTGGGAAGGGCCTTTTCAAAGTTGATTTCCCAGCAACACGGGTTCACTTTTCGGATTCGTTGGGTTTTCCACAGGTCTTGAATCCTTTCTGGATTTCCTGCGCATCGATGGGGATCTATCGGATCCGATCTACGTGCTCTCCGGCTCCGATTTTCGTGCGAGACCTGTTTTCTAGTGCTTCCCCATTCTTTCCATGGATCCTTTTCGAAAAGAACGATGGTTGGAAAGAATGGGGAATCAACCCTTAGATGTTTTGAAGGTGTTTTCAGGCACGGTTTCCTCCGTTTCCTTTTTTGCAACCTCCCAAAGTGGCAGTTTCAAAAGAAACCACCAGTGCATTGATCAACTCTTGAAGGAGAAATCCAGTGTGTCCTAGGGGCCAGGATACGTGGACCCGCTTTTGTGATGCTAACCGCTGACTAAAAATGGAGGTTACTACGCAAATGTCTAGTTCTTCGAAAGATGACCCACATGGGTCAAGCAGGGGCACCCAGTGGCGCCTAACAGCCAACAGCCGGTCTAGCAGAGCTCCCACTCGCCCTTTAGGCTGGGAAAATGGATGCGGACCTGGAAGAAAAATGCCGCGGAGTCACCCGGGTTTCAGCCAGAAAGTTCACGACCGCTTGGGTCAAAAGCAACCCTGATTCGTGTGTGGTCCATTCTGGGTTGGGGGTTTCGGGACTTAGTCGGAGAACGAACCCAAACGCTCCCACGTGGGGAACAAGTGACGTTGGCTGCTCATACCAGGTTTGTAAATCATTGGTAACTTGACATTCACCAAAATACTTCTGCTGATGTGCTCCTTTCTGTGTTCCCGGGCAGAGACCCCACAGCTTCCAGCTGCTGGGGAACAATGGTTCCGAATCGTTTTCTACCTTTCACGTCAACTGGGCCACCCCCCAAAAAAATAACCAACAAAAGATGTTGGGGGTGGCTTCTTGGGGAGGTAAATGAGACCAATGTGTTCAAATTTTGAAATCAGCCTCATGCCCCATTCAAGGTGACACGTTGCAGAGGGCCCCTGTTTTGTTCTTTTTTACTTATTCACAAGTGAGCGATGATAAAAGCACCGTTGGGTGAATTATGTTACCTGTGTTTATGGGTAAGGCCCGTGTAAACATTCATAGCCAAAAGTCATATTAGCCAACCGAAAAGAAAGGCTTCAAAGGCAAACCGAACGCCACTCATGTGCCAAAATACTACCAGCCCTTTGAGGCCTGCAGAAAAGAGACAAGGAGCTGTACCGATGCCTTTCGGGGTGTGTCCACCATGTTCCACTCAAACGGAAGCAAACCATGTATACCCTAAGGGTCATGACATTGTAACCCAATGCACTCGAATTGGAATGGAGAACCCGGAGCGGTCAACCAGTTCCTCTTTGAAACCCTCAAAAGCAATCCCAGATTTGTTGGGGCCAGACACAGTCGAATTGGACTCGAAATGGGTAAAAGTGTGTCAGGTCAGATGAGAAGACCTGGGCATTGTTTGTGCCCGCTCATGTGTTTGACATCTTTTTACACAAAACTCTCAACAAGGCTGTTCTTTGCATTTGTTTTTGTGTTTTTTTCTTGTTGTGTGTTGGTTCTGTTCAGTGTTAGTGGGCTTCTGGCAAACCCAGCAGTTTTCTGATAAAACTTTCCTTTAGGATCTGGGAAGGGGCCCGGCCGGCAGTCGCTTCTCTCGCCGACTTGAGGCTTTTCCTTTGCACCTGGGGCATCTGTAGCCTGCTGGGCTGGTTCTCACAATTCAGCCGCTTCATGGGCCTGGAGGACCCCTGCGCGCTGCCAAAGCCGCTGGTGGAGCTCTTGAAGCGAGCGCAGGAGATGAGACGAGACGGGAGAGACCGCTGGTTCCCGGCCACCCCGTAGCTTTTTAGCTTTGTTGTGTTTAGAGGTAGTTTCTTTCGATTTAACCCCACTAAAAGTTAAACTTTTAGCAGGGGATTTGAGTTCCTTTTTGGGCGTCGAGTGGCTGTTTGTTCGGGCACCCATTGAAAGGGACCCCAAAACCGATCCATTTCGGCAGGAGTCCCCCTACCCCTTTTGGGGTCGAAGGCAAGCGATCGGTTTTTCTCAAGGGTCAGGAACCCCGACCCAAACTAGGAGGGGTCCATGTTGTGTTTTCCAGGAAGGGACGAGGCTTGAAACATCACCATCTTGAACGGCAAATAGTTTTTTGTTTCAAAACATGCATTGATACCTGTACTGTGTGTTGCTAGATATGTTTCGGCCTTTGGACTGGGGGATGTTTTTTGGATTGGACATGTGGGCGTGTCTACTTGAGGCTCGGGATGTTCAAAGGAGCATTTCCAACGAAGCCCGTGACTGAAGAGTCCTGAACCCTTGGATGCCGAATCCCGGGCCTCCAACCCATCGCGGCCAATTCCTCCAGGGTCCAGGGCCCTCAAAAGCACGCACTTTTGAGGACCCTAGAAATAGTTGGGACTCTTGGGGTGGTGAATAAGAAGAGTTTGCTATCATTTCGTGGTTACAAAATCCAAAATCCTGCACTGGATGACACCCGATAGAACAAGGCTTGATTCAGTCATTGTTTCAGGTAATTTTCATTTGTTTGCCAAACTTGGGCACCAAGGAAGGGGGGTGTGCCACAATTCTACAATTAAGAATTCTGGACCCAAGATTGCTGGGAGACGTTCAATGTGACAATCTGGAATTCAAGATTCAATACTCTTAAAAACAATATTTTCTGGAATTCTGCAATATTGAATCTTGCATCCCATATGTTGTTTTACATTTAAACAAAAACAAAACTGAGATTCAAGATTCAAGATTCCCAGATCTTGAATCTTGAATATTGAATTTCATATGTTTATTTGAATTTATAAACACAAGTCTGGGATTCAAGATTCAAGATTTCAAGATAATCTTTTTCTGGGAACCTTGAATCTTGAAGATTCGAGATTGAAATATTTCACGGAAAGCTTTCCAAGAATCTTATTGAACACCGAGAGTACCGGGACAAACCTGGAATTGTTAAAATGGTTGATCATTTTCATTGTTAGACCAGGATGGATGATTCTCAGGAAAGTTGTTGTTTGTGCAATCCTCGATATTGAATCCTCAATCCAGTGGTAAAGCACTTTCAAGTGTGAGAAGAACTTGAATGTTTGTTTTGGTTTGGCCAGGATTGACAATTCTCAGGAAAGTGTTCTGTGTAGTCTTCAATCTTGTTTTTGTCCATCCAGTGGTAAACTACTTTGAAGTGCTTAGCGATCCAGTGGAAACTTTCAAGTTATTAGTTAGACAAACTTTCAATTGCTTTTGGTGAGCGGTTTGTTGCGTGTTAGCTATGAAGCATGTTGACCCTTTTCCGGGAGGTAAACAAAGGTATGCTCAAAAACACTGTATTTTACAGCATGAAGAGGCGCAGGATCACTAGGGGTACTATATATGTGTGTATGTATGTTCATATATTTTGTTAATGTTGAAACATGTGGAAACATGATGAACTGTGTGTGAAATGCTTGACCACAATGGCATGTGCCATTTTGGCTCAAGTATTGGCTTGGGTTCTTTGAACCCGGTTGATTTGAAAAACGCGCTTGTTTCTTCGATCCCAACTCCCCATTTCGCAATGGCATCCTCGGCAACTACGGTGTCCTCGTTTGAGCTGTTGGAGGAACAGCAAATCACGGAGGCAGATGTCGAGATGGCGAATCAGGAGGCCCAAGAAGTGCGCACACGGGAGGCGGCGGTGGCTGCAGGCTTGGTTCTGGACGAGCCCCCGGCCCCCCCCGTCAGGTGGATGTGATGAAGGACCTCTCCGTCGCCCTGGAGCGGCTGAAGGTGGCGTTTGACTCCCCCGAGACCGGCCTGGGTGCCTCCGGCCTGGCCGCCTCATCCACGGACAAGGCTTCGTGGCGGCCTCGCAGACAGGCCCGGCCCCGGAGACCCGGCTGGTTTGTCCGCGGCCGGTGGATGATAAACCCGGGTACTTTAGGCTCTCGGACCTCCCGGACTCATTCCCAACCCTGCCGGCATCTGCGGCCACTCTGCTGCGGGACGTCACAGTGGAGGAGGTGGCCTCCCTCTTCCACAAGTTCGTGGGGAAGAACCTGACGGAGGACCTGGTTGCGCATCCTCGAGGCTTACGTTCCCATGAAGATCCAACTCAGCCAAGAAGTGGTGTGGTGCTCCCGGTTCCAGCGGAATAAGGCCGGCATGCGCAGGCTGGATGCTGGGCGGGCTATGAGCGCATGTGCAAGACATGCGGGACAGGGTGGAGGCAGGGAAGCAGTGCTGGGTCTGCCCTGGCACCCTACCATTTCAGGATTGGAAAGTTTGTGGTGGGTGGCCCGTGGGGCCCACCCAACCTGGAACTTCTGACAGGGGAAGATGAGTCCCTGGCACCAACACAATTCTTGGATAAAAGAGTTATTGCATGCTTGTGTGGTGCCGTTTGGTTAGCTTGCATACACACAAATATACATATGTATGTTTGTTCACACACCGTCACCCCCCCCTCCCCGCTCTTGAACTACCTCTCCACATGTGCTCATCTACTACCTCCGCCTTTTGAGATACAATAAATTTTGTTTTCCTGTGCAAATAGAACTTCAACTGCAACTCATTCAGCTACAATCCCTGTTTCGTATTTCGAATTTCCTTGTTTAGCCATATTTAATATGAACAAAGTTTGAGAAGTAGTCTCTATTTAACTGTTGAAGCTAATTGAGTTGTGTTCGTGTTAGATTATATCTAACACCTAGATTATATTTGGGAATAAGCTCCTAACTTCTTTTGTTGAAGATAGTTGGAGTTTGCCCGAACCTATACTTATATTCTCATGTAACTCCTAGTTGGAAAGGATTTGCTTATACAAGTTAAGTTGTAGTTGAGCAACGTTGATCATAAACATATTTGTGAAAGCTATATCCTAAACAAATTATATTCAAAATTCCAATTCAATCTGAAGTAAAATGCTATTTGGAAAGGGTATCATATTGGGACACTTTGGGTCTTGCCACGATGGACTGCAAGCCCATTTGTTTGTGCTTAAAATCTATTGCAAAAATCTAAACTCTACAGCCTGCGCACTGAAATCAAGCAAAACCTAAGCACCAGGGGGGGGGAAAGGGGAAAACATATATATTGCATTATATATATATATATGGTGCCCCCCCCCCCCCCCAAATGTCAACCTTTTTGTCTGTCTTCATCGGTGATGCCCACTACATCTGACTCTGTAAGGATTTTTTCTCCAACTCAACCGTTTAACCCATTTGAACCCTTTCTCGGAAGGTCTGGGCCCAAAACCGTTTGAACCTTTTAAACCGTTTAAACCGTTTTAACCCTTTCTGACAGGAAAGGTTTGGGCCCAACACCGTTTAGACCTTTCAAACCGTTTGAACCCTCTCTCAGGTGGAACCCTGGGGGGGGGCTTTCATTTGAGAGAGGGACGGTTTAAAGTCTAAACGGTTTAAACGGTTTAAACGGTTTAAACGGTTTAAACGGTTTTGGTCAGAACCCTGGAAGGGGGGAGGGCTTTCATTGGAGAAAGGGTTAAACCGGACCTTTTTCTCAGAGAAAGAGCTGAAACAGGTAAAACGGTTTTAGGCCTTGGGGAGGGTCTTTCCTCTGCAAACGGTTTGGGGCCCTGTTGGGAGACGGACTTTTCCTGTCAGAAAGGGTTTTAATGGTTTAAACGGTTTGGGGCCCTGACTCTCTTCTTTGCTGTTGATTTTGGCATCTGACCAAACCTCGGCTTAGAAATTCGACAGAGGTAGATCCAAACCGGCTAAAATTTCATTCGGGCCTGGATGCAAGATTCGCTGGAAAAGTGTGTACCCTGAAGCTTGCAGATTGTCTTTGCACTTTCCGCAAAGCCCTAAAAAGGGCAGAAAACACTGCAACTACCTTTGAGTTCTGAATAAGTAATTTAGATAGGATATCCTTTTCAAAGAGTACTTTTAATTGACATGTTGATGTCAAATTAGACTTTAAAGGCAGTGTCCTTGTCTTAGGACATAATCCTAGTAGGATGTTCCAGTTTAAAGAGAATCTAAATAGGTGTTCCTGTTCAAAGAAGACTTGTAATAAATCCAATTAAAGCCCTTCTTTTAAACCAAGCCCATCTAAATTATTGTTAAAACCAGAAACTCTACTAGAATTATGTCATTAGAAAATTATGTTTCAATTGTGATCAAACAATTAAATTGAAAATGGTTCAAACTATGACTTTGTTTTCTGCCAAATTAGATTCTAAAGGCGGTCTCTTTTTCTAGGATCGTGTTTTCAAATCTATTCAAAATTTAAGTGAAGTTGAGTGAGAAAATGATCTCTTTGAAGGACCAGGTTTGCCATGACAAATACAGAGTTTTTGTCAGGATTGAAATGACTTGGTAGTGCCCAGGAGTGCCTTCCCTTCTTCTCCGACAGCGGGGAGGAATTTGCGGAGCGCCTATTGCCAGAGTGGAAGGAGCGATCGCTGGCCAAGGGAACGATTATTGAGAAACACAAAGGACACTGGCGAAGGGTTCCCGAATTGCAGTGCCAAGTGGGTTTCACTGCGAATTGTTGAGCATCAACTCATTTAGGTATCGCTTCAGTTGCCTTTCAAAGCCGAACGTTCGCTGGAACTTGTGGCTTCAAACCACTCAAGAAGCAGGGTTATAAGAGGGCTCACCCGAATTGCCCCAGTTGTGTCCATGGTTACAAGCTACTTGCTAAGTTGGTTGGACATCTAAGAAGCTCGTTGTGCGGGGGCGCCCCTTTTCAACTTGATTTCACCTCCCAAGTTTCTGCACCTTCTACATGTTGGGAAGATCATGCGAGTGGTATAAACAAGTTGCTCACGTGTTGTTTTTCGCAAATCCACCGAGGAAGTGAGGAGTGTAGTCGATTTTGAAGGGACACCTGCTCAACACCAAGGTCGAAAGGGGAAACACTGGAGCTCGTGGAGATCGGACTTGTTTGGCCCATCCACTCAGGAATTGAGCATCTCTCCGATCGGATTGGACAGGGTGGAAGCCCATGCCTCTTGAAAAAGCGCGCGCGTGTCCAGCGCTCACTAGTTTTTTCAGCACCCACTTTTCGAAGGGCATCATGTCAGACATGGAAGCTTCAACATTTTCCCTCAAGAGTGGTGGGTACTTGGAGATTATAGCATCTTTTTTAGCAAATGAATTTGTCTCTTGCCAGGAACGAACTCGTAGGTTTGAATTGAAAGTGACCGGAACAAGCTTGTCGACGTTGGGTGGATTTGGCCTCAAGGCCTTCGGATGCTAGGACGCCCACGAGCCCTTCCTGGCCAAGCCCAAGATCTCAGCCGCACGACACTACGAGGCCGGTTTGGCGAAACCGCTCGAGGGTGTTCCAGGTGTCGATTTCTGGGACGGCGATCAAAGGTTCCGTGGTGAACGGGAACATCAATGGGTTCCTTTCAAGTTCCTTGGTGGGATCTTCAACCGACTTAGGTTACAACCATTGCTGGGGTAACTGGGGTTGGTCCCCTTCCCCCAAGTTGTTTTGCTGGCTTTGGGGGATGTATCGCAAATGAGCAGGACAACGGATCACCAACGAGCAAACGGGAGGTTCCTTGGTTGTGGGTCTAATGTGCAGCTATGTGCAGATGTATTGTTTTCACCAACCGGATTGACAATTAGGTGTTTATGTATTCGAGACGTGTGACTTGAACCTAGTGTGAATTACTACAACCAACTTTCTAGTGCGCAGAATGAGCCCCGGTGAAATGGATCGACCCTCCATTGGGGTTCAGACCTGAGGCTGGTGGCCAGCTTTGCCTTTCCGACTCCTCGTTTGCGGCAGGTGATGTCCACTCCTTTTCCATTATCCCATTTGCCCCTTTTGTCCGGAGGGTCCAAGTACCCGATATCTTTTCGGGCTTTTGGGGTTGGTTCGTTCGGGGATTCGTCCATATTACAGATTCCTCAAATCCGCAAATGTGAGGTACTTGGACCCTGGTTGGTAAGCCATGTTTCTTTTTGCTGTTAAGGGTGGTTCCCGTAGCCCATTTGCGGCGTTTGTGCTTCGTTTCTTACATTTGCAAGGGATCCCATGCGCACCTCAAGGATCAGGTTTGGGTCATGGGAGCAGCCCATATGTGGACCGCGCCAAAATGATTTGGGTAGTTCCTTGTTGGATTCTCTTTGCGTTATAAATTGGTACCCTCAATATAGTACGCACGCAGATACAGTTACATGTGTATATAATGTGCATATATATATATTCTATATATATATATATATTCTATATATATATATATATGTATATATTTATATTTATGTATAAGTACATACATGCACAAACGCCAGCATAGATACACAAACACATACCTGCCAGATGTTCCATCATGCGCGAGCTGTTCAGTGGATTTCCGGTGATGTTTAGCGGGGAAACATATACCCCCTCCCACGGCCCACCTTTCTTGTATACATTAGTGCGTCTCTTTTTGTTGAAGGTACCCAGTTTGAGGTGGGGCTTAAAGGCAAACCAAGAGGAAAACCGAAGCCAATTTGGTGGTTCACCCTAAACAAAGACGAGCCGCCCATTTTTAATAACCCGGTGGCCGCCCGCCAGACCGCCGTCATCCTTGTGATCTCGGTCCTTGCGGTGCTACTGCTGAGCTGTTTGATAGTCAGCTCCTTGGCAGGAGCCCGTGGTATCAAGATGTACCCTGCTTTACACATGGGTCGGTCTTTCCTTATGGAACCTGTATTTGTGTGTTGTGGTTTTAAGGCCACACTGAAGGGAACACTGCTCGCTTGATTTACACGGATGGGTGCTTGCTTAATTGTTCCAGTCAAGTGCAAGGGTTTGAAAGGGAAATCAATGACCCAAACGGCTGAGTTTTAGAGCCCTGCGGCGATACAGCGTCATCGGCAGTGAATCACTGCATCCACTTCAAAGGTAGCGGTGGCCATTTCCAAAGGCCCCCCCACCCCGAAAACCACCATGCTTGTAACCTGAGCTTCCGATTTCGCACTTGATCAGCTTGTTGGGAGTGGTTTTGCATTAACCTACCCACTCCCAATTGACATGGAACCCCGAAAAGGCATCCCAAAAGGGCATTGCTCTACCCTGAGACCTGGATTTTTGGGCCCGCCGAATAGGCCCTCAAATTTAATTTAGGCAAAAGCAAGTCGCGTGGGGAACCTTGGGTCAATTGAACAAAAAAAACCGGACCCTTAGGGCCTTAGAGCAAATGGAGGGTGATTTGAAGATTTCATGGTGACAAGGCATGGATCAAGGGCCCTGAACGCGTTCATGCAAAACCGTTCCAGCTGCACAAAGAAAGGCGGCAATGCATTTGTTTGGCCCATCCAAAAGGAATCCATTTGTTCGAACCCATTCAATGGGTCGCCCAAGCTGCCTGCCTAGGCCGTCCGATGCTTGTGGGGCACATTGTGCTCATGTCTTTTGCCTTCGTCCCGCTGGTGAATGCAGGCGGATCGCTCCAAACAGTTGGCGAAGTCATGTGGCGAGATTGTACGAGCTAAAACCCATGGTGTATGTGTCTTTTACTTGCATCCGAATCATGTTCGTAAAAAACAGCCAGAAGCATAGTGGGCAGAATAAAAGGATGTCCCCGTGACATTCACACCCATTTAGGCAACCACATCCAACCGCCAAATCTTGGTTTCCGGGCAAAAACTCGATGTCCCTTGTTCTCCTTGAAACAACCTCCCCCGCCCCCCCCGCTTTCATGCATTGTCCGGGGCTGGGGTTCTTTCGAAACCCTTTTGCTGCCCAAGGCACCAACCCAAGCCTCAAAGCCGAAAGACTTGGCGAGTTTTTTGGGGGCAAACTCACACCCCGAGTTCCGTCTTGGACTTTAGTCCCTTTTTGGGAGTTGGACCATTTTGGCACATAAGAAGTTCGGACTTTTGGCAAATCCACTCAGGAAGTGAGTAAAGCAACTAGCCGCTTGGCTATCCAGGGATTCTCTTTGGGGGCGCTAGATGAAACTCCTTCGACAATGGTTATATTAACCCAGCCATGGTTTGAATGGTGGTATGAATCCAGGGGGGGTTCCTTTGGTTTCCTTGCTCTCGGTCCGAATGGGGGCAACCCTGTGGGCATTGGCCGAAATGCCGTTTCTGGTTTTGCTCACTCGTTGCCAGACGAATCGCTGATTGTTTTTGTGTTTTTTGCTTTTTGTTTTTGTTTCGGGTTGTTGCTTTTCCGGTTTTCCCAATCAGTATTCCAACTCGCAGGGTGAAGTCTGGCCCGTTGGACGGGGATGAACCGGTAGGGCTGCATTATGATGCTGGTTTGAGCTTGAGCACCAGGCATGCTGAGCTATGCGCCCGCGCTGCGGCATCAAGACAGGAACCCCTGGCCGCCGGGACGGCAAGTGACACTGTTGGTGGAGCTTAGGTTTCCAGTGTGTTTGCCATAGCCAACATATATAGTGATGTTGCGCTAGCTGTTTTCCCATACGTTGCGAAAGCATTTAAGGGCTTCTCAAAACTGTTGGAAAGGGAGCCAAGACACCATTTGAACGGAATGTATTTGCTTAACAATGATTCTATTTTCCGGAGCCTTCAGAAACAAACAGCTTTGACGATGGCGAAGGGTTACCTAGAGTGACTGCGATCCACTGGGAGTTGGTTAAATATCATTTTGGCTTCCCTTTCCATAGCCAGACTGTGGCTACCATTTGAGTCGTCTTTTTGGTTTTGTTGAAGCCAAAAGTTCTCTACTTGGATGTTCAGCTTAGGTTATGACATGTTATGACCATGCTTGAGGACCGTTTATCCAACTTGGATGAGCCGCGTCATACCTCCAGCCTCCCGATTGCTTTTGGAGTCCTAAAATCGAAAGCCCACAATTATCCAAACCCACAATTATCCAAAGGTGCCGTTTCTCTTCTTGCCTTCAAACTGTGCCCTTGTCAACTTGTCTTTCGCGAGGCGGGCCCCAACTCAAAACATAATGCCCACTTGAAAGGTCCACCAGACTCTGCAAGAAGTGTGCCGATGGAAGCTCTGAGTTTTTTCGCCAATCCGAGTTTTCAGGTCTCAGCGAGAAGGGTACTTGGCAATTTGAAATGGGGAGCATCCAAAGTGGACATCAAGCCCCGAATTCTGTCCACCCAAGTTGTCCCCTGAAAATCCACGGCCGCTTGGCATTCGATCCTTTCTCCACTGCGTGACCTGACGTGTCTTGCCAACCATCGAACCAGTGGATATTACTTTAGCGACAGAGGGAGCCCCTGGGGAGATGAATTTAAATGATCATGTATAGGGGGGTAGCTCTCTTGCAGGCCTCAAGAGTCCAATTCTCTTTGCCTGACCATTCCGACACGAACGGTTAACCTCGACTGCTGAACATGAGGCTTCCTACTTGGGTGTCCGATTCAGACACCCGCAGTGTCTCGAATGTTTGGACTCCAAATGCCCTGGTTCATGTTGATTCTATCTTGAAGCATCCCTCAACAAAAAGCGCTCAAATTAAATTATTTGACCTACTGTCATATTGCGAATGGACAAAATCAGAACCAGTTGGTAGGTTCATCCCAGTATTTACACGGTTTCGGCCATCCCACCAGGTGCCAAGTAAATTTTGTCCACGGTTGATGGGAAACACCCTTAACAATGGCAGATGAACACAACGTCCAATTGAATTTGCTCCCGTCACAAAAAGGACAGGTTATGGCACACCACACACACCTGGCAGCAAGATACCTATTGTCATGGTAAAGTACCGCATTTTGAGTCAAGGTTTGACGTCATAGCCTTAAGCAGGTGTTGGAGATGACGGAGGCTGTCATAACAGAAATTGGGGGACCCAAAAAAGTGGTTGTCCTTTTGTTTTGCCCGGCAACCAACCTGAAAAGGGTACCCTCAAAAAGGCGCACACTCATAGTACAAATTTGGAAGGTGAAACTTTGATCTCGCACGAGGCTGCGGCATATGAACCATGCCAGCTTCAACATCATGGCGTTGCTGCGTCTCCGTCCAATGGCAACGCTTTTGCTCATAGAAGCAAGCTGCAGGAACTTCTACCCTAAGATGGTTTCCATCAATTGCCCCCCAATGCCGCAGGGGAAAACTGGGTATATACCCTTTAGTAGCTATTTGTATCTTCCATTGAAATCCTGGGGGTGGTGGAACCATCTTAGATCTACGGGAAGGTTGGCGAGTTTCCTGTAGAAATTCCTGTAGCTAGTTTCTCAGATTTCCACTGCTTTCTGTGTATTGTGTTGATTTGTCAAACTAGGGAGACCCCCAAAATTGTGGAGTCCGTTTGGTTTTTCTGCAAGCCTACCTGCAACTGGCACCTCAAACAGAAGCCACACACAGACATATATATATATATATGTATATATGTGTTTGTGGCCTCATTTGAAGAAGAAACAAAAAACACCCCAATCCAGTGTCTCGCCTTTGATTTTGTTAGGCTCTAAAAATGGTTTATGTAGTTTCGGATCTAGACTGAATCAACCATTATTCTAGTGGAGGTTGATTCGTAGAGGTTCCTTTCATTTTGCCCTGGGTCTTTATAAACCATGTTTTGGGCTTTTATACAAGCCCGAATCCAATGTGTTTCGTTAGCAACAGCAAATAAACGCCCGGTCATTGGGCATTTGGCTCCACCGCCGAAAAAACAAGAGACATGCCGTGGCTAAGGTGCGCATTGGGCGGCTACTTGTGCCTCGGTTGACTTGTTGCGGCAAGTGTTGTGGGGTGGCTCGTTTTTATGTTTGAGGGTTTGGACCAAAAAATGGTGGGTTTGATGTTGGTGTCCCTATTTAAACCCACACAAAAACGCGGGTGCCACCCAAAAAAAGACAAGTTTGTTGCAATCTCGGATGCCGTTGGCTTGCCGCCCAAAGTAATCTTGCTGGGGCACTTTGAAGGGGCCCTCACAGGGGAAACGTGTCCTTTCATTGGCTGGGTGAAAGCTTCGCAGGAAAAGTCAGTTCCGTAGTCCGTTGTATGCATTTGGCGGGCCGGCAGATTTATTCGCAGTAAGAAACAGGGAGCATGTTGGCTACTTGTTTTCGGGATGCCATGTTCGATGCTTTGAGTTGAGGGATGCCCCTAGTTGTGCAACATAAGATGTGCTTGCTCTCCGCCCGCGTTTGTGCTAGAAGACACTTGCAAGGATGAACGAAGCAAGCAAGGATGAACTAAGCAATCAAGAATATAGCGTCACGCTTGAAAGGACCTAGCAGCCGACAAGGCAATCATCTGACAGATGTATGCGTGATCAGAAAAGTGCCCACACCTGTGCAGTTGGTCAATCAAACTGGTAAGGAAGGCAAGATACGCATGAAGAACGTTGACAATCCAAAGCTGACATTTAGGTCAATCCGTAGGCTTTCTGTTCAGTTGGAGGTGTTTCATTGTGTTTGACACCTTAAAGTATCCGTTCATGAACCTTGCTGAGACTCATGTGTTGCTGATGTTTGGCACGTTGCACCTGGGTCAGGTGTATGCAGTTGGACGGCGACCGGCAGACTTCTGAGACCATGCCAGAGCGGACCGCGGGTTGCACTGCTTTCTAGCCTTCTACACTGACTTCTCTTTTCCAGACCTGTCCCTTAAAAAACACCAACCTTTGGGAGGCTCACCCCAACAACGGCTTTTTGTTTCTGCACATGTCGCTTTGAAAACCAGGCAACAAAACCGAGTGCCGAGTCTTCATTTCCGAGCGTATCCCGAGTCGACACCTCGTGTCCAAATCTCCAAGTGGGACCCTTGGAACTTTGGTGAAGAAACAAAAGCTAAATCATCACCCAACCAACCACTTTGAGGAAGATTCATAGCTATGCGGTTGCATTTCGAGACCTGCATTGGAAACCAAATCGTTGTCATTGCTCGTGCGAGAGGTACCTGTTGCTGCCATTATCGTGTGTTGTTGTTTGTGTCTGTGTTTGTTTGTTGTTTGTTGTTTATTTGTTTATTTGTGTTGTTTTGTCTTTGTTTATTTGTTTAGTTGTTTGTGTGTTTCTTTGTTTCTTTGTATTGTTTTGATTTGTATATTTGTTTGTGTGTTTCTTTGTTGTGTTGTTTCTTTGTGTCTTTCTTTAGTTGATTGTTTTATTGTTTGCTTGCTGGTGTGTTGCTTTGTTTGATTGTTCTCCTTGCTTGCTTGCTTGTTTGTTCGTGTGTGTTTGGATGGTGGGTGGGTGCATCGGTAGTGTTTGGTTGGTTGGTTGGCTGGCAGGCGGACTGACTGGTCGGTTGGTGGGTTGCTTGCTTGTTTGTTTGGTTTGTTTGCGGTTGTGTTGCTGCTTGTGCTCACGCCGCCGTTATCGTCGCTGAGCGAAACGCTAGTGGGGGAGAGGGGGGTGGCGTGGGGTGGTGACGTTCACCGGAAGTGCTTCGCGCATTCCCATTGTCGCCGCAAGCAGCAAACTTTCTTCGGTAGCTCATAATTCTGGCATCTGGCATGCTCGCGCACGCAAGAAGTTCTTCGCACATTCCCTATTGGCAAGCCCACAAACCCGGCTTGCTCGCAAAAAACTTTTCGCGTATTCCCCATTGGCATGAACTCAAGATGCGCAATTTCTTCGGCGGCTCATTGTGCGTGCAAGCGAAGCTTTTTGCGCATTCCATATTGGCATGGCCGTATACTCTCAATGCTTACGCAGAGTATTGGGTGGGGTGGGGTATTGATGTGCACATGATCTTGCAGCCCGGGCGGGGGGGGGGGGGGCGCTGTGCGTGGTCGCAAGGATTTGCATGCGGTTTCGGTTTGCGGGTCGAGGTTGGGGTGGGGCTCGTTCGTGTTCGTCGCATTTTTCTCGCACAACAGGCTTGAACGGTTTGTCGGGCGTTCACGTTCACATGAACTTGAGTGCGATTTTGAGGGGCGAGGGGTGCTGTGTTCACATTAATTTGCTTGTGTGTGGTTTCAGCGCCGGCTGAGGTTGCCGCGAAAGGCAAGAAAGGCAAAGTCCTTCATTTGAGCGTTTAGGCTTGGATTTTCTCCTGGCAGTGGCGGCCCAATGTCGGCAAGGCTTGTGGCTTCAATGCCAGCCTTGTTTCGCCTGGCGCATGCCAGGCCTTGTTTGTTTGTTGGATTGTTTGTTTGTTTGTTTGTTTTGTGTGTGTGTGTGTGTTTTGTGTGTGTGTGTGTCCGCCTGTTTGTTTGTTTGGTTGAGTGTTTGTTTGTTGTGTGGTGTGGATGTGATCGGTTTGGTTTTGTTGGAAAGTTGGTTTGTTGGTGTTCAGCTGGTTTGTTTGTGTGGTTTGCGTGGTTTGTTGTTTCTTTGTTGTTGAGTGTGATTCTTTGTTCAGTTGCTTCTTAGTTTTGTTTGTTTCTTGCTTGTGTCTTCTTTGTGTCTTCTTTGTGTCTTCTTTGTGTAATTATTTGTTCGCTTTTGAATTCCCTTGTTCCTTTATTTCTTTGTTTCGTTGTGTGTGTGTGCTGAGGATATTTTTTTGGTTTTGGGGTTGGGAAGGCGTTAAAGTGAAGCCAAAAAAGGAATTGTGATGATCACCACCATGCTGGGCTATTTGGGGTCGACTCCTGCCTCAGGACTTTGTCCTTGCTACATGTGTGGCTTGGGTACGCTGCTCGCTTGCATCGAATCGGACCCAGTGCTTCCACTTACCACCCTATTTGCTTGTTCAACAAACTTTCCAGGAAAACTGGGTTCAATCCCCCTACCCTGGTTGTAGCCTAAGCGGTTTGAACAGCCAAGAAGCATCCGCATGGATTTTGGAGATCGGACCCTTTTGGCAAGTTCCCCATGGTTTCCCGCTGCCGCACTGGGCTGAGAGCACCGTGACTTATGTTGTTTGGAGCGCTTGCCTGCTGACTTTCTCACAACATTTCGCCAACTTTGGAATACTTACATGCCGAGAAAGGGTACGTGACCCCGGTCTATAACGTGGATATCCCCCATTTAAAGCGACTATGCGGTTGGGTCGCCAAGAAGGTGGCATTTGTTTTCCTTCACTTTGTTCTTAAAAGACCAGACAATTGGGCCCGACTGATCCGACCACGTCAAAGTTGAAGCCTTGCACTACTTGACAGGGGAAACGATGAAGAACCAAAACATGAAAGTCAACAGGTAAGCGAATTGTTTGGCAATGTAAATTCGCACAGCCCCGAAAAACAGGAATCAACAGAAGTCACGGCGGTAAACCCTGGCCACCCTTTCCTCGGAGAACCGCAAAAGTAATGTCTAAACAGTAGATGTTAACATGTTAAAACATGCAGTTGGCCCAATGCTGGAATCACCCAAGCCACAAACAAACACGAGCACGCAGAGAGACACACCTCCTTGGAAAAACTAGCGTAGACAAACACTGAGTTGTTGTTGTCGTTGTTGGCGTCGTTGTTGTTATCATTGTCGTTGTCGTTGTCGTTGTCGTTGTCGTTGGTGGTGGTGGTTGGCGGCTGGCGTCTGGCGGCTGGCGGTTGGTGGTTGGTGGCTGGGTGTTGGTTGTTGTTGTTGTTGCTTGCTTGCTGGCTGGCTGGATGGGCGGCTGGCTGGCTGGCTGGTTTGTGTGTTTGTGTGTTTGTTTGGTTGGTTGTTTGTTTGCTTGCTTGCTTGCTTGCTTGCTTGCTTTGCTTGCTTGCTTGCTTGCTTGCTTGCTTGCTTGCTTGCTTGCTTGCTTGCTTGCTTGCTTGCTTGCTTGCTTGCTTGCTTGCTTGTTTGTTGTTTGATTTGTGTTTGTTTGTTGTTTGTGTCTTGTTTATTGGAGTTGTTGTCGTTGTCGCTGTGGCTGTGGCTGTGGCTGCTGCTGCTGCTGCTGCTGCTGCTGCTGCTGCTGCTGCTGCTGCTGCTGTTGTTTGTCCTGTTATTGTTATTGTTCTTCTTCTTGTTCTTCTTGTTATTCTTGTTATTCTTGTTATTCTTGTTATTCTTGTTATTCTTGTTATTTGTGTTGTTCTTGTTCTTGTGCTTCTTGTTCTTGTTCTTGTTCTTCTTGGTCTTCTTGTTCTTCGTCTTGTTCTTTTTGTTCTTCTTGTTCTTGTTCTTCTTCTTGTTGTGTTTTCATTGTTTCGGGGCGGGGGGGGTGGTACATATCTCTAGTGAGGCCCGTCAATCCGTTGTTCGCATAGCAACCTCTTATTCGGGCCTTGAAACGCTTGCCCCTTTTCAGGCTCGATCCAAAAGGAGCCTCAACCATTGTCTGCGCAAATGTTGGACTCCAAGCATGTGAAGACAAGTCGAATGATGGATTTGGAATACAAATGGACCCTTTGTCTAGGATGGTTTCCACTCTATGAGGGGGAAAAGAGGTATATTCCTCTTCTACTGCGCCCATAGCGGTATGTGCCATTAACCGATAGTGGAAGCCATCGTAGATCAGGAATTCGCCAAGCACCCAGGTGCAGCGATGTTGGAGAATGTTCTGTAGACATTTCCTGGCCGTGAGGCCGTGTTGGGGATGTTCTTCATCCTCACCTTCACCGGGGTTGTGAAACTTGTCGCCACCTTGGGCGATGGCAACAGCTCTAGCGAGCTATCGCTGCCGGCGGCGTTTCATGGGCGCCTCGGGAAGTGGACGCAGCTCGGCATGGTGCAGTTGGGTTTGAGGCTCGGTAGCCAGTCTCTGAATTCGTTTTAGGAGGCTCCACCACTCGCGGTCTTTCGGGGTTCTCCACAATACTCCAAGGGCACGTGTTCTGCAATCTCTGAGTTTCAGCCAAACCAAGCAAGGCTCCAAATCGACCTTTTGTCCTGGTGGTTTTCCCATTCCCGTGTTTAGCACGGTGCCAAAGGTTGACCATCCATTCCCAGTGCTTGTGTCCTTGACCTTCCTGGATCGCCAGTCGCTGATTTTAGGGTAAAGTGTCTAGAGAACGGCGGCTTGGCTACTTCGGGCATATGTACCACTGGAGCAGCGCCCGAAACCCTCATTGGTCGTTTTTGCAGGTAATTCTACTACCTGGTTTCATACAGGTTACAGAATGGGCTTCATAAAACTTCATAACCATGTTGGTAGAACCAAAAGTCAATGGGTGTTCGGCGCGGTTCACTTGTACAAGGGGATCAAGGCAGTACATACCCCTTATATGGATAAGCAGTGCATAACCTCACCGACACCCTAAAAATGCCGAGAACTACGACCCACATATAGGACATGTGTTGCTTCCGACTGTTGAACTTTTGAAATCGAAGGAACCCTTCTTCGAACGTGGCTTCCCATTGGGAAGGGCGTCCTTTGTTTATTCTGGAAATGGGAATTTTCATGTTTCAGGCTCGGGCCGCGTTGTCCCTTTTGACACAGGATTAGAGTGGCCTATGTTTGTGGGCTCGAACTTATATTCGCTCCTTGAGTGGATTGGCCAGAAAAAGCACCCACTTGTTGTTTAACGTGTAAAGCCCAGGAACACATGACTTGTAGCCACTAGACGAATTTGAGTGGTTACGATCCATCCGATCCAAGGGCACTTCCCAAGTTTCAGATCCCTTAAGTGCCAGTTGATTTTCTACTTCAGCAAAAGGGGGAGCATCCTATGGTCCCTTTCAAGCAAGCAGAATTTGACTTCCCTCAAAAAATGGCACACCCATAGACTGAACAAGCAGAAAGGCTCTCTCCTCTTCCAAAAACAGGAGCTTTTATCGTTATGCAAGGGTTCTGGGCCACACCCATAATTTTCTCGCACACGAATTTTCGGGTACAATCAATCATTGTTTGCCTCCCCGCCCCCCCCCACCCCCCCCCCCGCCCTCAACAAAAACTGGAAGTTCAACCAATTTAGGTTATCACCATGGATACAAATATCCTACCCTAATTAAGGTCCCCTAACACCATGTGTTTGAAACACCCTAAGCATCATTGGACCCTCGTTGAAGGGGTCAGGACCTCCATTGCAAGGTGTTGGACCTGCAAATGCCCCCTTTTTGAGGACCTAAGATTTGGTTGATGGTTCCTCCTGTTTGTTTTAAAGTGAATCTATCGCTACTAGATGTGTTTTTTCAGGGGCCGTATTTGCAACTGGAGGAAAGGGTCATCACCCCGCAGTTTCCTCGGGCAGTCTTCTGTTTGATCCAAAACAGCTTTCGAATCGGACTCGGGACCTGAGTGGGGTGTCCGAGCCCTTTCTGACTTGTTGGGATCCTTGAAAACGAACCCTAAGATTTCGACTCGACTGTTTTGGGGGTGAATGTTTTGGAGGGCCCGCACAGGAGTTGGTCTCTACCTTCATTGCAGGGCTTCTTATCGGATCTGCATTGGAGGGGGCATGATCCTTCAGCGGGGTTTCGAAGTGAGGTTTTCAGACTTGCGGAGGGAGTCAACTTGTCACAACAAGAGGGGGCCTTTTCTCGATTGGGGTGGCGGGCACACTTGCAAGGTATGGACTCGCCGCGGCCACCCAGACGCTTGGTCATGAATTCTATGGGACGCTTTGATCATCTTCCTGCAAGGGATGGTCCATCCACCCCTTTTCAGGGTTTTCCCTATTAAAATCCCCTCAAACGGTCCGGATTTAGGATGCCAGCGGTTGAATTTAATTGCCCAGTTCGCAGCTGGGCCCAACAACCCGACGGGATTCCATGTCATTGCAAGTTTAGCTTAGCAATGGCTAGGGGTGGATCGCCTGACTTGGAAATCAGAGCTGGCAGTGGGCTTTCCATTGTTTCCTTTTAATCAGTGGTAAATCGAATTGTCTCCCTTCCCAAGTTTCTGGACTTTAGTCACAGTTTAAGTTTGGACCATTCTGGCAAACAAAAAACAATAGTACTTGGTGTGGCCCACGCACACAGAACGTGAGTATCAACTTTGGACAAATCTGGAGGACCAACTAATGAACAGGGTCCCCTTTTGGAGGGGAAGCAAAACTCATGGGAGGATTCCTCGGAGTATGGAACTCCAGATCAGTCCGACAAGATTAGACATCAACCATACATTTGCCCAGTTCTAGTTTCTACTTGGGAAGATCAGCATAATTATCCTTACTCCAAACACCCATCTTTTTGTTGGTATATTCAAATGAACCAGATGTTCCATAGAAAAGACTTTGTTTTTGTCAGGGATTAACACTACCTTTAGCAGTGTGGGTGTGCTGGGTCCTATCCGCTCACCTGACGGAGCTTCGGACCTTTTGGCCACGGTTCAAGCCTTGGGCGTCAACTCGGCCTGAGGATCTCGGGATACTTCATGAAAGACGTGATGCCTCGCGGGGCTGCGATGATGATGACAAGCATCCTCATAGCATCTTGGCCTTGATGTCACCCTTCTTACCTCAAACAGTGTCTTACCCTTTTCCAGGTTCCATGTGTGTTTGTTTGGAGGGCGAATTCCCTTTTCAGTGTCCAAGGTGCGAACTTGTGGGCAGATATGTCATTTCAGAGCTTCTGGCCATCCGAATAGGTTGCTCCTTTTAAGACGGCCATCAACAGGAACACACATGCATACAACACAAGCTCGTGACCAAAGTGTGAAAAAGTGCAACATCGCTTGGCAAGTTTGCCTTCAAAAGCCGACATGTGTGAGGACCGCAAAAACAGTCGGACTCTTAACCCTTAAAGCTGTTTGTTGTTTGGTTCCGGATAATTGTTCAGTGCCGCAAAGAACGCAGCGTTTGGCTGAGAAAGGGTTGAAAAACAGCCCTGTTTGAGCTTGCAGGCAGTGTCTGCAGCCACTTGCCAGCAGATGCGGAACCGGACGCAGAAGGCGGAATTGAACGGATGATGCATCGAATCGGTAGGTGTTTTTTGGGGGCTGCGAAACTCTACAGTTTCTCAGAACGCAACAGGCGCGCCATTTCCAGGGTCCCCAAATTTTGACGCGAAGTCGGTGGCTAAACTTCCAACAACTCTGAAGCCGTGAATGCTTCTTGGAGACATTTGCATCAATCACCTGGGAGTATATATTCCCCCCATGTGGAGTTATGGGTGCAAAGAGAAGGGGGGATCAACTCCCACAGAGAACGTGCCGGGGCACTGCTTGGGTTCAGGCGCCTGTTGTGTTTTTCAATGTCGATCGCTCCAGACTTGCCCACATGGTGCATCAAAGCTTGGGTAGAAGGTTCTGGGACCGCATCTTGAAGGTTGTCCTGCGGTGAATGACCGCAATAGCCTTTTAAATGTCTGGCCGCCGCCCAAAGCCTTCATTGGAAGGTTTTGGACCCAAGATGCTTGGAGTGGGAACTACAAGCTGTCTGACTTACAAAACCAATTGGCCTGGTTCGACAGTGGTGATGGGTGGAGGGGCTGGCGCACCCGAGGTTCCAAAGCGGCGCCCCAACTTGCTTTTGGGGCAACCATTTGCGGGCAACGATTTGGGGCAACTCCAACATCGGTATGTCGCATCCTGCCAGGAAGGCGACCAACCTGCTGTAGAGGACGTCCTTCCAATCAAGGCGGGATTGAGGCCCGTTTTGAGGTTCACAGCCTTCCAATGTAGGTAACCCCTTCAATGGAGGGTCCTCGCTGATGCTTTGGGGTTGTGTTTTTGTGGATTGGTTGTGTTTGATAGTCAAACATGGAGAGTCCCCTTTTTTTTGGGCGAGGGGGGTTCTTTCGTCGCTTTTCGCGGTGTGGCTTTGTAGAGTCCATCAAATGAGACCCTTTGGTAAAGGATTTCCCGCATGGAGGAGTTTTAGGAGCTCCATTTTCCGGTTTTGCCTCAAAACGGATGCCTTCTTACAAAACGGATGCCTTTCTGAGAACACGTTTCATGCTTTCCAGCACCCCGCAACTGCTTTTTGGATACCAAGAGAATTTGGAACGTGTTTGAAATAGCTGTTCTTAACCCTAAACCCCTAAACCGACCTGAAACCGACAGTAAACCTAGACCCAGACTCAAGCCACCCGAAACCAACCCAAAAAGCCCGGCTGTCGATACGACTCCCGGCGCCGTTCAGGTGGCTAGCGCCAGCTCGGCGCTCACCAGAATGAACAGCGACACGACGGTGCCGGCACCTCAGAGACGTCACCTGGGACACCGCAAGAGCGCTGGCATTCGTTTGCGGCACATGCCGCAGACCTACCAAAGTCCTGCCAAGATCTCCGGCGGATATGGCGGCCAGTCGCCTGACGTTCCTGCAGAACGACACCACCAGCTTCAACTTTGGCCCACAAGTTCACATTGCGCAGTCATGGGCACCAAGCTCGACATGTTTGCCTTGAAGGGAAAGCTGAGCGCTCAAGGACAGAATGGAGCAATCAAGAGGGACAGTGGCAGCCGAGTGTAAGTTAGAGTGATGCCGGAAGGCAAAAGATTTCATTGGCCTCACATGTTTTCGGGTAGTGTGACTGAAGAGAGACGAGTGCCTTACCCTCCAATATCAAAAAACCAAGGGGTTCCCTTAGAATGGTCTTCCAGGAACATCTGTGGCTTTTGCATGGAGTTTAATTGAAAACGTGGGCTGTTGCGGTTCCCAGCCATCCGGTTTCAGGATGGTGTTTTATGATTTTTGAGGATGTGATAGTTTCCGAATTTAGCCTAAAAGTTAATCTTTCAGCAGGGGATCTGAGGACCCGGAAAAACAAACAACGGAACCCGCAGAGGGTCCAGGAACGCCTTCTTTTCTGAACGGTACCCTTTTCCACTTCTTTTGGGGGCAACCCATGTGGGATTGGGAAAACATGAGTTGTTGGAAAGGCCACATTCTTTGATCCCTGTGAAAGTTGCAAAGGAGTCATAGTCAAGGTCCATTTCGGTAGCGCAGAAAGGTGTAATATATAAATGTATATACATATATATATATATATGTATATATATATATATATATGTATTAGTACATTCCACAACCATGCTTTTGCTGCAGGGAAACGAAAGGGTCAATGTTGGGCCGTGTGCGTAGCAGCCAGTTTGGGCTGAGTGATTGAAAAGCAACCTAAGGGAAGCCACGTTGTTTCTGGGTTCCGTTTAAGAACTTTCTCTTGGGGTCGCTGGTTTTTCTTTCTTCTCGCACGGCCCAAAGGGCTTGCCTTTGGGAGCTCTGTTGCTTTCCAATTCAAACCAGTCAACTCCAAAAGTGGTGTCGTGCAAACCCAGTGACTTGCGCAACCAGGGGAGCGAACATCTCAAGTCACTTGGCATCCGGTACCCCCAAAGACCAAAGAGGCCCCTCAAGGGCTCCCATCGCTTTCCTGGCCCCAAACTTCCAACCACCTTGGAAGTTCAAGCCTCAACTCTTCGAAACAAATGGCATACCGTATCCCAAGAAAGGGGGCCGTGTTGTTGTTTTGGTCTTTGCTTTTGTGGAGGACCCAAAAGTTCCCAAAAACACACCCCAACTGGCTTTTGAGACGCCTTTGGGCCATTTCAGGGGGGTTTTTGTTTTCGACTTAGGCGCACTGCCTCGTCGAGCAGCGGAAAGCCACTGCTTCTCTCGAGGAGAGCCCTGATTTTTGTTTTGTTAAAGAGTCTGGTGGAGTTCCATAAGGGCCGCCTGACTAGGTGCTTGGAAGCAAATTGAGAGCTGTGGAGCTAACAGGAGTCTGAAATAGTCGAGGGTTTGATTTTGTTAGAGCTCCGCGCCCTTTTTCCTTTGGGCATTAAAAGGGTCTACAGCATTCGCAGCCCTCAACCTCAAGCTCCAAACGCACAGAAGCGGGGTCCGTGACTCATGCACCCCCTTCGGCAATCTGCCGAACCTCCAAAGCCGCGCCCTTCGGTCCGCTCGTCCTCATGACGGTGGTGCGCTCCGGGCCGATCCTCATGCCAGGCATCTTTCCTCTCCGCGGGTCGAACTCCGAGACCCGCCTCCGGCAATGCACCTTGATGCAAAACCCCTCTTTCTCGATCCAGCGGTCCTCCACCCCCACTGGCGCCTTCATGATCCCCAAACAGAGACCCTCTTCACGTCCTCCCACAACACCGCCTCCTCCAAGTCCAAAGCCACTTTCCACCCCGGGCCGCAGCCCATCTCAGGAAGCCGCCTAGTCTGGTCCTCATTCTCCGTGGCATCCCTGCCAGCTTCACTGCGCCATACACCACCTTCACCTTGGCCGCGGTCTTCTCCCCAATCTCTGTCAGCTCCTCTTCCTCCTCAGGGATTACGCTGTTCTCCCTCAGCCTCATACCCAGCATCTCAGCCAATGCTCTCAGACGAGAGCTTCCCAGGGCCTTGGTGCCGATGTCCGCCACCATCGTCTCCCCCGGCAGGTGCTGCAATCCCCAGAAGCCCTGCTCAAAACGTTCCCAAGCAGCCCGGGCCCTAATCTTGAGCGGCCTCGTCCGCCACGACGCACCGGGACCCTGAAACAGTGTCACCGCCGCATTGTCCTGCAACATCACCAACTTCAGCGCCTCAAGCTGGTCCCGACCCTCCACATCGATCCCAGCCTTATCCCACACCGACGCCACTCTCTTGTCCTCCAGATCGGCGATGATCTCCGCCCATGCCTCTCCCTGGAGAACTCCTTCCATGGCCGCCAGCAGTTCCGCCTCCGAGAGGTTGACCTCGCCGCGAACGGCTGCCTCGTGCTCGTCCAGTGGATTGGACACCCACCATAGCTCACGACCACGCCCTGCTGGGAACGGCTGCCATCCGGCCCAAATCCCGCATTTGCATAGACCTCCACTGTGTTCATGCCCCGTTCATGCAGGAACTCCCCGTTCTCTCCGTGTCCCTCCGCGGCACCACCGAACTCCAGCTTCCACCCCGCAGTCTTCTTGAGGAAGCCCAGCAGGTAGATACCCATCTCGAAGGCCCGCTTCGGCTGACGCGCTATCAGCTGGCTGATGCGGTTCACCTCCCCCTCATACCGGTTGAGGACATCCTTGATGTAGTCTTCCTGCCCAACCAAGAGACCTGCACCTCCTGGGTCTCTCATCACCTCTACCCCGCAGAACTTTAATGGCTTCTCCGCGTTGACCCACTCCAGGTCCGTTGCCTCCCACTCCCTTGATGTGCTGTGCCATCACCTCCACGATGTTCTGCTCCCCGACAATCATCATGTCGTCCACGTAGCAGCAGATGAAGCCCACCGTGGTACTTCCGAGCCTTATCTTCCAGAGGTTCTCGTCGGCAAAAGCCTGGTGCAACACCCGTGTTTTGGTTCGGAATCCATGGGACATCCTGGCGGGGTAGGGATACTTGAAAGGTTGCCAAGGAATCCTAGAAATCTTCAAAGTGATGGCCATGGCCACGATGGGAATCCGCTTTACAGTATCCAATTGTCACTTGAGGGACATGGGTAAGTGAAGAGCTGTCCAGGATTCATACACCCAGACTTGTTTTTTCCACACTTGGGCCAAAAATCCAGCGCCGGGCATGGCATTGGTAAGCCGACGAGATCTGCCCTAATTCCCCAGATCTCCAGGGGTGGCCCATGTGTTCAACTTTTTGCGGAGGGGTTCCTTTATCATTCAAAGGAGCGGGGGGGCCCTTTATTGTTATTTTCCCTAAATCCGCTGGGGGTCTGGGTTCCAGGTAGACCAATTTGATACCCGGTTGTGATGATGACGGATCGCAGGAGTCCAATACCTTCGTTCAACAAGACTCTGGTGGACAAGCTGAAATTCAGACAGTTCGAGGCTCGCGTCCACACAGCCCGTTCAACCGGGCTGTCCTTTCAGACCACGCACGGCAAAATATTATATTAACCATATACAATAATCAAGGTATACACATATATACATAATATGGCAGCGTGTGTTTTCTCTGAAGGTGATATCTGCCTCTTGGAGGTACTTGGAACCCAGGATTCATCAACTTGATTTGTGTCCCAGTTTAGAGGTGATCCGGATCACTTGTTCAAGCCCCCGGACGGATTGAACGACTCGGAACCTGGTTTCGCCAACTCAAAGCGCTCGGTTCGTCCAAGGTGTTCATGGACATGCGTCCAATTGATCCCAGAAGTGGGCCAGTTCGTAAGGGGTTCTTCTCCCTATGGCCACGGGGTGAAGCTTAAGTACCACTGACATGGGCTATATACTGCTGAAATGTATGCTGGTTGTTTGCGGCCTTGCTTTGTACGCCAGCTGTATCTCAAATGATGTTCTCTGTGTATCAGCTTTAAGTGCCACATAGCGCCATAGCGCCTAAGATTGTTTGATGGGAATCCCTGTTGCTGTGCCTTGTTGTTGCTGGTCATTGTCAGGTATAGTATCTTGACGAAGTTGCAAACCTACCCTAAGGGCCCGATTCGACTATTTTGAGCCCTCGAGAATGGGACGAGGAATTAGTCGCTATGGGTGGGGCTCCCGAGGTCTTGACCCTTGCGGACTTGGACATGCAATTTCCTGAGAATCAGCAGGGATGTTCCAACGCTTTTGTTGGCGAAGCAACCACGCACGTGCCTGACAGCAGCCATGTGCTACATGGAAACTCATGCGAGCCTTACTGCGTGGGTTGCACATCCACCAGTCACTTTTGTGAACCTGTTGGTCCCTTTGAATTCACTGGGTCCCTGAAGCTCAGAGACAGAAGGCCCCCTACAGGGAAGCCCTCCCCTAAAAAGGTAATTCCTTCCCCGCAAGATACTGTAGATGCATAAAGGCTGGTTCCCTCGGTTAGCTATTCGGAAGTACCTGTTTTGGAGAACCGCAAATTGTGGCATTCCTCCTAAGTTCCCTTTAAAACCACGAAAAAGCATGCGGTTCCGCCAAAAGACGAGCCACCCACCATGGATTCACTGGGCAGGCATTGCTGACGCTCTACTTCAGCCGTTGGCAGCGAAATGTGCAGTCTATCCGAGCCCTGGCATAGAACGCGAGTGAGCGGAGGGATGCGATCGTTCTGATCGATGACTCCTGTTAAGGCCGAGTGGGGCTGTATGAGCGAGTGTTACATCTTTCCAGGTTTCCCTGCTTGTTCTTTGAACTGAACCAGTTTTGACTTGGGAAATTCATCAGTGTTTCACCACTAACCAGCAAAAAAATCTTCACTCTTTGCATGGGTCAAATCGTCGACTCAGCTTCCCCATTGACGTTCTGGGCGATATGACTTTCCCTGGTTGTCAGCCACACCAAACCGATGATAGGTTCTCAGCAGATACAACTATTTTGTGCTTCTGATCTTATCAGCGACTACTATTTATTTGTGCTTTCTGGTTATCGAGCTATGAATCTGGTTGTTGCCAGGGCTGTTTGGAGACGAACTCCAGTTTCCCTACCTATCCATGCTTCTAGTCTGTTTGCTGAGCCACTTCAGCACCCAAGTCGATTTTATCTTAGGTCTGAAACCGATTTGGGCTCATGATGAAGGTCCCTTGCTTCATGATAGCCCTTCCCCTAGGCAATGGCTGTGATTCGCTATGATTCACACAGAATCCACTGAAACAACGTAGAAAGTGCCTCACCGAAGACTTGGGTTCCTGGCCGAAGAAAGGAGGCATTTCGGAAGCAAACCACTTTGAGTGGTGGGGAAACAATGAAGTAGAGTGATCGTTGCGTGTCGCACAGAAAGAAGTAACAACCTGCAAGAAAGCAGAGAACATGCTGAAATACGGGGTGTCAATGCCAATAACCCGGGGAAAGCGGTTCAGTTCAAAACCGTGTTCGGGTGAAAGCTGAAAGCCCACTGTTCTCATTCGCGACCCGTTTCTGCGAGCGCTTAGCAGCTTACCAGCAGACAACTCTCGTAGTTCCACAGATATCCCTTAATTGTACTGTAAACAACCAGGCTTTGCGTAGGCTCCGTCTGTTTTGGTGTCGCGGGATGATGTCATGCCCTTAAACAGGTGGGTGGCTTGCAAGATTCTAAGATGGTGTCCACCCCCAACCCACTAGCCCAGTTCAACCAGACAAGGGGTATAGGTCCTGCTTTTTTTTGGGTGGTTTGCAGGTGGAACCTTGGACAAGCGGGAATCAGGAGGTACTGCCATAGACCTGGGATGGGTGTGAATTTCAATACCCTCGTATGCCCATCTGCTGAAGGTCATACCGTGTAATTCCAGAACACGATTTGAATGTGGCGAGTCTGTGGATCCATTTCTAAAAAAGGACCAACACAAAGAAAAGCTTTTGTGAAATCCACGAAAACGGCACAAATCCAGACCGCTTTCTAGAATTATGCTTGATTGAGGTAGGAAGGGTCTCCAGTGTCTTTCTATCTGCATTTGGCAGGAAAAGCACCGTTTGAGGCCTCGATTAGCTGAGGCTGGGGGTAACGCTGAGGTATCTGGGGCTTAAACCTTTTCCCTTTTCCCCCATGTCACTGGTGGGGTGGTCTGAATTCCTGTTCGGGTTGACCTACGTAGTAGACCCAGGCGACACCCGTGCTGCGACTCTAAATGCTGCTTTTGGTACGATGTCATCGCCTGACTGAAACAGGAGGTGTGGAAAACCATGTGTTTTTGTCATCTATAAGGAGCTGTGAGGGAGTATAGGCTGCCATTCCAGGTATCTCCTGCGCCAACGCTGAGATCAACAGTTCCTCCAACCTTGTGGATTTCTTGTCCTCAGCGATCGTGTCAGCCGAATCGGCTCGACAGCTGTGAACGGCGTTACCCAGACCTCCAGTCAAACGAGTGAGTTGTTCTTCGTTTTGGGCGGAAACTCTTTGAGATACGATTGCTTCTTCTTTCAGACTTGTTTTGGAGGGAAGCCGCTTTCGAAATTTAGGGCTCCCCCCGTGTTCGACTTTGGTTGGAGAAGGGACCTCTAAATTTAGCAACCATAGCCGTGTTTCAACCGGTTTTTTTTGGAAGGTGTTCCTTTCAAATCGACTACAAACAAGATGCCCTTGCTTCCCATGCAAATCTATTGGAGGTCTGGGTGAATTGTTTAAGCCGGGGATCCTATCACACCGCCCGGAGACCCCAAAGAAACAGCTGGGCGCATGAAACTGAACATTTCAAGCAGTTCTTTTTTAACGCACCAACAGGGTAATTTGAGCCTGCCACTTTAGTGACCTCCATTCAGGCATCATTCGGGTAGGAGTTTTGCCGGGACCCACTAGCTGCAATGGCGCTTGCTATTCCTTTGAATCAGTATATGATACTTTATGGCTAGTTGATTTGATCTTTGGGCGTTTTGACTTCTTGGGAAACGGCGGGTTTTCTATTGGACCCACGTCTTCTTCTTTTTTTGCGGCGGGGTCAACAGCAACCAGGGATACTAATCAGAGGCATGCCCCCCACCAGAATATGAAGAACATCGACATGCCAAGTTAAAAGTTGATCCACTCGTTGAGTATCCTCGCCCTCCCGTGGAAAGCCAGGCAAAAGGAGGAGGCCTCGCAAAGTGCGGAAGATCACTGAAAAATACCCCAGGCTATGGTACCGGTTTTCTTACTTGAATTCCGTTTCTGACTTTGAACTTTCCCAGAAGACCACTTTAGTTGTAAATAGAAAGCTTGGACTTGTTTTTGTCAATCCACTTCGGAACTGAGTTTCAGGATTTTGGGGTTTCAGGGTCTAAGTCCTTTAAGTTTGAAGCCGCTCGGATCAAATCAGAATTCGCTTGGCCAGCCCCAGTTTGGGATCAAGTCCTTCGCGCATCCGGTGAATGCCGGTGTGCACGTGCTCTCGCATTGCTTGTGTTGAGCTCGTGTTGAATAAGTGTTGTTCAACTGCCAGCTGAGTTGTAAAGAAGATTATGAATGTTAGTTTGACATAGAATACGTATTATCAACAATCTAATGTAAACAGAAATGTTAATTGGATTATGTGCTTTCAAATTATGTTTAAAGCCAGTTGCACATTGAGCAGAATTTGACAAAGATGTTAAACATAAGTTTAGCAGGAGAAAGTCAGATGTGCCAAAATTGAACAAGTTGGTTAAATGTGCTCTGAATTGCAAAGACCAGTCTATTGTAAACGAAACCCTGCGTGCAATTTGATTCGAAATAGAACAAGCAGATTCTGATTGGACTCGGTCCCCTGGAATTCTACTTAAACTCAGTCAGACATTGAATGGAATTTGACAAAGATATTACGCAGATTTCATATTCTGCCTACCATGGTCAGTTCACATCACCAACGGCCACTCTCCAAACCCAATTCGAATGTGAATATAGTTTAATAGGACTCAACAGGAGAATCAACAGGAGAATACTTCTTCCGAGTCCAATTTAAATTACATCTGAAATTCGGAATTTACATACCATTCCTTGCCAACAAACAGGTTTGCTTCAATTAGAGTTTGAAAATAGATTGACAGGAAAGAGTCCAATCATAATTTCTATAATATGTTGTTTAATAAGAGTTCTTTCATGTCAATGTCAATTGAGACTTTTCACAGCACGAACAAGTGCACTGCTGCGGTCCCCTGTCCGGAACTGGTTCGCTGGTTAGCTCATTGATGGTTTGCAGCCCGGTGGCTTGGATTTGGATTGGATTTGAAGCCCTTGCTGTTGTTGAGCGTAAATGGGAAGCGAGTCCCTCACCAACAAGCCACCAATCCAAACAGAAGCTGAATTGTTGAGTGGGAGTTCATTGGTGAATTTGTTCGCCAGCTATGGAACAATATGTTTTAGGGTTAGGCGGCTAGTGAGCAGCTGAACTACAGAGTTAATTGTTAGCCAATAGTTGAATTCTCAGTTCTTTGGAAGTCAATTCTTGGAAGTCCGTTAAAAAGTTAGGTCATTTGTCAATATGCCTGTTAGGTAGTTAGCTGGTCTATGTCAGTCCCGCTTCTACATGTTTGGACCAATAGTATTGAAAAGGTTTTCACATTCATAATCCTGTGACATTTTTGAGGGTCGCTGTAATAGAACGTGGTTTGCCTGAAAGGATGACTGACGTAGATTCAGTCCCCGAACTATCGATTGGTTTTGTTAGTTAAACAGAGGTCTCTTGAAACACACCAGTCGCGCAAAGGGGATACCCCACAAGAGCCCCTGATCCGCTGACTGCTTCAATATGAAGCTGGTTTTGGGCGGGAGTCAAATTCCAAGATCAAAGCCTTAGCATTTGCTTTTAAAGGGTGATTTATGTAAGATCCGGGAATCTGAGGAAAGTCTTGGCAATACTAGATTTAGACTTGGGGATACTGAATTAAGTACGAGGAATATGAGATCAACTCTTAGCAATACCAAATTTGAAAGTGGCAATACTAGATGGCAATACTAGATGAAGCACTGGCAATCTGAGAACTGGTTTTGGCAATACTAATTTGAGACTTGGCAATACTAAATTAAGTGTTGGGCATCGAAGAGAAAGTCTTGGCAACACTCAATGTAGACTTGGCAATACTAAATGAAGTATTGGCAAGTCCAAATCCAACCCCCCCCCCTCCCGCCCGTCCCACTAAAGACCCCTGATGGGCTCAGCTTGTGAGCTAGCTAGTCACTAACCAGATTTTTGAATAAAGCGGCAAGCTATTTGTTTTTGTTTTTTGATATCTAGCGAGTGAGCAACGCGGAATTCCTGGATCCCTGCACTCCTTCAAAGACTCAACATGTAATTCCAAACCCAAATACGAGGCCCGCGTATGCTCCCATACTTGACTCGGAAATGAAACTTGTGTCAATGCTTGGGGATCTGAGCAACTCTAGCTTGCACCTAGGGTTGAGTTGCAACCAATGCAGATTTGATACTTGTTAGAAACTAGCCTCGAAAGAGTCATGGGTGGCGCACGATGAACCTTGGACCCCTGAAGGACTTTCGCCAGCCCTGCATGCCCCGATTTTATCAAGGCGTCAGCGGACGGAGTGCCTGCGAGAATCAACCTGCAATTTGTTGGTCGCAGGTAATTTGACCCAGGTTTTCGGTTTGCAAGTGTTACGTGGGCATGAGAGTCTTTGGAGCAATCCGTCAGCCTCAGTGGAACTCACAAAGAGAACCGACTTTGTGGCTGTGCCAATCGCCAAGTCAAAGCTTCTTGGCCCTTTGAAAAAGGCGTTTTGCGCCGGGAAGCACCCGAAGATGGATCTGCCCGAATGTCCAGAGAAGGAACCCCCCTGAGGCGCCCCAAAACCCGCGACAAACACGAACACGAACACGAACACGAACACGAACACGAACACGAACACGAACACGAACACACGCACACACACACACACACATGGTGAGACAACCATTCCAAAATGCATGAGCCATTACTACCTGAACGAGAGACCATCAGTTTGGCTTAATTGAAAACTGGAACCAAAAGCTTGTCGGCACCCCCCCAATTTGATGAGCGATTCAGAGGTTTGCTTGCTTTACCCATCGGTGGAATCGCTCGTGACCCTGCTGTCCCACCCCTGCACCCAACGCTGCATTTCCTCCGATCACATCGGGGGGGGGGGCCAAAGGACCCCACTACCCGAAGAAATGTTCATCGAAAAGAATATGCGAACTTTTTTGGGGGTTGAGCGGGGGGGGGGGCTTGATGACAAATGTCTCTCTTGTCTCTCTTGACATGTCTATCTACCAATTGCGGTTCAGGTTTGTGAACAGTAGAAAAGGCCCAGAACTGGGGTCTCCTCCAAAACTATATGTTAGAATCGTTCTAAATACGCCAAATTGGTGTCGGCCAAGAAAATAATGGCAAAGTGCTGGAATTGGGTGCGGCCCTTGTGGGAAGACCTCCCCAATTTCTGCGTGAGTCACCCCCATGAGCTGCGTCAAATGCACCGCAATTCAAGTAGGCCGTCAACCCATTTGTCCAATGGAGGTGCCTTGTGCATCTGGAGGGAGAGCCAGCCAACACGCCATAAGCACAGGCCCAGTTGAAATTCATAGCCATCAGTCAAGTCAACTTGGGGCATCCGGTTGAGCCACAACAAAACCCGGGTAAGAAGGTTAGTAAGGGACACTCCCATTGCATGGTTTTGGGTTGACCATTTTTGTACTAGGTTTTGATTACTCAATTGATACATTCAATTCGCCCATTCACCCGGATTTCTGCTTCTGCCAATCTGTTCGTCGCCAGTTTTTCAAATGGGCCCTTTGGCTACGGGTTCTCCTATGTCCTGAATGCATTGGGCGGGCAAAGTCGACCCCGCTTGGGCCTTAAGGGAGCTATTTAGCCCAGGCACTCCCTGTGCAATATTTGGCCACTTAACGTGGAACCTGACAGTGGGGTCCCCTTTTAAAAGAAATGGTCTTCCGGACCCCCCTGTCAGATTCCATGTTAATTGGCGGGGTACCCAGATCTACCCTCCAAGATCAAATGTCGGTAAATATGACCCTAGATTGTCTCACTCCCTGAGTTCCGTTTCGGACTTTAAACTTTATGAGAAGACCATGTCAGTGGTCAGTGAAAAGTTTGGACTTGTTTTGGCCAATCCACTCACGAAGTGAGTTGTGGGTATTTCAGGGGCCCCCTGTTAGATGTCCCTTTCGGCGCCTCGATCCATGTCGCGCGCCGGTTCGCACGCACTATCATTTCTTTTGCGGCTCAGCAGGGAAGTTGGCCCACCGGCAGCAGGCCCACCGGCAGGTCAAGATGGGTCCCCACCCAGCGGTGCCGTTTTTACATTGCCAATTTTAAAGCTCTACCAAAGAAAGGCCTCCCTGTTATTATTTTTTGGGGCTTCTGAGGTGGCAAGACTAGGGGTCCCCCAAATGGCGGCTTTTGTCGTGAGTTCCCTGGGAAAACCATCCTTGTCGAACCTGAGAAAGCTACC